TCCCTTCCCTTCCCTTCCCCTTCTTCCCCCCCCCTCAGCGTTCGACTCGGAGCTCCGAGTCTCTCTCTTTTCTTTCCTTTTATCGCCCATCCAATCATTACCCGACATCTACATTTTTCCTCGTTTTCTTTCTTCATCCTCATTTAACCTCCATTTATCGCCCCCCCTCCTTCCCCTTCTTTACCCTTCAGACTCCGCTTTTCAACCATTTTGTTTTTTTGACGTTTTTTCCTATTCCAACTTTTTTTCATCTTCGTTTTGTGTGTCTTTTTTGGACTCTCTTTCCCTCTTCTATCCTCTCTGGGAGGTTCTCCAAATTCCAATATTTTCGGAGTCCAGTCCCGTTACACCTGGATAGACTTTCCCCTCTCCTATCTCCCCTCCGTCTCATCCTCATCGCCTTCCATCCTACGTGTGGCTGAACTTCCATCGTCACTTTGTTGATTGCCATCTTCATCCTCCACCCTCAAAATTTGTCTCACATGCGGCGTGGCGACTTTTAGACCCATCTCGATCGATCAGAAATTTTTCTTCACGACGCCCATACATATGTCCGTTTTTAACTGAGGCGTCCTAGGGCACAATGGCTGGCGCGGACGAAACCCTCGCGGCCGCTGCTGCCATTCTGAGAGGTCTCGCGAAAGAATCTCCTTCCTCCGGCGCTCCTCCCTTCGACTTCGAATTTTCCCACCCTCCCGCTAATGGCTGCGACGCAAAACTCGCCAAACTACCTGGAGAATCAAGCTCGGCAAAGGCGGCTTTCGAACAAGAGTTGGAGGCTTTGGTCCGACGGGTCCGTCATCTGGAATTCCAAAATGTCAGTCACCACCAGTCAACCCCCAAATCCTCTCAGTCTTCTCTCACTCCCGGCGAGAAGGAGCCTGATTTCCTCTGGTCCTTTGGTCTCTCTCGTTTTTCGTCCCGTGACGGTTCTGACTCTTCTTGCCTCTCACAGCAGCAAAACACACATCGCCCCCATGGATCCAGACAATCGGCCACTGAACCGGAAGACCACGAAGTCGAGGAGGACATCGACGATGAGGAGAGTGACGAAGAAGAGGAGCTGAGCTCAAGGACACGCTTGGTACGCGAGGAGGACATCAGCTACCTACGGAACCATGTCCAAAAGCAAGCGGAGGAAATAAGTTTCCAGAAGGATATCATCGCCCAAGTCCGGGATGAATTACAACAACAAGAGGAACAAACACGGCGGGCCTTGACCAAAGTGGAAAATGAAGACGTCGTCCTGCTGGAGCGGGAGCTCCGCAAGCACCAGCAGGCCAACGAGGCTTTCCAGAAGGCGCTCCGGGAAATCGGCGGCATCATCACCCAGGTCGCAAACGGTGACCTGTCCATGAAGGTGCAGATCCACCCGCTGGAGATGGACCCTGAAATTGCTACCTTCAAGCGTACGATTAACACCATGATGGACCAACTGCAAGTCTTCGGTAGCGAGGTGTCACGAGTCGCGCGAGAGGTCGGAACAGAAGGCATACTCGGTGGCCAGGCCCAGATCACCGGGGTGCATGGCATCTGGAAGGAATTGACCGAGAACGTGAACATAATGGCCAAGAATCTCACCGATCAGGTCCGCGAGATCGCGGCGGTCACGACAGCGGTCGCCCACGGTGACTTGAGTCAGAAGATTGAGAGTCGTGCCCAGGGTGAAATCTTAGAACTTCAGCAAACTATCAACACCATGGTTGACCAACTTCGGACATTTGCAACAGAGGTCACCCGTGTCGCACGTGATGTTGGTACGGAGGGTGTTCTTGGTGGGCAGGCTCAAATAGAAGGGGTACAAGGCATGTGGAACGAACTCACAGTGAACGTCAACGCCATGGCGAACAATTTGACCACCCAAGTGCGTGACATCGCCACCGTTACCAAGGCTGTAGCGAAGGGTGACCTGACACAAAAGGTCCAGGCAAACTGCAAGGGCGAGATCGCCGAGCTGAAGAATATCATCAATTCCATGGTGGACCAACTACGCCAGTTTGCCCAAGAAGTCACCAAGATCGCCAAGGAGGTCGGCACCGACGGTGTCCTTGGCGGTCAAGCTACCGTGAATGATGTGGAGGGCACATGGAAGGACCTGACCGAAAATGTCAACCGCATGGCCAACAATTTGACCACCCAGGTCAGGGAGATTGCGGACGTCACCACTGCCGTTGCCAAGGGTGATCTGACGAAAAAGGTAACTGCTAATGTGCAGGGTGAAATACTGGATTTGAAAAGCACGATCAACGGCATGGTGGACCGACTCAATACGTTTGCCTTTGAGGTGAGCAAGGTCGCCCGTGAAGTCGGCACGGATGGTACGCTGGGTGGTCAAGCCAAGGTCGATAATGTGGAAGGAAAATGGAAGGATTTGACCGACAACGTGAACACCATGGCTCAGAATTTGACCTCTCAAGTGCGAAGTATATCGGACGTTACCCAGGCCATTGCCAAGGGTGATCTCAGCAAGAAGATCGAGGTGCACGCTCAAGGAGAGATCCTTACCCTGAAGGTCACCATCAATCACATGGTGGACCGGCTCGCCAAGTTCGCAACTGAGCTCAAGAAGGTCGCGCGCGACGTCGGGGTCGATGGCAAGATGGGTGGCCAGGCTAATGTCGAAGGGATTGCTGGAACGTGGAAGGAGATCACTGAGGACGTGAATACCATGGCCGAAAACTTGACATCGCAAGTGCGCGCATTCGGTGAGATTACGGATGCCGCCACCGACGGCGATTTCACCAAGCTCATCACGGTCAACGCCTCTGGCGAAATGGATGAGCTGAAGCGAAAGATCAACAAGATGGTTTCCAATCTGCGAGACAGTATTCAACGTAACACGGCCGCCAGGGAAGCCGCCGAATTGGCCAACCGCACCAAATCCGAGTTCCTGGCGAATATGAGTCACGAGATCCGGACGCCCATGAATGGCATTATCGGCATGACGCAGTTGACCTTGGACACGGATGACCTCAAGCCCTATACTCGAGAGATGTTGAATGTGGTGCACAACCTGGCGAACAGCTTGCTGACCATCATTGACGACATACTCGATATCTCCAAGATCGAAGCCAACCGTATGGTGATTGAGAGCATTCCATTCACCGTGAGGGGAACCGTTTTCAATGCTCTGAAGACCTTGGCAGTGAAGGCCAACGAGAAGTTCCTGAGTCTGACCTACCAGGTGGATAATACCGTCCCTGACTATGTCATTGGTGATCCCTTCCGTCTGCGGCAGATCATCCTGAACCTGGTCGGCAACGCCATCAAGTTCACCGAGCACGGAGAGGTCAAGCTTACCATTTGCAAGTCCGACCGCGAGCAATGTGCAGCCGACGAATATGCGTTCGAGTTCTCCGTCTCCGACACCGGCATTGGTATCGAGGAAGACAAATTAGATTTGATCTTCGACACCTTCCAGCAGGCTGACGGCTCGACTACACGGAGGTTCGGTGGAACCGGTCTTGGTCTGTCCATTTCCAAGCGTCTCGTGAACCTCATGGGTGGTGATGTTTGGGTTACTTCGGAGTATGGCCATGGCAGCACGTTCCACTTCACATGTGTGGTGAAACTGGCCGATCAGTCTTTGAGCGTCATTGCATCGCAGTTGATGCCGTACAAGAACCACCGTGTCCTCTTCATCGACAAGGGGGAGAACGGTGGCCAGGCCGAAAATGTGATGAAGATGCTCAAGCAGATCGACCTGGAGCCGCTGGTCGTGCGGAACGAGGATCATGTGCCGCCGCCTGAGATTCAGGATCCGTCGGGCAAAGAGTCCGGCCATGCCTATGATGTGATAATTGTGGACTCGGTGGCTACCGCTCGGCTGTTGCGCACGTTTGACGACTTTAAGTATGTTCCGATTGTTCTGGTGTGCCCGCTGGTCTGTGTAAGCTTGAAGTCTGCCCTTGACCTCGGTATCAGCTCCTACATGACCACGCCCTGCCAGCCGATCGATCTCGGCAATGGTATGCTACCGGCCCTGGAAGGACGTTCGACGCCGATCACAACGGATCACTCCCGGTCATTCGACATTCTGCTGGCGGAGGACAACGACGTCAACCAAAAATTGGCCGTGAAGATTCTGGAGAAGCATAACCACAACGTGTCCGTCGTCAGCAACGGTCTCGAGGCCGTGGAGGCCGTGAAGCAACGGCGCTACGATGTCATTCTGATGGATGTCCAAATGCCCGTCATGGGTGGTTTCGAAGCCACGGGCAAGATTCGCGAGTATGAGAGGGAGAGCGGTCTCAGTCGAACCCCGATCATCGCGCTGACCGCCCACGCCATGCTGGGCGATCGGGAGAAGTGCATCCAGGCCCAGATGGACGAGTACCTGTCGAAACCCCTGAAGCAAAACCAGATGATGCAGACGATCCTCAAATGTGCCACGTTAGGTGGTTCTCTTTTGGAGAAGAGCAAGGAGTCGCGGATCTCGAGCAGCGGTGAAATGCATCCGGTCCACCACAGCGGCCCTGATGGCAAGAGTCAACAGCGTCCGGGCTTGGAACCGCGGTCCATCACCGCAACAAGCACGATCAACCGCGGGGGTCTCGCCAGCCCCAGCGTTGATAGGAATGATGACCTTTCCGTTGAAAGGGTAGGCCTTCACCATCACCCTCACACATGAGATTCTTGTGACACTAACCGGCTCCATAGGCACTGTTGCGGTCCAACAGCTCGTGAGACGTTCTCAAGATTATCCTTTCGCTTGTTTTCCTTTCCTCTTTCCGAGTGGCTTCGATGCAAACCTTATACCCTATCTCTTTGCGCGCCTGTAAGAACTGTTCTTTGGCCTGGTAACCTCTTCTTGGTACCTATCTCGTTTCTCACCCAAGTTTTCTTTTCGGGGAAACACTTCTCATGTCCTACCGCACACGCCCTCCGCTTTCGCTTCATTTCCCCAGCTTCTCGGTCGATTTTCCTGCTTTGCATACGCTTGTCGCTGGTAACATTGACGACAGCCGAGCCATGGCATTTTTCTCGTTTCCTTTCTCATCTGCCTATACTATAGTGTGTTCTGATTTCGGATGTTACTGTTTATGCCAGTAAACCTCTGGTGTAAGGTGTTTGGCGCATGGAACCACCGGCGGGGTTTCTCATATAAACCTGCGGCATGGAATGAAGACCAACATGGGCCAGTCAAGCAGCGGCCGGAGGAGCCAGCATCCTTGTGCCCTGCATGCGGAATTCTCTTGCATATGTTCCACTTGACTGCCCGGCAGCTTTTCTTTTCTTCTCATCTAAACTCGTTCCTCTTTAACGCATGCTTTCTGCGTCCTAAGTCAATTTCTCCTTCCTATTTGTATTGTATTTAATCTTTTCACACTAGCAGATGAGCCCCTTGGTATGGGATCAGGAAGCCCGGAATCAGCCACTATCTCTTTTTCTTTTTTTTTCTTTCGCGTTCTATATGGCTGTATGATCGTTTGTCGACCGATGTCGGCGAAAATATGATAAGACACCATTTAGTACGGACTGGATGGATGATCTAAGCAAGTCATATTCTGAGTTACGAGCCACCAGCATCCGGACTGAACTATTAGAGTAATCCAATCAAACCTCCTACATGATAGTAAGCAATAGTACTCAGCGACACATCGATCAGTTCTCTATGTCTTTCCTCACGATTAAAAGGGACTTGATTGAAAGCACAAAGATAAAGCAATGACAAAAGAAATTGAAGTGAAATCAAACCAGACCAGACCAAACCAAGCCTACCCATCACCCTGCGGATCACGAACCGAAGATAGAATTAACCCTTCCTTCCACTCATTCTTCCATCCTTCATTCAATCCTAGAAAAGAAAAGAAATACAAGATGAAAGAAACTCATGAAAGTAGAATCCAAGTAAGTTCTCATCTCCATCATGAAGCTAGAGCTAGGCTAGGCTATGGCTGGGCCGGGCTGGATTAAGTTAGAAAAGACTGTGTTCGTTTTTTTTTTCTTTTTCTTTTATTCCTTTTTTCCTTTTTTCTGGATCATATTTGGATTAGAGAATCCCTGGGATAGTGGTGGGGACTCGAATGGGAGCGTTGGGGTCGTCGTCGCGCTCGGTGAGAGATTTAGTGGTGGGGGTTGGTTTGTTGGTTGTGGTGATGGTTGAGCTGGTTGAAGAGGTTGCTTTGGTTGTAGTTGGAGTGGCGGTGGAGGGGGAAGAAGTGGTGGAAGAGGTGCTGGTGATGGGGACTTTGGTTGTGGGTGTAGCCGAAGCAGTAGTAGTAGAGCTGCCAGACGTGGACGAGGAGGAAGAAGAGGATGAAGAGGTGGTGGTGGGGGTAGGGGCAGGGATTGTAGAGATCAGTTCCTCGGACTTGGTGATCGGTGTAGTTGTGCTGGCGCTGCTGGTGATCGGTGTAGGGGTCGTCGTAACTGTCACTTCCTCAGACTTGGTGATCGGTTTAGTTGTGCTGGTGCTAGTGCTGGTGCTGCTGCTGGTAGGGTCGCTGGCACCGGGGGTCTCAGACTGGGTCTGGAACTCCTCTTCGTCGCGGGAGGAGAAGACAGACACCTTCGGCTTCGGGGTGGAGATAGGGGAGGAGGTTGCGGAGGGGGTGACGGTGGCGGGCAGCGAGGGGGAAATCGAAGTCTGGACCTTGATGGAGGTAGTAGATGTAGTAACAACTTTGGATTGGATTGGCTTGGTGATGGGGACGCCGCTGCTTGATGGCACAAGGAGTTTGCTGCTGACGCTGCTGTCGTCGGTGTCGTTGTCATCGTCACTGTCGTCGCCGTTGTCGGTGCCTTTGCCATTTCCGTTGCCATTGCCATTGCCATTGCCGTTATCGTTATCGTTACCGTTACCGTTGCCGTTGCCGTTGCCATTGTCATTGTCATTGTCATTGTCACCGTTGTTGCCAGGATCAATGACGCTGGGGGAGACGCTGGGGAAGATGCAGGGGGTCGCAATGGGGGAAGATGGTTTGGAAGGTCCCTGACCCTTGGTCTGACCCGGGAGAGAGGGCAGACAGCTGGGAAGGATGCCGATGCTGGAGCCGGAGCCAGCTGCGGCCTCGGTTTCGCGGGCATTGAGTCCCAGGGTCGGGTTCAGGGTTGCGGTGGCACCGAAGCAGGGCAGCGAGACAGTGATGGTCACGGTGGCTCCGATGCCGGGGGCAGCGGCACTAGGGTTGGGGCCCTGGTCCGGAGCATTGGTCGGGGCGGGAGGTTGGGCTGGGACCGGGGTAGGAGTGTTGTCGAGGGGAAAACCTAGGGCATAGTGGGCCAAGGCTGCGGCCAGGATGGGGGTAGAGAAGAACATCATGGTGGTGGGTTTGAAGAAGGAACGAAGATCGAAGAGCGTGGTGGGGAAAAGTAGAGGATTTGAAAGCATCCCGCAACGAGATTATATAGGTTTCGAGAAGCATGATGTTCAGGCTATGTCATAAGGGATCAGCTGTATAAGGGTTGGGAGAATTCAGTGGCTATCATGGTGACGCTGCGGTCAAGAGAATTAGGGTCTCGGCTGCCTTGGAGACTTGCCGGGCCTGCTTCCCGGCGTATACGTCCTAGCCGTCTCATTGGTCTGGATCTGAGGATTATGTACCATTAATTCGATGTACGTAGTCTAGAGCTCTTGGAAACATTGGAATTTTCGCTTCACGTGGCGACGGTGAGAGTTTGCCATGGTTCGTAAGCACCGAGTCTTCACTTCCTTTCTTGTTTTTTTTTTTGCCTTGGCGTTCGTTCTGGAATCGTTGAGGTCATGGACCATGAGACAATTGAGTGCTTTTGAGGCCATTAATGCCAAGTGGATAGATCATTGTGTCGCAAAGCGTGTGGCATATTGCTTCAGTATATCGCAAACGGGTGACGCCAGCCGATGTGGATCAGCTTGGCTGCTGTGACACAGACCAGGCCAAGCACATAGCAACAAGTCGTGAACGTGATTAACCCCCAGTACTCGCCATTGCACCGAGATAAAATTTCACCCGCAATTGGGATCCCCGTCAGGGTGCTGTCAAGGTTAGCGCATGTTTATACCACTCTGACAGCGACAAGGAACCTACCCAAAACTCACGATCGTATACGCCGTAGCATAGTACCGGCCGTAGTTCTCAATCTTGCACAGCTGAGAAATGCAGACCGGGGTCAGGCTGATGTTGCTGCCACTGGCAAAGCCAAAAATGACGCAATATACCACCATGACAGGCACACTACTGCCGGCAGGAAGCCACAGACACGCGTTGCAGATAACACATAGAGCCACCGTCACGATGAGGGTATTGAAGCGACCCAGATAGTCGGCGACGAAGCCCGGGATCCCTCGGCCGAAGAACGAGCCCGCATTGAGGATGGCCAGAATCTGGTACGAAAATTGCGTGGACACGCCATGGTCCAAGGCATACGAAGAGATGTAACTGATCGGAACGAAGAGGCCCCATTCCACAAAGAAGACGCCAGCCGTGGTGAGTGCGAATTTCGGTTCCCGGAAGATTCGAAAATCGGGCAGCATGTTCTCCTTCACAGCCGGCTTCTTAGGCAATCGAGACTTGATCAACAGGCACGCAACGATGACCGAGATGAGGCAGAGAAGAGCAACGACCCGGGTTGCCCACGCGAATCCTATCTTCGGGAACAATGCCTCCAGGGTAAGCGGAAAGACGACCCCTCCGACAGAGCCCCCCGTAGCAGCGATGCCAGTGGCCACGCCGCGTTTCTCGTTGAAGTAATGGCCGATCGCAGCGATTGCGGGGGTGAAGATCAAGGATGCGCCGATTCCTCCAGCGACGCCGATAACCAGCATGAAATGCCAATACTGTGAGCAAAAGCCCAGAGCAATCATCATGGCCATGACCAGCACGGAGCCCGCAAAGACAAGAAATCGAGGACCCTTGGCGTCGAAAATTGGACCTATCTGCACGCCACAGAAAAAGGTCAGAAATGCGTACACCCCGAAGATCCATCCCGTAGTGCCAGAGCTGTAGTTTTGCAGCTGGTGCCCCTCAATGTACGCCTGGAAAGTCCCAATGGTGTTGACCAAACCCAGGGAGCCGAAGAGGCCCATGAAACTCCCAAAGACAACCAGCCAGGCCTCTAATCCACCTTCAGGATAGGTGTTTCCGTCCGCATCGGTTGTCACACGCGTCATTGGGACGCTGTGTGTGGAGTTGTCCGAACCAGAGGCTCCAGACGAGGGTCTGTGAAGGCCATGTTCGAGGGTTGTCTCGGCCTGTGGTAGGTTGCCATCGGATTGTACCCATGTCTGAGACTGCTTTTCTGAGGCATCGAGTGGTCTTCCATCATGGGTGTCCGTCGCGTTACTCAGCACCTTATCTTCGGCTGGTGAAGACTGTGTATACTGGGATTCGGGTAAGGTCGAAAGGCCCTTAGTTGCATGGGATCCGTCCATGTTGTTTATGTCTAAATTGCCAGAAGCCTCCATGTTTGTCGCCAAGTCCAAACAAGAGGGGAAAAGAGGGGAACCACGGCAGACCGTTCGGCCACGCAAGATTCAGTTGTCTGTGCGTGCGTTTACCCCTCTGTATGGCAGGGAGCGTGCGGAGAGACAATTTCTGAATTCAGAGAGAACAGATAGCGAAGTCTCCGACACCGAGTGTATATCCAAGGACTGCTGGATTCAAAGTCTATCAAAAACCGAAAGCGAGCACACTGTCACCTCTCTGAGCCCCGGCCTGAGACTGGATGCAGACATGCCCGATGCGAGAGTACATGCTCGGGGGGAAGTCGAAAAGGCCTTCTGGAACTGCAGGGTCTTTAGCGGCTGGTTAGCTCCGCAGTGGAGGTTTTTCCCCTTCCTACGGCGCACGCCGTTCCCCTCGTGCTTTTCTTAATTCTTCGGCTGCTCCCCTGCCCGGAAATCTTCCCATTGGCGAACCGTTGACCAGCAAGTGGGCAGATTGGATGAGTCGCCTTTCCTGGCCATGGCTGTTTGTTCCTGGTTCGCACCTCATCTGGCGTGGCAAAACCTGGCCACGCTAAACAGTATAGGGAAGGTCGCCGGAGAGTTTGGTGGGAACCAGACGGCGAGAGAAAGGCGCTGATGCAGCTGGCAACTGAATGACCCGATGGCATTCCGTTAGTAAACGATTGAGTCAGAGAAACCAACGATGGCGACTGCTCGATGTTGGGCAGAGGCACCGAGATCGACTCTGACTGGCGGGACTGGCGGGGCCGCCCGCCCATCCTCGGGCTACGGTTACAATGAAGGATCTCTCGCTGCTCGCATCCGACTTCATGGCGGGCTCTCCACTCGGCTACTGGGTTGGTCTAGCAGAGCAGATTGACCAAATGCAGTCTCTGAAATTTGGCCATTGATTGCAGAAGGCCTCGCGGACCGGATGACACTCGTCGTCAATTAGATCTCTCAGACGAGATCGGGTCCAATACATGCTGGACAAGGGTTCCATGGTTGGCCAAGAATTGGCGGTAAGAATCCAGATCGCATCTGATCTTGGATCTCCTCTGCTAAGATATAGCTATCAGGTCGTTGATTTCAGCAACGGGGCTCGGAGTATTGTAGGTATTAGCAAAAGGGAAAAGAGAAGATGACACGAATAGATAATCGACGATGTGAAACTCCCCGAAATGGCCGGTCATTGTTGTACATCCCCAGACTTTGATCGATCCATTCCAGTCGCTCGAAATGTTTACGAGACAATTCTCTATGCAAGTGAAGTCGCCCTCATTGTCCGCAGGAGCCTCTCAGCATGTGCACGCGAGTTTTAGCTAGCTCGTGACAACGATTAGATATCAACTCGCAGACACAGATGTCTGTCGGCTTGAGTCCCAGGGTAGCTCTAGGAGCTGTGGTATCCTCATTTCCCATGTGTAGGTCAGTCTAAACCCGCCATTGGATCGTGGTAGCCATTGTTTTGCATTGCATCACAGCTCCTGGGAGCCTATGCTAGGCAGTCATCACTTCCCTGGGCCAGGAGGCCCAAATGCTGGGTCTGGGTTTTCAGGCTATGCTTATTCCATGTTGCGGTTGAAGGGTCTATAGTCGGGTTAGCAGGCAGATGAGACGGTCTCGTTTCGGGAGAATTGCTCCAGTTCGAATAGTGTCCGCCAGCGACTGGTTGCATCGGCTTGCTATGGTCCCATGCGACGGGCGAGACATGCTGAATACCTCTGCATCGGTCATGAGAAGTGAGGTTGTCATTCTCTGGAAGTTGGCAGTTGGAGAGAAGCAGACAAAGGCGGACAGTCCTGGCAGTACCTACGCAACGAAGCGAAGCAGCTCGACTCGGTTGATCCTTCTTACTTGCAAGTGGAATCGGGATGGGTTCCTTTGCCTGCTGCCTCATAATCCTGAACGGACTGCATCCGAATGGTTCCCCACTTGAGGACTGGCATCGCAAAAGTAAGTCTTGCAGCCGAGTGGGTTAATTCAGCTGGTCTGCCTTTAACCGATGACTTGACGAGTAGCCGTGGCTTAGTGTCGGCACTCTGCAGTTCTTCACCAGTTCCACTTCCCACGTCACAACCAAGCTCAACACTATGAGAGGTTTATCGGGCGCTATCGTTCTGCACATCCACATTCGGACCACCGGCGTACTCCGTGAGACATAGCGGGACATTCCATGGTTTCCATCGTATCACAGCCGTCCAGAATGACGAAGTGGAGGGGACCCAGCTTGATTAATCTGTCTTATCACTAGCAAAAGCCGAAAGTCACCAGATACCGCATCAAGTGATTGTCACCGACAATCGTTATCACCACGCTAAATGCCCGTGTTTTCCGACTGCATCCCCAAGTTAGGCAAGGAGCTTCGTCTGTGTCTTCCCATGAAGCCCTCCTCCGAGGACAGCCGCTGCATCCGTCTGCGGTTCATGCCTCCTCTTGTCTTCCACGGCGGCCCGCAAGCCCCTCCTCATTGGCGCCGCCTTGACCCATTGTCGCATTCCGTTCTCCCTTAGCCCCGGCAGAGATGCCTCTGCAAGGTCCCATCACCTGGCTGCCTCGTTGCAAAATCCCCACCCCTCAGTTTCCAAATGCTCTCACAGCATGGATAGCCTGACTTGGGGAGCTCGTTCCGACAATCAGATGGTCCCGCATCTGCACCATGTCACCTTAGCGTCGCTGGATACATCATGGTTAGGCAGCATGAAAATGGTTGGCCGGCCGCATATAAATTCCCGGAACTCCCAAGCGACCGGCTCGCTGTTTGTGCAAGCCTTTCCCCTCACCTTCCTTCACAGGCTCCTTCAGTATGCTGTTCCGCAGTCTACTGTCGACGGCCGCCTTGGCCGTCTCATTGTGTGTGGATAATGTTTCCGCTGCTAAGCATGGCCGGTTTGGTCAAAAGACTCGTGATGCCATGAACATTGGGAAGCGCTCCGCCAACGCGGTGAAGCATGCACCGACGACTGCCATCGAGGATTATCAATTCCTCACCAATAAAACCAAGCGTGCGTTTCTCCCTCGGGCTAGCTGGGTGTCATAGCTGACGTGGACAGAATTCCGAGTGGAAAGCCTGCCCGATGTCCACTTCGATCTGGGTGAAATGTACTCTGGCTTGATTCCCATTGAAAAAGGCAACTTGTCGAGATCGCTCTTCTTTGTCTTTCAACCTACAATCGGGGAGCCCGTGGATGAGATTACCATCTGGCTTAACGGTGGCCCTGGATGCAGTTCTCTTGAGGCCTTCCTCCAGGAGAATGGCAGGTTCCTGTGGCAGCCTGGAACCTACCAGCCTGTGGAGAACCCATACACCTGGGTGAACCTGACTAACGTGCTGTGGTAAGTCTGGATTGCGGCGATGATCCATGGGACATGTCGAGCTAATCCATCTTGTAGGGTTGACCAACCCGTTGGAACGGGATTCTCTCTCGGTACTCCCACTGCTACATCCGAGGAAGATATTGCAGCAGACTTTGTGAAGTTCTTCAAGAATTGGCAGCAGACCTTTGGAATCAAGAACTACAAAATCTATGTCACCGGAGAAAGTTATGCGGGCCGCTATGTTCCCTACATCTCCGCGGCTTTCCTTGACCAAAACAACACGGAGCACTTTGACCTGAAGGGTGAGTCCTGGTCTCGGTCAGGTTGATCTTGTCGGCCTTTTGCTGACATCTGGACCAGGTGCAATGGCTTATGACCCGTGCATTGGCCAATTCGACTATGTGCAGGAGGAGGCACCTGTTGTGCCCTTTGTTCAGAAGAACCTCAACCTGTTCAACTTCAACACAAGCTTTATGGCGCAGCTGGAGGGTCTGCACGAGTCCTGCGGATACAAGGACTTCATCGATGAATACCTTGTCTTTCCTCCGCCCGGTGTCCAACCCCCGAAGTATATGAACTGGAGCGACCCCACCTGCGATGTGTTTGACATTGTCAACAACGAGGTTCTCAATTCCAACCCTTGCTTCAACCCCTACGAGATTAACGAGATGTGCCCTATCCTCTGGGATGTTCTTGGATTCCCCACCGAGGTTGACTACCTCCCAGCGGGTGCCACTATCTACTTCGACCGTGCCGACGTCAAGCGCGCCATGCACGCCCCGAACATCACCTGGTCCGAGTGCTCGGTGGAGAGCGTCTTCGTTGGTGATGGCGGTGGTGGCGGTCCCGAGCAGGAGGGTGACCTCTCAGCCAACCCCATCGAGCATGTCCTGCCGCAGGTCATTGAGGGCACCAACCGAGTTCTCATCGGCAACGGTGACTTTGACATGATCATCCTCACCAACGGCACTCTGCTGTCGATCCAGAACATGACCTGGAACGGCCAGCTTGGCTTCCAGACTGCGCCCAGCACCCCGATCAACATCGACATCCCGGACCTGATGTACAACGAGGTGTACATCGAGAACGGCTATGACCCGCAAGAAGGGCAGGGTGTCATGGGCATCCAGCACTTTGAGCGTGGTCTGATGTGGGCGGAGACCTTCCAGAGCGGACACATGCAGCCTCAATTCCAGCCGCGAGTATCCTACCGTCACCTTGAGTGGCTGCTCGGACGGAGGGACACTCTGTGATGGCTGACAATATGTGAGAGATGTCATGATATGGGTTACGATATGTAGATAGGTTGTATGCGATGTACATGGAGCTGATGAATAGTTATTTCTACGTAGATCCTAGCTGCCCATAATCGACTACCCCTTCTGATCAGTCCCAGACAAAGAAACATATGATCCTATACCTCGCCATCAGGAATCTATTGCGCCCCCCCCCCCTGCCCCCCCAAAATATCCCCAAACCCTCATATCCCACACATAATACTCCACACAACCGCCATTATACCGCACGAGAAAATCCACTCAATCTAATTTAATAACAAACCCATGATACCCTCCATCTTATCCTTCACCCCCTTTCCCCAACTCAAAACTATCCTATCAAATCCAAAGATCCACTACACGTCAAGTATAGTGATATACTCTGCCCCCGGGGAGAATAAGCAAAAAGCAAGACGCAAGGAGATAGAAGGTACGAGGTCATAATATACTTTTCTGGATCGTGGAAAGTTTAAAAAAGCTTCATTTCATATTTAGGCTAATTTCGATTTTGGAGAATTAGGATTTAGGTTTTGGGACGGGTACCTTTTATCTTTTGGGTTGGGGGGGAGTTGGTTGTGTTGTAGATGTGGGTATGGCTGGTTTGGGGATTGCGTGAGGGTGTGATTATTTTTGATGGCATTGTAGAGTACTTTGGTTGAGGAGGGGGTGGTTCTTTTGGGTGTAGAGAGTAAGGGGAGAGGAGAAACAGCATAACAGGTCTTATGTCCCCAACAGCAGCCATTAAAAGCCCAACTACATAGCTATAGGTACCTATATCTATGTAGAAGTCTAGACCCTTCCCCGATGGAACGGATGGATCCATGTTGGGATACCCATGCAAGGTCCACCTGCAAGATTCCTCCTGCAAGGGATAAAAGCACCGCTAGCTGGCCATTTCAGATAAAACGTACTCCGTAAATACGGCTGCTATTCAAAACATGCAATGGTATCACTTGAGGGTGAGGGAAAAAAAAAGGCATTTGTTGCCTTGGATGCAGGTCAGATGATTCCTGGTGATCCCTTTCTATAGATAGATAGATAGATGATAGATACCTCGTGAATCTCCTCTCCTCCTCTGCATCAGTTCTAGTCCACAACATGATTCATAAGATCATCATTTCATCAATTCCCCTGGTGGTTGGTGTTGTTCGGAGATAAAGGGTCTGGCCTGAGACCTCGGAAGGGAGGGTGGTTCAGGGATGGATGGATGGATGGATGGATGGATGGATGGATGGATGGTTTTTACGGTCTTGCGAGGCAGAATCTGAGTCTTGACATTGGTATTAGTCTTTGGAATGGTTCGGATGTATGCAATCATTTACCTCTGAGACTACGTGAAAATCCGTACACTTGAATCGGCGCTCCCTGTTGCAATCACGCATCGAAACCCAGGCTTGGCAAGGTCCGTCTTGGAACTTTTAGTCGATTCGGAAGACTCCACTGAAACATCGTTCACAGTAACTGGCCCCCAGCGGATGCAACTAACAAAATGCCCGTGTGCGTTGACCGTCTTCACCAAGCGGCCGCCCTGCGAGAGATCCCAGCATCGTATCGTCTTGTCGTCCGCCACGCTGATCAAGTATTTCCCGCCAGGATGGAAGACCAGACTTCTCACCCAGTTGTCATGCCCGACTAAAGTCTTAATCAGTCGTCCCCGAGACTCCCAGAGCTTGATCGTCTTGTCGCGCGCCCCAGTCGCGATGAATTCGGACGAGCTACTCATCGGTGGGGGTTGCTTCAGTCCCGCTATCGCAGCGAGATGCTTGTAGCTCGCCGGAGGCGCAAAGACACAGCACTCAATGTAGTTCTCATGCCCTATTAATGACGCGACGGATTTGGCGGATGCGACTTCCCAGACCACAGCGGCTTGATCACGACCACCTGCCACCAACCATTTCCCATCAAAGGAAGGCGACACGTCTTTGATCCAGGAGCCGTGTGAGTCGATCACCTTGACACAGTATCCGGTCGAAACATCCCATATCCGAATCGATGCATCTCGGCTGGCCGAGACTAGGATATTATCGGTTTGTCGCAAAAAGCGCACCGCGGAAACTGAATGATCGTGCCCAGAAAGTGTTCGGATGTTGGCATAGTCCTTGTTCGGATCCCACAATTTAATCTGCAAGTCACTGGAACAGGATGCGAGTATCGTGTGACCCTTTTGGCCGCCGAAATCGAGATCGGAGACCGGCCGCATATGGCCCTTGAGCGTCCGTTCCAGTTCGCCGAGTTCCCAATCCCATATTTTGATCGTGCAATCTTCGGAACCGGAGGCGAGGGAGGTGAAAATAGGGTGGAATGCGACGCATGTGACAGCGTCTCGATGCGATTCGAAGGTATGTCGGGGGGACGCGGGGAGCCAATTTGTCGGGTCTTTCCCAGTGGACCGGGCCGTAGGTGATATAGTATCGAGCTCAGTTTGTAGACCAGCGAGTTTAGATTCTAGATCCAAGATCTACATGTTGATCAGTCCCTGGCTCCCAAGCGGTCTTGTGAAACAAGAACTCGCAGGCGGTCTTGGTCCAACACATGCACCTACCTTCTTCTGCAGGCGAGCAATGCCCGTCCATTTCTTTTCTAACAGCCCCTCATATTTTCGGCACAGCGCATCGTCGAAACTATTGTCCACCTGAAGTTCCTCCCGCAGCGCCTCACAACTCCGCGTGGCATTTATTGATGATAGGTAGGCGATTATCGACTTGTGCCTGGTTGCAGATAAGCGCGCAAGCAACATACGGCAGGCCGTGCGGATACTCACAGTTCCTCAGCTTGGCTGGAGGTCAATATCTTGGTCATGGTGGTGGTCGTGGTGTATGAACTGTGAGGAGCGACCCAGGGCCTGTGGTGTCGGACGAGGACCTGAGGGGTTACGAGAGAGATCGAGAAATTCCAAAGATGTGATGACTACCCCCCACATTGGCATGTGGCGCAGTACATAGCCAGGAGATAGACAGAGTTATGTTGCGGAATATTGTTTTGGCATCTTGGCCTTAAACGTAGCGCGCACCAAGGCTCAGGCGCGCACTGTCGCAGCCCCTCGATGGGTGCCCTCGATCACGTGGCGCTGGCCCGGGGACTATCTGTTCTTCCGATCCCCGGGCTCTTCTTACGTCTGTGGCGGTGTCAAGCATTCTTCCTCAGTTGCAGCTCTGGCTCTCTACTACTTTGTAGTATGGCCACCACCGCCGCGGGATTCCATCCTCTGCGACGAGATCATGTCCTCTGTTTCCCGCGGGAAACTTGGACGCCAATGTTCTATTGACGTCAATCTATGCCGGATCAGCCCCTCCATCTGCTAACGCGTGCCAGAGTGCCGATATTGAATCCCTTCAGGAACTTTTCGACGTCTGCATTCTAGTTACGGTTCTAGAATAGGTCCAGAACAATGATCGGACGCACGTTATGGTTCGCTTCCCCAGCCTTACCGCATTGGAAACGGCGCTGAAGAGATCGACGTGGAAGAGGAATCTATGCCCAGATAGAGGAAAAGTGTCCCGTCATAGCGTTTCGCGCACTAGGGATTGCAATGCTGCTGGGGAGACTGTATGAGGGCTCTACAACCTTGGGATCCATACTAAGTGACCTTTGTCTCCAGCCCCCAATTTGGAACCCTTCCCGTTTCGCTCCGTGGAATGCAACTTTCGAGCCACCGTTGGCTGCTCAGTCGTCTCATTGGAGGTATAATCATCAAGGACAACTTGGACTGCTCAACAGCGAGGGCGTCCTGGCGATCTGGACTGCCGAGGAGAGTAAGGACAGATGCCATCTCGACCTTAGTGCGAGACAACCTAGAGTTACGCCCGGACGTTTCTCTTGATCCCTCTAGAGCCGGTCTATCTATGGCACGAGGGCACCACTCCCCATGAATCATGTATCCATAGCCAGTACTCCGTAGTAGGGTACGTAACCTGACAGGCGAAATAATCGAGGATTGGCTAGGACCAAAGTACCATGGGCCAGCGGACGTCCCGGCAACGAAATCCTCTGTGAATGGACGGCCACAGGCATCTAGCTGGTAAATTACATGCCACTAAGGACCAGATTTGGCCCCATTGCGCAGGCCAAAAGTTCACCGAGTACTCCCTGTGGTTGGCTGGGGAATTGAGGGAAATTAGGGAGCCATGTGCATGACTCCCACCGTCCATACTGTGCGCCAGAGGCATTTGTGGCTCCATGGCACCATTATGGAGGCCGTCTGGAGGAAATTATGGTCCGATTTGTCGAGGCTGATTGGCCGGGCATGACGACGGGGTGGCCGCGAAACGGATGCGGAAGGCATGACGGGCCACTTCACCAGAAAGTGTAACGATGATCCCTGCTCGTTCTCTTCGCCAGCTGAGCCCGGTGCTAAACCCACTCTGTCATGGTGTCTCGTGTCGGCAACTCCTACTATGGAGTAGGCTGATACTCAGCCGGGATGGATGCATGTTGGACAGTTGAGTTTTCAGCTGTTGCTGGCATGCTGCACTCACGGCTAGGGAAGTCTTCTCCATGCGTCGATCTCATGCGGGGTACGGAGTACAACGCTGGCGTTCAGTGAAAGCCCGTTCCCCAGCCATGAATGAGACAGTCACGCTGGCCGAGATATCGAAAATTGGGACGCTTCACATCCGACCGATTTAGGCAGGTACGGAGGGCGGCACATTCCACGGCGCTTACCTTACCCGTGGGACCCTGAGATCTCTGCCCGGTACTGACATGGTCCGGTAACTTTGCCTATCCGGTTTGGGACTAGTGACAGCCCAAGTGCATAGGGGCGATGACGTAGGGATCGCGGGCAACCTTGGCACGTGGACCGGTTCATGCTCATGTGAGAAAATTCTCTTTCCAGAGCTGCTGGCCGGGAATGTTTACTCATGACGAAGAGTTAAGCTTCTTCCGATGGCATCATTGTCCCCAAAACCGCGAGCATGCGCCTCGGTCTGCACCACGGCGAGCCTCCCCCAGGTTCCAGCATCAAGGTGTCGGGTGGACCCCACGCGTTGCGGCCTTGGAGTCCAACCGACTGTCGCGTCGCTTTCAATGGTTGGGACGTTCCGAGATATCTCAAGGTCGCAAGTCTCCAGTTAGATGATTAGCCACAGCCGAGGAGTGGGTCCTCATCGTGGAAATGGCATCAATCTTCATCCGATTCGGTGCTGAGAGGGCAATCAGGCTGCTATGCTAGACGGCAGGCCCGTCCTTCCCTCGAAGCCCGGGTTTGTCGTTGGGATTGGCCCTCCCTTCTGTTCTGTGACATCTTATCCCTATCATGGCAAGGTTCTGCGGAAGATAAGATAGCTGTTTCCTATCAGAGGTTTGGATAACCAGCTATCGATCCAATCGTGAGGTTGGTATTACCGGGGGGTTGCGCTGCAACGTGCAGATGCCAAGGGCCATAGCGCCGCCTCCAGCGCCGCCAATGCCAAGCGACACTACCAAGGCATGAACTGACCAATCCACGGCGAGTGGGTTGCCCTTCGGTTTCGGCCGGCGTAGTCCCCATCTCAAAGCCTATCAGATGCCCCCGCGCTAGCCTGTGTCCGGTCAAAGTATGGGGGGTTCCCGGAGCGTGCAGTCGCGGTATTGTGGTATCGTATCTGGGGAGTTTTAGGCGGGTGGGCTACAGCATCCTTTTCAGCTCGATGACGGTTAAGCGTCATCTTCTGGGCGCAAGTCTTTTCATTCGTCTTTTTTTTTCCCCCTACTTCTGGTCTTATTGTTTCAGCCAACAGTCGTGCTCATAGGCTGTTAGCTAGCCAGTCACCACGCGATGGTCTTTGCAGCCATTCACAAGGGAAACTGGCGGGTTGCTCCTTGCCACATCGGGCAACCTGTAAAGCACGCTAATTTAGTTTACAGGTACGGACCCATACAACCGCTGGTATTGCAGAGGCCGTGCATGCAAAGATGGGAAAAGGGAAAAAACATAAAAAAAAAAAAAAAAAAAAGGACGGCAAGACAAAAGCTGGGATGTGAATTGATGCCTTTTCACTTTTCACCTTTAGCTTTCCCTCCGACGCTGGATGCGTATATAGTCCCCGGGTATCCTCATCTCACTCTTCAACCTTGGTTCTCCTGTGGTTCCTCCTCTTCTCTACCACCTCATATACTACCCATTCCCCCATCTCCCCCTCCCCCTCCCCCTCCCCCGCAATCTTCCTCCCCTCAGCTCCGTGCCTTCCAGATCCCAGCATCGGACGGCGACTGCAATTGCTGTTGGTTTTCTCTTCAGTGCGCAATCGTCCAGTCCGTCGGGATTGTTCTGTTTCTTTCCCCGTCTACTCTGCTCGATTTACTCATCCTGTCCCTTCAGGTCAACGGAGCCACGGTTCTCAGCTTTCCTGAGTTTTTGCATTACTACATACCATCTACTCTTCTTGGTTATCTCCAAACGTGCTCCAGCAGAGGCCCAATTCGTCTGCTCGATCTTCAGCTGTACGACGTGCGTTGAATCGCATCGACCTAGGACCAATCGACCCGTGACCGGATATCACATCCCCGAGCGCCACTGTTCTCGCCCCCGAGTCCGTCCAAGAATCGATTTTGTCCAGCCTGTCCCTAGCACCAAACAAACCGGCCGTCCATCCATTGCGCCTGCCATCTGACCCTAGCGACCATCGCGAATAGCGACGATAAGTAGATCGAACCGTCCCGGGAAGCCCGCACTAGCAGAGCGTCGACGTCGCTCCCCAGCCCAATCCCATTTCTAGAGCCTATACGATCTCGCCCTCGTCGCACGCGCCATTCTCTTCCAATCCTAGCAGCCATGCCCTTCGGAATCAATCCTTTCCGGAAACACGACCACGACTTCCCCGACGTCGTGGTCCCCCTCTCGGAAGCCCCTGCGCATTTCAAACCGAACCCGGAATTAGAGAAAGCCGGCCGCCCCGATGACAAAACTGATGATAGAAGCTTGGACAGGGCTCCCTCCTCGGAAGCCGGTGTCGGGCCTGTCCCAAACTACAGCACCCTGACGATCGAGGCCCTGCGCGCCGAAGTCGAATCGGATGTTGCGGCATCCGGCAAGGATACTGCGTATGACCGTATGTCCTGATGTTCCCCATGCGACAATGCCATTCAGGATGATTCAACCCCCGAACCCTTTGGAATCCGAGATCTGACTGTGAATCCCCTACAGGCAAGGCCAAAGTCATTAACCGAGCCGTTCAGGACATTGGTATGGGCCGCTACCAGTGGGAGCTTTTTGCTCTCTGTGGGTTCGGCTGGCTGGCAGACAAGTAAGCGAGTGTCCTGGGTAGATGATGTTTCCTCTAGCTGACAGTGAACCCTTTAGCCTCTGGTTGCAGGTGAGACCTTGTTGCCTTTTGGTGCAGAGGTGATGCTGTACGGACAATGTACTAACTGTTGCAAGGGTGTTGCATTGACCCTGAGCCCTATTGCCCAGGAATTTGGTGTCTCTACCACTTGGGTCCGCTTCACGACATGTTCCTTGTTTTTGGGTCTGTGCATTGGCGCATCCTTTTGGGGTATCGCATCGGATATCATCGGCCGTCGCCCGGCTTTTAACCTGACGTTGTTTATCTGCGGTGTGTTTGGTATCGCCGCGGGCGGTGCTCCCACCTGGATTGGGTACGTTTCCCTGAGATGGGCTGTGGGATCCCTTTGCTGATGCATCGCGCTAGAGCCTGTGCCCTGTACGCTTGTATGGGTCTTGGGGTGGGAGGTAATCTGCCGGTCGACGGAGCTCTGTTCCTGGAGTTCTTGCCGTTTGCCTCGGGAAACCTCCTGACGATGCTGAGTGTCTGGTGGCCGGTGGGTCAACTGATTGCTAGGTAGGTTACTTCATTCCAATCGCAGGCATCTGCTAACATGTGGTCAGTCTCCTCGCATGGGCGTTCATCCCCAACTACAGCTGCAGTAGTGAGCTGCCTTCGTGCGGCTCCGTTGCCAGCGGCGTGGCTTGCTGCACCAAGGCAAGCAACATGGGCTGGCGATACCTCGATTATACCCTGGGGGCCTTGACGTTTGCCATGTTCATCTGCCGATTCTTCCTCTTTCATCTGTATGAGTCCCCTAAGTACTTGCTCGCACGGGGTCGCCAGGCTGAGGCCGTGGCTTCGGTTCACGGCATCGCCTACAAGAACAAGGCCAAGACCTGGCTCACCGAGGAGATTCTTAACGAAATCGGTGGTTACCCGGAGGAGGAGACGGAGCAAACCCTCAGTTTCGGTGAGATTGTCCAGAGGAACCTGTCCAAGTTCTCGCTGGAGCGTATCGGGCCCCTCTTTTCCAACAAGAAATTGGGGTTCTCTAGTATGTTCATTGCCCTCCTCCCCCTGATGCTGGCTAACCCGCCTTCTAGCTGTGATCCTCTGGTTCTGCTGGGCCACCATTGGCATGGGCTACCCCCTGTTCAATGCCTTTCTTCCCCAGTATCTGGAGAACGCGGGCGGCTCCAGCTCCAGCTCGACCTACGTGGCCTACCGGAACTACGCCATTACTTCGATTGTCGGCGTCCCGGGCTCCATCCTGGCCTGCTACACGGTCGAGATCAAGTACATCGGTCGTAAAGGCACCATGGTCTTCTCCACCTTGATCACCGGGGTGCTCCTCTTCTGCTTCACCGTCTCCACCAACTCCAACGTCCAACTGGTCTGCTCCTGCCTCGAGGCATTCTTCCAAAACATCATGTATGGTGTGCTCTACGCCTATACTCCGGAGGTCTTCCCCGCCCCAAACCGCGGCACGGCCACCGGGATCGCCAGCTGCCTGAACCGCATTGCGGGTCTCTGCGCGCCGCTCGTCGCCATCTACGGCGGCAGTTCCAACCCCGACGCGCCCATCTACGCATCGGGTGGACTGATCCTGGCCGCGTTCGTGGCCATGTGTCTGCTCCCCATCGAAACCCGGGGCAAGCAGACTCTGTAAATGCTGCACCGTCTCACATACATTGTTGATGATTTCATCCTTATGCCGGTTATGATTATGTGCTCAAGTCTGAGCGAGCGTGACGATGCATGATACCAATGTTGAGTGCCTAAGGCATGTCTGTAGTATTCTTCGTGTTGTTCATATTCTGATGCCGTGGATGGATATACGTGCTGATAGGATAGAAGCACAGGAAGCACCAAAAACAGCTATTCAAATTCCTTTTACCCATCTCAGAAAGTACTGCCTGGTAGTGTAATATAAAAGAAGTACATAAATCCAAGCCCCGTCCAACGGACGACTCCTAAAAATCCTCCTCTTACCTTGATCTGACCCAACACGATCCGCAATACGCTACCCGCTATCCGATATTCCACCTACACTACCCGCGCCGTGCTATCTTACCCTACATACGAAATAACATACAATACAAAACGGAATCCAGGACAGGATGGATGAATGGAATCGAGGCCGATGCTCATGATGGCGTAAACAGACCAATCAAATCAAATCAAATCAAATCAAATCAAATCACTCAGGTAGAAGAAAAAAAAAGGGGGGGGGGATATGCATGGTGATGGGTAGATTGTTTTGTAGTGTGTGTAGTGTGAAGTCTAGAATGACTGAGTGGGTACGTGGGTGGGTGGGTGGTCAAGTTGAGTTGGGTGCGTTGAATAGGGGGGGGGGATAAGATATAGACTGATATTGATAGAGTTGATAACAGTATGAGGAACTGAAAGGCAGAGGGTGAAAAAGAGAAAGGGATGAGAAATCAAGTGTTAGATGAAAGTCGATAGGTGCGGTGGATACGGGATGGATGGTTGACTACTTACGGATTAATAGAGGGATCAATTGGTAGCGAATTGGGATATGCCCGGGTAGATCACCCAGAAATAACGTTACATAACTCTACAATAACATACATAATGACCTGGCCACTGGGACAGATACGCTTTTACGAACACATACGCCGGAACTATCGCGAGCAAGACGCCGCTGCAGAAAGATCAATGGCGAGACCACCATGTGAGAAGACCCATGCCCCGAATGTGCTCCTTTGCAAGTTTATGTATGTGCATAAGCAACAACATGGGAATGTAGAACCCACGACGAACATCGCACGCAGGAAGACGAGTCATGACGAAAAGAAGAAAAAAAAAAAAGGACCATACCATATGCTCTGCCCAAACCCGAATCCAGCGTAAACAGGACAGAAAGAAAACCAGCCGGGAGAGGAAAAGAAAACACCCAGAACAAATGCGACCGATCGAGTTCGTAAGTTGCCACCCAGGGAGCCTGTCCAGCGATCGAAAAAGGGGAATGAGAAGCGAAAGAGAAGGTCATCAGATCAAGAAACTCATAAACAAGGGGAGTTCGTAGCCCGTGGCTCTCGATTCGTCAAATAGCGTGATCGTAGAGAGATGGAGGGAGAGGGAGGAAGCGCCGGTTAGGCCACCGACTGCCCCTGCTGCCGGCGCCCTCTCTTCTCTAAGAGGGTGGCGTTGTCCAGGCTCAGCTCGAAGGGCTCCCGCGCCCCGCGAGCAATGCTCTGCTTAGCGGCGGCGGCCACTTTGGCGCTGTGCTGGCCGTATCCTTGCTGCTGCTGTCGGGGCTGGTGGGCTTGGCGCGCTTGCGCGGCGTGGCTGGGCGCCCCGAGGTTCGTCGACCGGAGTTTCGCTTCCATCGCCGCCACATCGCCGGCTTGCTGCGAGGCCTTGGGAATCTTGGCGGGAGGGAAGTCCTCGCGAGGGAGGGGTTGGTAGGTGATCTCTTCGGGTTCGTCGTAGTCTTCGTTCAAGGGATTCAGCGCCGACTGGAACGCCGTGGACGGGTTCGCCCCCCGGTAGCCCTGGCGGAAGTTCTTGCGCCGCTTGCCTTCTTCCTCCTGTCGGTGGACGGCGTAGCCGACGTCGAAGACTTCGCGCAGATTGATGGCCCCCGGTGAACGGAAGTCCATCGGGCGCTCCAAGCCAGCCGAGGGCTGGTCCAGGAGGCGGGCGCTGGCCGGGGCATAGGGCGCTTGGTCGGCCGCGACGGCATCCAGATGTTGCATCTTGCGGGTGGCCAAGGGCGTCGCCAGCGGGGGCGCGTCGGCCGCCGCCTCCGTGGCTTCATCGGTCTGGCGGATCCACGGATGCGCCAGGAACTGCTTAATGGTGTACCGTTTGTCGGGGTCAACCGTCAGCAGATGAGAGATCAAGTCCTGCGCGGACTTGGAGATATCATCCCACCAGGGCGACAGGAACGTATACTGGCCGCGCGCGACCTTTTCCGTGAGCACCTGAATGCTCTCATCATAAAAGGGAGGGAATCCACAGAGCAGGGTGTAGAGCACACATCCCAGGGCCCACATATCGACGCTCTTCGAGTATCGCTCGTCTTTGACAATCTCGGGGGCGGTGTATCCGACCGTTCCACAGGGAGTCATCGTTTGACTATCCCAGATGACCTTGGACAGGCCAAAATCGGCAATCTTGATCACCCCGATCCCGCCCGCGCCCTGTCCGGGGATGAACTCACCTTCGTCGACCTTGTCCTCATCGCCAGGCTGACGGGGTTGGGGGTTTTTGCTGGGGATGAACTCGGTGGGGTAGAAGAGGAGGTTCTCGGGTTTGATGTCGCTGCCGCGGAGGTCAGTGGGGTAACGCAGCGAACGGGAGCGCGCAGGGGATGCCTACCGATGAACGACACCGGATGTCTCATGGAGATATTCAATCGCCTTGGCCACTTGCAGAATGACGTGGCGACTGAGATCCTCGCTGAAGTAGGTTAATCTCACGATCTGGTGGAACAACTCGCCGCCGGGGCAGAGCTCTAGCACGATGTAGTAATATTGACGCGACTCGGAGAACTGGACCAACTTGACGATATTCGGATGATCCAGCTGGCGCATGATCTGTACCTCCTTCAGGATGTTGGCGCGCTGTGACCCGAGTTAGTGATTAGCTCTGCGGAGGTTTTCGGAGTCACTTAGGGCAAGAGAGACACAGCAATAGGGCATTGAGGGACAGAACATCATGCGGAGGGTGGGGTGGGTGACTGGATCATCCCAGAGGGTTGCGCACCTCTGTAGCTTTGGGTTTCTTTTTTAACCCGGGATGTAGATGGGCGGAAGACTATGACAAAGATTGGCGAATGGCTCAGGGGAAGTAGACGAACTAAAAAACACCAACAAACATCGGAACGACCAAAATGCAACGCGAAAACAATCACCAAGCCAAGGAAAAACTTATCGCAATCCTACCTGGTTACTATTCATCTCAAACTTGCGGACGACCTTGATGGCCACGTCGCCGTATTCGCCGGTGCTGTCTCGCGCGCGATAGACATTACTGAAGGCGCCATCGCCCATCTTTTCGACGAGGGTATACCGTTCGAGACCGGGGTATCGGGGCATCTTGTTGCGGCTGCTCTTTTCCTCTGCGATGATCTGCTCGATTTCGGCCTCGCGCGCGCGACGGGTCGGCTCGGGATTCTTCTGCGATGGCTGTGCCTGGCCGTTGCCCAATCTGCTGTCAATGGCATCCAGGTTCCCAGCGGCTGGCGGGTAGGAACCCTGGGGTTGACGCTGTTGTTCGGCATGGATGGGAGAGACATTGGTGGTGGGCTCGGCATGCGGCGTCACCAGCCGGGCTTGTTTGCCATGACGTATGAAATTCTTGAGACTTTGTATGGTACTCATGGTGCTGAGTAAGGGGGTGGGGGCAAGAAGGATGGGAATGGAAAAAAAGAAAGGGCAGGGAAGGATCCTAGGATCGTAGAGAAGGGGGTCACAAGCAGGTCAGGTAGGACGAGGAAGAAGAAATGGGAGGAAGATGAGGAAATCCGATTGGGAATCGACGAGGAATGGTGGCCGATTTTGGGAGAGGGGAGGGGGGAGGGGATCAGGCTTGTCCAAAGAGATTCGACTCGGTTGGCTGGAATTATCTGGTCAGTTTTGGACCTTTCTCTCTTTTTCCCTTATTTTTTCACGCTGGTTCCTTTTTGGCTCTAATTTGTGTCTAAATTAGCAGCTGGGCTGTTTACCCCGCCAAGGCCTAAACTGTAATGTTCGTTAGTGCCAACAGGAAAAACCAGCGTCCAAATAAAAATAAAAAAAAAGGGCCGGATGGCAGCCAGGCGGGCGATGACGTTTCGGGAAAGAGATCGATCGGGTTTTGGGAGGCTGGCCAACAAAGAGAGAGAAAAAGGGGGAAGAGATGGATGGGATGGATTACCTGGAGGTGAGATCACCACGGCAAATGCAAACCCAAATGATGATATGGAACGGGGCAACCGCCGGATGGAAGCAGTGTCGGCGTCGTCGTACTTCGTAGGGGGCAATTAAATTAATTCCCTTCCGCTGGGCACTGAGACGATGGGGACGGAGACTGGGACTGAGAGAAGGGCGGATGGTGGGGAAAAGCTGGCCGATGGGCAGATCGATGGGCAGGTCGGCTGCAGCAAGCAGAAAGACAAGCAGGAAGCACGACGTGAGGGAGCACTCGGGGCAGGAGAGTCAACTGGAGGCTATAAAATTGCTCACTTGCCGATTCACGAGAAAGAATGAGCGGAATGGAGCGTCATCAGCAACGGAGAGCAGCCGGACTGAAGGACGAAGAAAAGTGAAGCCATGAATGACGTCGAAACCCGCTTCCTGCTTCCTTGGGTTTAGTGTCCCGGGCACGGACAGCCATCCAATCAGTGGCGGCTGAGTCAGCCGCCCTCTCGCGTGCCCTCCTCGCAATTACAATACATAGTACTGTCGCATCCATTCATGGATCCCTCAGCATCTCCTCTCGTCACTCTCTCGTCTCATCGTGATCACTATTACTATGCCCCCATCCCATCCCCCTCTCGCTTGCAATACCTGGACCAACGACAGCGTCATCCGTCGTCATGGTCTGGCCGTACCCGCCGGCGCTGATATTTAGATTAAGATTAAAATCCAGGCGAGGCAAGATGGGCAACCCAATTCCCAGATCTTGGTTCGATTCTCTCCACTTGGGAACAATCATCGTTTTAAGACGTCAACCAGTCCTCATGCTGCCCGTCATGGACTGGTGTCATCATACCCGGACATCTTCCTTTTTATGGTCTGTCCGCCCTCTGCCCTCGGTGCTGATCCAGCGTCTTCCCTTCCCCAGAAAGTCGGGTGCGATAATCGCAGATCCGTTGCTGATGGATTGCCGGTCTGGGGCATCGTTTCGCGGTCGACCATGGGTGGACACGCCACTCCCGCGACTCTGCCATCGGGGCTGGGAGACTCATGTCATCGATGATGCAATAATCCGAGATCCAACGCATGTCAGGAACCTCGAACAACCACCCTGTTTGATTTTCCCGCCGGGACGGTATACTTAAGTAGAGCCGGTCACACGGCTCCGGAGAGGGGCTGTATACTCCGTAGGGACGGAGTATCTACCGCGTATTTGGGCCATCCTGGCCAGGTTACTCCGGGCTATAAGTGGTCGTAGTATGATTCCACTAGGCTACTAGTATTATCAACCGTCGCGACTCAAGGAGAGCGAATCCTGGCATCCCGTGATGCGATGCTGCAGGGCGAGTCACTGGACTGGCCTCCCCTCACCACCATCCCCGATCATCTTCATCTTCATCTTCATCTTCCCATCCCATCACTTCATCCCCTAATTCGATTCCACGTTATCCGCGGCTGTTTCCGCCAGCCAGCCATTCGTATGGCAGCCTCCATGTAGTCTGGCCCAAGCCCCACGACCTTATCGCCGCCATTCTTCGGGTTGACTGGTGCGAAACGCGGAATCCACCGCGCACTGGATCCGCAACGTGGAATGTCCCTGCGACTCGCCTGTCTTGCCTCGCCGTCGCGCTTCTCGGGTCATTTCGTGGCCAACAGGATCCCCTCCGGCGTGTCACGCCTTGCCTGGTCCCAATTCTGACTGCAGACTCTATTTTGGGCGCGCTGGTGGTGGTGGTGGTGGTGGTGGTGCCCCTGGTGACACCCTTGCCTCTGGACTCTCCCTTCCTTGCTGGCTGGAGCTCGTTGCTTTTTCCTCCCAGCCTGGATGCCAACAAACTTTGAAGCCAGACCGGACCAGAAAAGTAAAGCATCGCACCCGCAACCGTTATCCAACGGCCGGCTCTCGAGGGGTTGGGCGGCACCCGTGGACGCGACCACGAATCGCCTCAAGTTCATAGCGAGATAGATAGCTAGCTAGCATGCGACGTCGTCAGCGACCGTCTGGGACCAATCTCCTTTGAAACAGTTCCAAGTGTCATGCTTCGCCCGCCAATCCCCACACTGTGATCGCTTGTGACAAATCTCATCCCTCCAGACGATTGCCGCGACGGTCGGGGTCTGCCAATTGGGCCGACCGTGTCGTTGGGCCATCTCACCATGCCGGGCCTGGAAGTCGTGAACACGTCTCTCGCCTCACCAACGCACCTGGACCCGCCCCAGTTCAGGGCCCACAAGTCTCTACGTCGAAGGCCAAATGTCGTCTGGTGCCCGCCAGTCATCGACACCAAACCCCGAGCTCGACATGGCCGCCCTTCAAATGGCACGCCGTCGACCGCTGCTCCTGTCCGTCCGCCTCTAACGCCTCCGGGGGTTGCTCCCAGCGAAGACGATCTCAGCAGCACCGGCACCAGCACCCCAAAGCCCTCGCACCCACCCACCCCCGAAACCACTCCCCCGCGTGTCGTTGCCCCGGCCCCTCGCCCGGGCCTGCCACACTTGGGACAATCGTCGACCTCCTCGCGCGCCGAGTCGTTTCAGACGGCCTATGAGATGATCTCGGACGCCGAAACGGAGACGCCTCGCCGTTCGTCCCCGGTGTTACCTACGCGACAGAACTCGGTGCGAACGGAGACACCTTTCGAATATGGTGACAGAAGTGGAGAAAGCACGCCCGTTCCCGAGCCTCGGAAACATCGCCTACCTACGACCCTGATGGAGCCTCCGGTGCACCGCCAGGTGGACGTGGATGCGGATCGAAAAGTGTCGCCGCCGCGCCGAAAGAAATCGACGAGGGACGGGGCGCCTCGCATCATGCGGACGGAACCACCCGAACCGCGCTACCATCGGGATGAGGTCGAGACGCAGAGTGTCCGCTCGAGCCTACGAGAGCCGATCCGGGATCCCCTGCAACCCGTGGGGGGCTTATCGATTGAACAGTTCCGCGAAGAAATCGGTTGGCCACGCCCGGAGGATCGGCCTCTCCCTACGCAGCCGGAAGATACCCGCCGGTTGTCCGACATCTCCACGTCTACCGTCGAGGTGATGATCATCGACAGCCCCCAGTCCGCCCAACGATCCCTGCGCCACACCGATAAGAGAGGCTCGCTCCGCTCGGGGACCTCGCCGGTTCCCAACTCGCTGGCGTCCAGCGAGTCGCAACACCGTCTGGTCCACAAGGCGGGCCGGATCACCGAGAGCGACCGCAAGAGCATCGCCTCGGAGATCTCGTTCTCCGGGACCTCGAGTGTGAATCTGCCGCCGCAGAACGTGGACGTCGTTCCGGTCGTGGTGATTCCGGAGCGGAGCTCCTCCCTCAAGTCGTCCGCGTCGACCAGCCGAGATACCTCGCAGAGTCGCTCGCGGCACTCGAGTCGACGCGGCCCGTCCGCGTCGGGCAGTCGGCCGGGCTCTCGCGAGCCAGCGCATCGGAGGCGGCCGTCCGACACCAATGCCAGCATCGGGAGAGGTGCCGAACCTCGTGGTCGCCATTCCGGCCGGCCGACCATTCCACCGCGCGGCTCCTCGCTATCTGCACCGACCAGTCGGAACCATTCACGAACCGCCTCGTTGACGTCGGAGAGCCTGCGCGATCATGCCTTGGCGATGGAACCGGGAATGCCTGAGCGCGCCGCTGCGCCACCGGTGCCTCGACCGGACACCATCGCTCGGGAGGACACGCATGATGCGGCCGAAGCCTCCAAGACCCAGTCTATCATCATTGGAGTGGAGGACATGTCGCATCTCCGGCCCCCTTCGATGCCATACACGCAGATCTCGATCCCGTCATCCTCGCCCGGCCTGATCGAAGTCAGCGAGGCCCGGACGGTGGTCTTCTTCCCCCACAACAATGAATCCCTGCTGCTCGTCGACCCCCAGGCGCAGCCTGCGCTTCACGGGCCAGCGCCCGGCGTGGAATACCCGGAACTCCGCCCGCTCCGGACGGACGATTCGCCCCACCACCGATACGAGATGACTTCGCCGCTGAAGAATCCGCGCCAGCCGCCCAAGCCACCCGTCTGCCACGTTGTGCCTCCGACCCCTGTCCAAGAGAACGACCCTCCGCAGGGGACAGCGGCCCCGCACGAGCCCAGTAAACGCCCGGGCCGGCGGTTTGGCCCGGGTCGACGGCCTTGGATGGGACGTCCGCGGTCCGACTCGTTCCATTCCTTCGTCCGATCCCTCTCCCTGACCTCGGTGAAGAACCGCAAGGCTGGCAAAGACGTGGATGGCCGATTGCAGTCCTTCTGGCGGCCACGCCGGTTCTGGGAGGACTCGGAGGCGGAGGACTCGCCCCAGGCGAGCCCGCGCTCTCCCGCACACCCCGAAGCCGACACGGTCATCAAAAACTCATTGGGCATGCCCCAGCAGCGCATCGTGTTCGAGGGGCCGGCGCTTCGCAGCCCGGACACGCGTCGACGATTCGACCACGCTCGTCCCCAACCCAACCGCAACACCCTAGTGGGAAGCCAGGTGTTCAGCCCCGAGGCCTTCTGCTCGCAGACCTCCCTGCACCACCACCGCTTCCGATCCTTATCCTGGTGGCGGCTGCGGTTCCGGCCGGGGAAAGTCCGCAACATCCGCAAGCGGGTGCGCCGGACCTGGCAACGCCACGTGGAACACCGGCGCCAAGTCAAGCGCGAGAAACTGAAGCAGAGCATCGGCGGGGCGGTTCTGATGGAGTCGAGCACGCAGTTGAAAATCACGGACTAGTGCTTATGCGATTGCAACGAGTATATTATGTTCTATGCAGCTATGATCTGACGGCGTCACTGATGATGATTATGCTTGATTGTGTATTTCTGTCTATTTTTCTTTACGATTCCGTTTTCAATCGGTTCCAGTCCATTGATGATTCACGAGATACCATCATGCCGTGAGATTACCAGTATGATATACATAACAGAAAATGGGGTTAGTAGTGAGGCTTATATAACAAACTCTATCTCTCCTATAGCTATTATTTAAGATAGTAAACTCTCTATAGCTATTACTAACTATTACTCATAAGTATTTACCATCGTTACTTACCGTTGAACTATCGTTGTAGTATATAATTTATATACTTAAACCTAGTAATAGATATTAAGAAGTAGTAAATTGTGATAGAACGGTCTGGATTGAGGCCTTATCTTATCGGCGTCGGCCTGACCGATATCTAGTGATGGACCGGTGCGGTTCGGTTTACACATTTTTAAACCGAACCATTGGAGTGGTTTAAAACCGACCCGTTCTAAAAAGGGGCAGTTTATAAATATTAAACTGAACCATTTTTTTTGGCGGTGCGGTTTATAAATTATTAAACTGAACTGTTTTCCTTGGCGGTGCGGTTCTAAAACCGACCTGTTTACTTAGTGGTACGGTTTTAAACTGATCTATTTACTTAGCGCGAATGTTACCGAAGTAGGAAGTATATCAATGATGAGCTCGAGGATGGAGGTTGGCTTTATACCTGCCCACACTGTGTGGCAGAATTCTCAACTCTCAGCCCTTTATCAGCATGCTGAGGATGTTCCCTCTTGCTCATACCTTGCCAAAGACCACGGGTGTTTGGCCAAGTTGGAACGTTTTATATCCCGCAATCTGGAGTATTAGCTCACTATCAATTCGGTCATTCCCCATCTACTTCTTTCACAGCCAGAATCAACGAAGTTTTCGGGTTTCTTAACATAGCTTGGGTTGAACCCCTAAACACTGATGTGGACGTACTTGTCGTGAGACCCGCTCTCTATCGAAAGGGGTTAGTTACCCTTGACTGGGCCTCTCGCTGGTGTCTGGATACGATCTTGATCATCCTTGGGCGCCTGCAAAACGTTTGTCGGATCTGAGTTTGATCTCCTGGGAATATCTGGGGACGTCCCACACTTTATATCTTAAGAACTCTTCGGGGAGGGTGTCTGCGGGATGTGGAGATCGACCGCACTCTTCCGCAGCCACTCATTTCTTCGCATGATGGTCCCGTCCAATCCTGGCTGCTGACCTTCAATCTTCATTGGCCACAACTCACCCGCCCCTCAGCGGTGTTCCGCCTTCCGATCCCCAAAATTAGAGACACATCCGCTGATACATTTCTCCGCTCCGAGGAAGGGCGCTTCCGGTGATGATCGGATATGGGGAAAGTCTCTGGGGAGTCTCAAGTCGACTTTATCAGAGTCCCAACATCCATATATGCTGTGCACAGTATAGAATCATTCCACGCCTTGGGTGTGAACCAATTATTTGTGGCTTCGTTAACTTGGGATTCCCATTACCCCGGTACCACATGTTTCGCTGTGCGTTTCGCCCCTTCTCGCCTTTCCCTCGCACCAGCGTCGGTCCTACGGCGCGGTACTTTCATCGGGTCACGACAGACTTCGTTGCCCATGATGTGAAAGGAAATCTGGTTACTAGAAAGGTGCCTGTTATTGTTGGCGACCCTGGGGAAACATATGTTTTAATTGAGCCGGCGGTTGGTAGTGCTCTCCGTGCTGCCAGTCCATTTGCATCAGCTTCCGCAGCTCGCGCTGAAGATAGATGTAAACTTACATTTTTCCACGATTCGCAACATTTTGGATATGGTAAGTTATCATTCGTTGGGTATGTCTTGCCAGCCTAACCGTTTGTCCAATTGCAGAATCATCGAGTTATCCCCGCCTTTATGTCCCATGCCAGATCCCTCGCCAAACAGAGTCAAATACAAGCCCTGCAACTTTATTCTTGAGCGGAAAGATGCACGAGATAGTCCTAGATGGAACCCCCGATGGTACAACCCAGCTATCAATCCGTCCCGTCACACGGATGCTGATTCATGATATCTATTTAGCAAAATTTGCCGAGAAGGCAAACGCTACTGGCCAGAACCTTGCCAGTGTACTTCACCAGCTGAAGGATATGTGATTTCGAGTTTTTTTTTTTTTTTTTTGCTGTAGCTATATCGGAAACCGATTGAGATATGTGGATATGGAGACGAGTTGTCAATTGTCCGCTGGGACTCGGGCAAAGGTTAATGGTAAATAAAAATCGTAAGGTCATCAAGATTATTCCACTGATATCCCTCTTAGATGCTTGAAGTATCATAAACGAAGGCAATGGCTTCTGGATTCCTTTGCAAAGCGAATAGAGACGTGAGTCGAACCATACGCAGCTTGGTATATTCAATATCAAATCTATTTGTTTCAGGGGACGCAGGAAGGACCTGATGTAACCTCAACTTGACAAATAAACAGCAGACACAGTCAGATGAATAAGCCAGAACTCGACAAACGATCGCATCAAGGGAGCCTCCTTCCCTTCTCTGCAAGCAAACCGAAAAAAATGCATGAGTGGCAAACCCAACATCCAAAACGGAAATCCTTTCACTAAGCACCGCGTTCGAAAACCTCACCTGGAACCCATTCAGAAGCCTGGCCGTGTTGACGGAGTATGTGGCTAGTACTCGGCAGCGGAGCTTTTATACTCCAGGATTTCTGCAGTCACAGGACCAAGAGGGACTGCCACAGACTTATAATAGTTACCCAATTGTTCCGCGGTCCACTGGTTGGTAACAACGGCGACATGAGCATTTGCTAGCCCCCTATTATGTATATCTTCTGCGAATGGCACCTTCTGAAGGTAGTAGCCGTTGATTTTCAAGAACATATCAGCGGCCAGTAACGCAGTGCGTTTGTTGCCATCCTGAAAAGCATGATTCTTCATTATTTTCTCGGCGAGGTTCGCAGCAAGCTGGAAAACGTCTTCCACCCCCGCGTAGTGCTTCATGTTCATCGGCGAGTGAACTGCAGATTCCAGCATGTTTGGCTGGACGGGAAGGGCATTGGGGGCGACAAATCTCGCATGAAGTCGCTGAACTTGGGAGACAGTCAAAAACTGAAGCGTTCGTGCAGACATTCTGAAAAGATGAAGGCGTCAAGAGAAGAAAGTATGGCGAAAGTATGGCGGGAAACGACTTGATAATTTTCGATAAGCTCTTGAGGCCGAACAGAAAAGACGCTGTACAGGATGATAATATCGAACTACTGAAATGATGTGAAGGGAAAGAACAAAGTATTTCTATTCATTTCGGTGTCCTAATCGCTCTATGCAGCCTTGGGGAAGTCGCCTGCTCACGCAACACTATTTACACAAGGCTGTCAGCTTTGCAGTGAGAGCCGACTCGTACAGGCGCTCTCTGTGCGCTAACATTCCACCTGGTATTGGTTCGCTATCATCGAGTGATCATGAATGGCTGCTCTCGTAGATAATTTATCAAGGCTGCTGTGTGGCCATCCCAGTTTGTTGGGGAGTAATCCATGCCACCAGGGATCCATGAGGCTGCTCCCGATCCACTTAATAGCCGCCGATACACAGGATGGCAAGTCATTTTACGTCCAATGAACGTACTGTTATAGAAATTTTATTTTAAGGCGCGACATTATGTAAACCACCTCCTACTCACTCTCACGGTAGTGTCCAGCTCTTGGAAGCAGATGTTTGGAGACGTTCGAAATGAGCTGCTGAACGTGTCGCAAATGCGGCTGGACGGGCTACACCTCGGGAATGGTAAGATATAGATCAACACGAGATATGTGGTGGCTGCGCACCGCAGTGCACCGCAGCCGCTGGTTTTTTTTTTTTTTCGCCAGCGAGTCAAACGGATAATTGTGTGGGAGAAGGCGAGCGCCATGGGTCTCGACTGGAAGGTGCTGTTACTAGGTCTGTCTCAGAGGATGGCTCACAAGGCCTTTTTCTTCTCGGCTGGTAGTCTGTTCCAAGTCAAGACTCACATGGCACATTTCCTCACAAGAGGGTCCTCACGAGAAAGGTTCTCTCTCAAGAGGAGAATCTTAATCTGGCAATTCTAAGTCGAATCCGCTCATGTGGCCATGCACACAGGATCCCGCTTATACGATGGGAAGCACATGACGGCCTACATGGAGTACTCAGTCATATCCCATATCACGACACAGAGAATGTATCCTATTCCCTCCCCTGCTTTGAGAAGCCCGACCCATTCTTCTAAGCGCCGTGTTCATAAATTCGCCACAAGTCCAGTCACACTTCTGCAGGTTAAACATGGAAAGGCAGCTCATAGCACTTCCGGCCGAACAGAATGGAACCGTAGGCGCTTGGCTGGGGTCGCTGCTTCTGGCTGATCCACTGTCCGCGAAGCCAAGGACAGAATCTGTTTGTCGTTCACAAATGGGCCCTCGGCGGTAAGTTTCCTCGTGCTTGGAGACAATCAATATCGCACTGTTTCTATCAATAGTAGCCGCGCGATAACACTGTGCTGGAATACCTTGTTCGTTTCGTTTCATTTCATGGTTGTGTTATGGTTATGGTTATGGTATATTGGTACTTGTATTGATGGTAGATGGGTAGTAGGAGTAGACTAGGAGTAGTTTAGGGGTGATTATATTGGGGAGGGGGTGTATGTATGTATGTATGTGGGTAGTATTTTTGATCCGGGTTGTTAGTTAGAATGAGGAGCTTGGACTGGCTGGGTTTGATGGGAAATACTAGTACGAAGTAAGGGTAAGAATCTTTGGGAAAGAGGTATTAGTCTCGGTATCATCCGAATGGGTATAATATTCGAAATCACTGATCCATGTGCAAGTCAAGGCAAGGTATACATTCTACACTAACCAGTATAGACACTCTATGGCCGTGATATCAGACCAATACAGACATCTCACCCAAAAAGTTCAGACAACTCCTCGCTCCGTCCGGGCCAAGCGGACTCGGACATCCCGCTGGTATAGTACAACAATCAGTCATCAAACAGAAGAAGAACGCCAGGTCCCCGTCATAGAACAGCAACAAGCTCATGCGATGCCTTGGGACTCCATCCCCGAGATCGTAGAGTAAGAATACGGCAGATCCACCAGCCCGTCCAGCAGCCAGTTCAGCGGGTCGAACACCTCGTAGTTCGGCTCCAGGAACCCGCTCGGCAACGGGCCCACTCCGCTCGCCGGTGGCACCCCCAGACTGGCCTGTGCGAGCATCGGCGCCGGCGCCAGGCTGGGGTCCGCCCCGGCCACTCCCGGCGTCGCGGTCGACGTGCGCGTCGGCACGACTGAAGACGAGTTTGACGAGTCGGCGTTGGAATCCGGGTTGGTGGGGTTTTTTAGATATGCTGTTGCGGTTAGCCTTGATACATTCCCACCCGGAGGTCCAGGGCATACCTTCAATGTTACGGCCCTTGGTCCGCGCGTCTTCCCGCCACCGCCACACCGAGTCAAACAGCAGGGACATGCTCATCCGGCAGCGAACCTTCAGCATCAGCGAGTCGTCCACCTCCCCGCCGTCCGCCGTCAGTTTCGGCGTGGGCACGTTGTTCAGTCGCCACATCTGCGCCACCACCTCCGCCAACCGTTCCGGGAGGTCGTTGCTGGAGACGGACACGCCCCGGATGGCCCAGATGGTCCGGTTGAAGAGGTTCTTGGCGTAATCCATGTCGATGTGGGCGGCAAAGAAGCTCTTGCAGAGTTTCAGCAGGGTGCAGCCGCCCGCGACCATCATCTGGTACACGTAGTACGGGGTGTAGGGCAGCACGGGGCCGACCTCCGTTTCCAGGTTCATCGCAGCTTCCAGGAACGACGTGGTCGCCACGTACAGAGAGAGCAGACGCTCGCGGTAATCCTTCGCGGTCGTGTCATCGAAAAAGGCGGACAGATGGAGGTGCAGATTCGATGCGCGCAGATAAAGATTCGTGATGCCTAGACCAAATTAGAACCATCTCGCACCAGGGACAGGAGCACATACAGTCGTGTTGTGCCTTCAGCTGGTTCTCCAGTTCATCGAAATCCCGGGAGAGAAACGAGATCAAGGTCGACCGCTCTTGATCGCTGCACAATCCGACAGGGTCCCGTCGATTGGTATACAAAGATTTGGTGACCTTGTCGCAGAACTTTTCAATCTCCAGTCGGGGCCGGATGTCATTGGGCAATCGGAAATTCGGGTCCATCGATTCATTCGAAGAGAGGGTCCAGTCGTACACGGTGGACGGCGGCTGGCCGTAGCCCGTAGCCACTCTGCACGCAATCAGTAAAGCCCGGGGCAACGAAGATACAAAGCATACCGCTGTGCAACGATGTTGCAGACTGCCCAGGTGCGCACTTTGTCGCGGAGCTCCTCTTCAATCAGCTCCACCCGGAATTTGCTGAAATCTTGCGTATGGGATGGACGGTGTAGACCCAGCTGCATCGCCACTTGGATCATCATGCCGCAGAGCATAAAGGTGGGGTCCGTGGACGTGCTGCTGGTCGGAAACGGCCAGGTACAGAGCAAGCAAAGCGCCTTCACGACGTGGTAGCTTTGTGGGATGTCCGCCAGCGTACTCCACACCAGTCGCGAAACCGGGCCCGAGAGGGAATTAAGAAGGTGAGTGTCGGCTTGGAAGCGCCGCGCGCCCACGCTAATGATGGTCCAGAACAGCAGGGGCGAGGCGTGGTAATATTCATCGGGGGTCTGCTCGCGATCCAGGAAGGGTAGAAAAGGATGATAAAAGGTGAAGAACCTAGCCAGGTTAGCGAACAGCCCAAATACAACTTCATTGGGGGTGGCTCACAGGTTGAATAGCTCGGTCACCCGCTCGGGAACGACAGCGACATCTTCGATGCGCTTGAAATGATGATTCCCATTTCGCATGTAGCTCGTCCCGTCATAGCCCGAGCGCAAATCCAGCAGCGACGCCACCGCTTCATGGGACCCCATATACTGGTCGGTCGACATGGCCGACGGCGTATGATAGACCCCCGAGCCGACCTGACTGGCGGTCTCTTGCTTGGGCGTCTGGGCCGGGGGCAGCGACGGGGGCGGCGGCTGCGACATGGACCCCGGGGTACTGGCCTGGACGGTGGCAATCTGCTTGCGCAGCTCGATGATCTCCCGTTCCATTTCGGCATTGCGACTGCGTTTCCCGACCCGTTTGAAGTTGGATTCGATCTTACAATCCAGCTTCAGGCGACGACACCGGGAGCAATCGGTCCACGGGTCTTGAATGACATCACACCGGAGCTGCCAGACGCGACAAAAGTAAGCCCCGAAAGAAGCCATGGAAGAGGCGCAAGGAGCAAGCTCACCTTTTGCTGGCGACATTCATTGCAGGCCCGCTTCACGGGCTGTCTCTTCTTCTCCTCGTGATTGTCCTGCCCCTCGACATCATCGATACTCCCCGGGGAGCTGTCCAAGCCCGCCATGGCGGTGGTGCGCTTCCTGGCTGGTCCGAGGCCATCGGACCCGACAGCCGGAGAGGCAGATGGATGGCCGGCACCTCCCATCACGGGACTGGGGGCAGCCGAAGCATTCTCTCCTGTGTTTGGCTCCAGGATGGTACCCTGCAGACCCCTGCCTCCGATGCCGCTGGGTGATCCTTCGGAGAAATCCAGGCTGGTGGACGGGGTGGCAGCCGATGTAGGGAAGTTGGGCAGTCGAGGAAGAGAGTATGGGCCACAAAAAGCCAAAAAAAAAAGAAAAAGAGTCGGTCTGACGGATGGCTGGGCACGAGCCTACCCACGTGAGAAAATTCGGAACTAGCCACCGCCGTGGAGGATGTCTCGTGCACACTGCAGATCTGCAATGGGGTTGGCACACAACGAGTGATCCAGACCCTCAGTCGATGGGATGAATCACCGCGGAGGGGAACGGCGGGCTTGCCAGCGACAAGAAGCTGTCCGATCTCGCTCTCACGTGGTCTCGCCCGAAAACAGGCACGTGATAAGCGGGTGGCACGAGGGGCTTTAGTCAGCACGGACCAGGGCCCACTGGTCCCTTATCTCTATTCCATTAGGTAACGTACCCTAACTACTCCCTGCTCGATCCCCTGATTAGGCATGTCCACTAGCTGTCACCTGAGTAGTCTGTCACAATCATCTCAAGCATACCCTCAATGGCATCATGTCACATGATTTCATGTCATTTGTCCTATCATGCATCGCTCATTCTTATCTATAGGCTGTCATCTCTCTGCAAGTAACACTAGCCTGCAGTCCGGTGCTGCAGTCATTTACCTTGACATGTTTCTGCTAATAAGTAGTCCAAATAATCCAAGTATTTGATTAAGAATCATACTTCTATGATCATTGTATAAGCAGATCAGACATCAGCCTCGGACACGAAACTAGCCACCCAAACATCCATAGACCGAACCCCCTTCCTCCCCCCTGAGATACCCTCCAAGCTGGCCTCACACGCATCCCGCGCCGCCAGAACCACTGCCCGTTCCCTCTCATCCCTCACCTGCTCCTGTACTTCCCGTTCAAACGAGGAAGACAAACAAGCAGCGACCTCCCATTGTCCATCCAACAGCCCCTCGTCAGCTTGCACACGGGTCTCCTTCTGCAGCCGCCACCCAGCCGCCAAAGCCAACTGGGTCAGCCGCTTGGGCCCCAGCACCGTACGGACATTCGAGACACTGTCCTTTTTCCGACACTCTAGCGCGGCCTGGGTGAGCGCAGCTAAGACGTGAGGCTGAGCCGAGGGGTGCGTCGCGACTAAGGACCACTCCGCCAGGAGGAGACGCTTGCTGTGCTGCTTGAGGGCCTGGAAGGTGGACAGGATGACGGCGGGAGAGGCGAAGTACCAGAGGCTGTGGGCGAGTACGGTGGTGTCGAAGACCGTACTGTCGGGCAGGGAGGAGAGGTAGTCCTGGGGGGTTTGTTGGACCCAGGTAATCTGCTTACCCAGTGGGCCTTCTGAGATGTGGCCTTGTGCTTGGCCGAGGGTATATGGGGCACCTGAAGCCATCAGTCAGCGTCAGGACAGGTAGGTAGTAGGGTGAGAAAGCGAGAGAGCTCACCATAGTCCAAGTCCGCTGGATCGACTGCTACCACCTTCCCCTGCTCGCCTACAGCATTGGCCAGGACAGTCGTGCAGTCGCCCTGTCCGCATCCTAGCTCCAGCACATTGGAGTCAGTGGGAATGTTCCAGTGCTGTAGAAGCGCCAGGCGATGAATGGTTTGGGAGTGCTGGATGCGGAAGTGGATGGGATCGTGGAGGGAGATGCGGGCGATAGAGGCGGCGTCGAGTTGAGTAGACATGTTGGGCGACGGAGCGAAATGATTGCCTTGATTGTAGTGCTTGTTAAGAGCATCCCTTAGGTGGTTCGATGACACTTTATAAGTAGAACCATACCTGTCGGTATCCCGTACCAGTCCTCCGTATGGAGACTGGATTTTTCATTTCATCCACGATGCATCACTACCGTAGAATGAAGTATCGAACATACTCTCGATGATCAGATTTGATGGGACTCTCGGCCTGATTCCATCGCTGTCCGAACGTAAGCGGACCTCAGCTCGGACGGCCGACGGATCAGGAATGGGGTGAGTCACGGAGGATTCCTCTGGCCGCTTGAACTTTAGTAGTACCGGACAGTCCGAGGGTGGGAACAGCAGGGTTGTGCGTGGCGTCGTCCTAGTGCTTATGATGACTCCTATCCCAGTCATCTACGGAGTCGTTACGAGCACAAACTATAACTAATCGACGGAGAAGCCAGCCCTGAACTCGAGCCAATCGAGATGCAGCCACCACTTCACATCCCGCCCAACCGCCTTATACCCAGACGAAAACAGTGGCCTACCGCCGGATGCTGTCCCGCTACTGGGACAACGCCAGTCCCTTCGCCCTGGACCTCGTCGGCGCCGTCATCCGCCAAGGCACCTTCAGCAAAACCTACCCCAAGCTCACCGCCACCACCCTCCACACCACTACCTCCCCAGACCCAAACAAAAACCCACACATCTCCGCGCACAACGCCGTCCGGCCTGCCCGCTCCCAATACGAATGCTCCCAACGACGTCTTCGCAAACACCACCTAAACCCACCCCCCAACAAAACCACCACCCCCAATCCAACAAGTATGTATGCAGCCACCCCCCTGGTCTGGGGCTATCCGATCCTCGTCCCGTATTATGCCCCGTATATGTGGTGATCCGGGGGTACATGCGGACGCGTATGTGGGGAAATCCCGGCTGCATGAGTTTTGTGCATGGGGCGGAGGATGTGGTGGTAGTGGTGGTATTGATATACACTATATACTACTAGAATACCATACCTCCACTTATATACGTCCCCATTAATCAAAACTATACTTAACCAGCCAGTCGGTCAGTATATCCCCTCTACATAGAGCATATGACTTATTCACGCGAGAGAGAGAGAGATACAACAACAACAACAACAGTGAATATACCTATGAATAGAATTGAATAAATAAACTAAACGAACCTTGGATGGTCATACATGTCTTCTAGGGAATTTGATGTGATTCAACTCATTGCAAGATTCAGGAAGATGGAGAGGGAATGCTCCCGAAGGAATAGGAATTGGGTCAGATGAGACCAAATTATATCTGGTTATATCAACATATCAAACTATATCAATTATATGGGGGTGCTATGGAGGAGTAGTAGTAGCAGTAGAGCTGTGGTTCACTCATGTGGTAAAAGGCCTCCTCCAGACCGGTGTATAAAGCTATAGTGCAGCAACCAACCAGTATATCAGTCAGTATACATAGGATACGCCGCCTCCGGACGATCCTCAAAGAACCGTAACAGGCCCGTCACCGCGCGAACGACCTCCTTACGCTCCGCACGGTCCCGGATATTGAACGCCCGAGTGCGCTGGATGCGCATCGACCCTGATAGGGTTTCCGTAGCGCGCAAGCGTTCTAGTTCCTGCCGGGACATGGTGGCTTTGACGAATCGAAGATTCCAGCCGCGCAGACTGAGGAGGTAGGCGGGGTATTGGTCGCGATGGGGATCGTACTCGTAGCCCAGGTTGGCTTGGAGTAGGAGGGGGGTGAGTTCATACCGGGCGATGCCTCGTTGACCGAATTGGGGTTTGCACTGGGGTTGTCAGCTTTGGGATACCGGTGACGACGTGGGAGGGGAGGGAGCAGACGCACGATGCAAACCGCAAGAGGAAAGCCAATGGAGTGGCGGCCGGTGGTCTTGTCGTACTTGTGTTTGACAATAGAATGGTGGAAATGAATCCCGTCGTCACACTTGCCCAGCCGAGCCTTCGTGAGTGGTATATAAGAATGGTGATGGAAGGAGCTAGGTAGACCCTTATTATTAGCTCTTAACAATAATAATAGAGAAGCAGCAGCAGCAGCAGCAGCAGAAGACAACCAGCCAGGGGGTAAAGGAAAGCTGGGAAGGACGAAGGCTGGCTCACATCTCTTCATCCGAGGACAAGCGGTCGAACAGCATCCGCAAGGATTGAAATATATAGTCATCCGTCCAACAACCATATGAGTCCTGATGAATGTGGTTGAAAAAGAGCGAGAACGCGCGTTTCTGGGGATCTAATTGCTCGTACACGTCCAGCCAGCTCAGGGTTGGGTCCGCATCTTCGGTGGCAGGGTCTTGCCATCGATCAACCCGGCCCTGCAATTCTAGAAGTTCCAGCGGAGGATGAATTAATTTTTCAGTTTCCAAGGATGGCAAAGCTGACTTACCGGCATCATCATCCGATGGCATATACTGGGCGTCGATGATCGCGTCCAACGGCACTTTCGCCTGTGTCTCAATCCGGACCACGAGCAATCGATCGGGCATGTTGAGACCGCGGCGGTTGTAAGGGTAGTGTTTGATAGTGAACGGCTTCGCATCCTCGACTTCCATCTCGCTGTCGCATAATGGAACCGTATGCGAGTCACTGTTACTCCACGGATCTTCCTCTTCAGCCGTCCTTTTCTCCGTGTTGTTTCGGACGAAGTGAAGTTTGATGCGCGTTATAAACGTGTGTGTTCTCACCTCTGAATCTTTGACACGTCTCCTCTTGGAGATCCTGGCAGCTTTCAGGAAGTCGTCTAAAGCGTGGAAAATCTCGTCGTCGACGGGCCCTTTGGAACGGAGGTCATAGCGGCCATAGCGGTCACGGGGGATTCGCCGTTGCGGTGGCATTTGCAGCCACGTCTACTGGGGATGTGGTGTAGATGAGACGCGGTGGAAGGGTGGGGACAGGAGCGCGGAAATAGCAGCAACCGGCAAGCCTTTAACAGGGACACGGGAACAAACCTGCAATCCGTCTTTGTAAGAGCAGTGGAAGAATATGAAGGCATCGACCACGGGCGGGGGAGCCTCCTTTGACACTCCTGGCGGCCTGGCTTTGTGGTAAGAATAGCAACACGGGAGGTGATACCAGAAAGCCACCGGAACTCCGAAGAGGCGGTGATTGGATGCGTTTCAAGATACTCCCACCTATTACCAGTGCCTCGCGAAAAAGAAAACACAAGAAACAGTAAAGTAAAGTAAAGTAAAGGGATAGCAGGACAGGGACACGAGGGCTGTCAACTCTGTCACCTATGGTAACTAGTATCAGGATATCAGAAAGCCACATCAACTCCAAGAGTAGATGAAGGTGGGTGTGTCCCAAGACGCTCCAAGCCATCGCCAACGCCCAAGGGGAATCATGGGAAAAGAAACGTGACAAGAAAAAAGGTAGAAAAAAAAAAGAGAAAGAGAAAAGAAAAGTCAAAGTAGAAAATTCAAAAGAAGCAATGCCAGCCTGCTATATTGAGGGCCGGTCCTACCATCATCATGCTATCGGGATTGAAGGAGACGATACTCACCTTTCTTTGGTCTGTGTACTTCTTGATAGTGATGATGATGAAGAAGCCTATACCTTTGCTGGACGAGCACCAGGCTGCTCACTGGCTGGCCTTCCAGAAGCACTCAGAGAGATCGAACGAGAGGAGAAACATGTGGCGTTTTCTCAGGGCTGCCTGGGACACAAGGTTTGCAGCATATCATCCGTCTCTCCGTTCCTATTCATCATGCTATTCATCGGGGTGAGACAGTCATTTGAACAAAATAATTTGGAAACGCAAGGTGGAAAAGGAGGCGACGGTCACTTGAAGCTTAGGGGGAAGCCCTAGCTGTATATAAGGCAGAAGCCGTTATGATAAAACCAAATGGAAACAGAGGAAAGAGAGAGAATAGCCGGTGTAGACTACTATCCTTTCATGTTATTTCCAGAAATACATTCGATAACCATGCGGAGATCCTCCATGAACCTGAAATGCCTGCAGAAACCGGCATCGGAATGGTCGGAGAAGCACTTGCGATCCTTACATGTGACACGCAGAGATGGCACGCCGCTGGAGGACTTTGATTTTGCGAGGTACATGCCGGAGGATGGCGACCACGGTATGATTGCCCCGTCTCAGTATCCTAGGATGAAAGACAACTGATCACCCGAGGGGAAGCCAGTGTTTGACCAACTCAATGCCCATCTCGTCAAGCCGGCCTGCTCAGATTTCTACCTTGGGCCGGTCGAAATTTGGGGAAAATTTTCAAAACAACCATTTCTGCTCCTTCTTCCAAGATGTCTGCCGTGCCGTGGATAAGAAGCGTGGGGATAGGCAGCGTCATTCGCCAGTGAGTGACGCCTCGAGCGAAGAAAATGCACAAGAATGCAATCCCGAGAGCGCACTGCACGCATTTGTTCACTCCATCTTGGTAATGAAGGGCCACGACCTCCAGAATGGGTGGTCTATGCAAATGTAAGAGAATTGGCCATGCATGGCCATATCCTGGTGGTTCCCCCTCAGCCCCTGGCGCTGACAATCCCAGGTGCAAGGACCGCTTAGCAACTGAGCTAAAAGTCGGCACGAGGGACAGTGGGCACCATCTAGCTCGGAATGATGGGTGTGTGGTGCTTCGAGGCAGGGATGGGATTGAGGCTGTCCCCATCATCAGTTTCGAGGTGAGAATTGCCGCTTTTGCCTACTTGGGAAAGCCAGACATGAACTGACTCCGACAATGGCCAGGCAAAAAAAAGGGATCTAGGGAACCGAGTCCATTACCCTGAGCACAGCCAAGAGCCCTACCGGGCAGATATTTTCGGACAGGAGGTGGCGTTGTTATATGGCCAGGCATGCGCCTGCAGCGTGGACGGGACGGGGGACGTGGTGACGGGCCATACAGGATGGCTGATAACCATGCACGGTACACGCCTTCGGCTGCTGCAGGGAGACTTCAGCCGAGCGTACCTGTGCGGGGTCCGCAGCAAGACTCTGGCACGCACTCAACTCCTGGTGGTTAAGAGATCCGACGAGTTCAATGTCAAGTACCCAGACAGACGGGTGGAGGCCTTGAAGGCGGTGATGGGCCTGTTGAGGTTCATCAAGTTGGGGACGTACCGGAATGCGTACCTCGAAAGGCTTGGAGCTCGTTGAATCAGCAGCCAGTAACACTGAGGAAGCCCGGAAGAGTCGCAGTCGCAAGCATTACAGCCATAGTAGTCGGGAGAATAAAGGCCATGGGAGGGACAAAGCACCGCATTTTTTCTTCTCTTTCCTTGGAACCCTTGATCGAGCTTTGTGCGGTCCAGAAAGGAGAAAGAAGAGGGGCCAGTGGCTTTGTGGTAAGAATAGCAACACGAGAACGTCAACTCTGCCGCCCACTACTGAGTCTCGCCGGCTTGGCCTCAGGAAGCCATCAACTTTGCTTAGATAGATATAGATATTAATAGAGATATGACTCCCCCGTCTAGGGACCGAATGATCTTACGAGATACTAATCACCGGTGGAGTTAGTATCTGAGGATCATAGCCACAACGTTACACCTCCCAAACAACACCGATGGAGATACGCAGTCATGGGACCTAGGTAGGGAGGTTCGGGAGATACGGAGCAGAGAAAAGATATAAGTGGATAGATAGCATAGGAATATGATCGGTGGTTAGATATAGGAATAGCGGTAGGTCTGCTGGGAGGGAGAGATCTGGCTGATGTAAGTCGATTTATGGAGTACCACCATGATTCATGGAGCAATCAGAGTCTGGTATTGGTAATCGATACAGAGGATTCTTAAGGTGTAGGTAGGATCGGGCTAGACCGGAAAGGATCATCGCAGAACCAGTTCGGTAACTACACTTATGATCATCCATGTACAAGATATGCACAGCTCTACGAGACTATATTCACTCGGGTATATAAACTAACTCGTCCCACAAATCACGCAAAACCTAAACAGTCTAACCCAGCCATGCGACCAACAATCTTCCTACATCACTATACATTTGCTTCGGCGTTTGCTTCTCTCGTAGATGGTTTGTTCGTTCCACTCTTCAATGCGTCGGCGCCACAACTCGTGCGCCGCCACCTGCGAGCTAGTAGACAGGGTGGGATCCGTCGATGCCCGGCGGTTCAGAGGTGGGATCCCCCCGGGCGGGAGTCGGACATCCTGGGATTGGGAGCGCCGGTCTATTGCCCGGGCATAGTGGGGACGATGCCGACTACCCTGCACAGCTTCGGGGGCGTCATATTGGTGGGTGGGAACCTGGAGGTTGGGCGAGGAGAGGGAGTACGGGTAATTGTCGAGGTTGAATGCCACGTGCTGAGTCGCTGGCACCGGCTCCTGCCAGTCTACCGATTCCTCCAGCAGGACGTCCGGATGGTCACTCCGTTGGGCGGACTGGGATTGGTTCGGCTGGGTAGAGCCGTTGAAAGGCTGCGGGTGGCTCTGGGAGCTGACAGAAGGATATTGTTCAGGCAGAGGCAGCTGCAATCCGTTGGCCCCTTGGAGATTGGGTGGCGGGCCCGTGACAGAGCCTCTCCTGCGAAAGAACACGGTATGCCTCCTGTTCTGTTCAGACAACTCGGACTCGGGGTCTCTCGTGCTCCTTCTCATGCGAGCCGCGAGCCGCGAGCCGGTGATGGTATGCAGCCTTTGCAGCGAAGTGCGAGGGGAGGCCTCGTCAACCATACGTTCTAGGCGACTTGTCTGGGGTCTTCGGATCTCTGTGGGAGCGTCGCCGACTCTATGGACAGGTTCCGTATTCGAAGGTAGGAGGGTCCTTCGTAGATAATCGGGAAGAGGGGCGTCAGGCACGCTAGAATAGGGAGGTGGAGGTGGAACCCAGTTATCGGCGTCGCTCTCGTGGGGAACCTGGAACGCCTGGGCCGGCCTCTGACCTTGCACCGGGCGTGCTTCAGCTGGGTATCGGGGGTTATGGCGTCCCCGGCCAGTGGCCGCAGCGGTGGCTGCACGACGCAGCGTGTCCCGAGATCGCGGCTGCGTGTTGTCATACGGGGATTCTGGGATATGCTGGATGTCGCCGTTCGAAGAGCTTGAGAAGAAGGAGCTATTTCTGCGAACATTTGGCCGAGGAGCGTGGGTGACCGAGTTGGCCGATGGATATGATTCCCTCGCAAAGGCTCTCGGCCGCGGCGAAGCAGCGTTCCCCCGATGCAACCGCGTCCTTCTCCGTTCCAGCTCAACCTCAGTGTCCAGGCTCGAGTTGGGCTCATTCAGCATCGTCGGCTCCGCATCGCCGACCTCAATGTTGAGTTCGGTCGAGTCCCCATTCCTGGGGGATCGCTCGAAATCCAATAACAGGACCCGTCCGCCATCGACTGGCACATCTTCTTCGCCGATGGTCGGAGGGCTAATGCCACCAGGAGCAACGGCCACCAGTCGACGATGGTCCGCCATACAGCTTGGATGGCGCACCCAGCGGGCCGCCGTCATCCCGGGCATATCGCTCATTTTATGGCCCCTGATCAGAACCTTTGGCTTTGTGACAGACTGTTGTAGCCGAGAGAGACTATCTCGAGCCGCAGCCGCTTCCGCGATTGGAGGGCTTTGTTCTACCTCCACCCCACTATATGACCTTGCGCTGGGCGCTACAGGAGCAATGTCCAGACGATCAGGTACTCCATACACCCAGAGGCCAGAATTTTCAAACCCCAGAGCGACCAGTTCGCCCAGATCGTCCACGGTCGGTAGCATAACTGGGGAAGACTCCTGAGACCCGTCATCAGACATCGGAGTCACGAAATATGTGGTGCCCGAGTTCGAGTTATGCACTCCAAATGCTCTGAACGTGGCCATCTGCTCGTCAAACCCTAGTATCCAGCTACCTTCTCCTTCTGCGTGCAGGGGAAGCAGACACGCGTGACTAAACCCGGTTGTGATGTCTGGAAACAAAATCTGTGTTGTCCACATCCGGATCTGCGCATCTCTCGGGGAGTACTCGGCTTCCGATTCGGTGTAAAAGGGCACTGTTATGGTAACCAGGCCGCCATTGCCGCGATCAGCGGAGGTCCCTAGGAGCATGACACCGTCCGAGGAGAACGAGACCGAGTCAACCCCGGAGCAGCGCACCGCTCTTCGTTCGGTAGCCAGGACCTCTTCACCGATGGCGTACACCTCGACTCGATCGTCGTACGCAATGGCGAGAACGCCCCCGGTCGGGGAGAGCGCCAGGGTCCGAGGAACATCGTTCAAAGCCAGGTCCTGAATGTGCCTCGCTTCGTCGCTGGTCAGGCGGTAGATATTGACGCGATGACTGGAAGACGCCACGGCAAGAAGTGAGCCATCATCCACAATCGCAGCATGCAACGGGCGTCGCCATGTTTTGAGCTCATGTTTCACAACCGCAGTATCCGAGGTTACATCAAGAACAACAATTCGGGAAGAGCTGATGCACAGGATGAGCTGCGCATTTGGAGAGAAAGAAAAGCGAAACGCTTCACCATGTGGGAACGCCGTCGACGAGCTCATGGACGTCGAGGTAAGCTTGATCAGCGTCCTGCGAGGCCGCAGGAATGCCTCAAAAGCATTCCGCCTGACCTGGGCGCCAAATTGCTGTTTGAGCAACGCGAGATCGCCGGGATGGGCCGGCTCCTCGGTAGCTTTCTGCGTCAAGGCAAAGGACGGGCATTGGGATAGATGGTGAGCATACAAGAGGGTTGAGTCGGAGATACGGCGCCATTTCCGGTTCAGCAGGGACAACGACGCAAAGCTGTTGGCATCTGCGACATATAGAATCCTATGCAGCCAGTTAAATGGAATCCGTCCGAGCGTAGGCAACAGCTGTGACGGATCACATGACAGTCGCTCGGGATCGCACCGCGCTGGGAAGACTGGAAGGCACTTACTGCTCGATCACCGTCCGAGGCAAACGGCTGAAGGGGGACGAGTCCTGCGCCTCGCGATGCAGCGACGTGCTCTTGGATAGCTCGTGGTGCAGTTTGAGGGAGCCGTGCTGGGGATTGAGATGGGGGCCGCCAAGCCGCTCCGCGTTGGGCAACCGGACATCCTCCTCCATGGTCGATGGTAGATATCACCCACGAGGGTCTACATTTGAGGAGACAAATGCAGACGGGCACTGGGTTCAATTATCCGCGTCCAGCATCTTTTTTAGGGGACATAGGGGCAAAAGACCCGAGGAAGGATGCACGCTGGTGGGCAGACGGGGAAGCGCCAACGAGCCAGGTCGGTGGCTGTGTCCCTCACCCGCACGCCAATAATGCACCGGGGATCTTTTGTGCCAATGCGTCGCCTGCTCTGAAACGGGGCGGTTTCAGATGACTGGGGGGAGCGTTTAGTCGACAGGTCAGAAGCGGGGAAGCATACCGAGCATTGTTTGGTAATAGAAGCAAGAGGGAGAGAGAAGATGGAGTAAGTAGTGGAGGTGAATGGAGAAAGAAGAGGAGAAGAAGGCGAGACTGGCCTTGTATGTATCCGAGGAGTACGAACTAGTACGGGGTATGGAATATGGCTGTATGAATATGGTATGGCGCTAAGCCCTGGCAGGAGTGACCTCTCCCAAACCGGGCAAGACCCGCGCGGATATAAATACGGCAATCCGCAGCACGTGGTTGGCCGCCCTGGCTGAGTCAGCAGTGTTACCCCCCACCACAGTTTCGCAGCGCCGATAAGAATTGCGGAAAATCGTCAGGTTTTTATCGCGCGCTCCGCCAGAAACGCAAGGAGATCGGCCAGCAAGTAGCGACAGATTGGCCCTCATCGTTCGCTCCGTGTCGGGTCCCTTGGGTGTCGCTCCAGAAACTATGCACCCCTCCGCGCAGCGACGCGATTAGCAGCATCCTCCCGGTCCAATGCTCCCCTTCGGCCTTGAGATCTAGCCGGGTCCGACGAGAACTCCCGATTATCAGTGGATGACTGGCTGTGCTAGCCCAGGCACCCCGTTGGAACTCCGCGATCATCTTGCAGCTCGTCCGATTTCCCTACCCACCGTTGGCTGTTAGCCGGCCTTTCGGACCTGTCACACGTTTCATTGAAGCCCTACAGCGTATGGTCATCGGCTTGCGCCGACAATCGCACGATCGGGGCGCATCATGCCGCCAATGACGGCTCCCACCACGTCCACGCAGAAGCTGGCTTCTCCGGGGTTCAACGCTGGCGCCAGACCATATCGGTCACACAAGGTTAGGGCTTGTGACTTGTGTCGGAAGCGCAAATCTCGATGTACCGTCGATATCCCCGGTCAATCATGCCTTTTGTGTCGAGTCCAAGGAGCGGATTGTCATTACCAAGAGGAGGCCAACAGTGATCCTCCGCTCACCAACGGCCATGAACCCAAACCATGGGGGGCAGACCACGCGCGCGTCTCGTCTCTCGGTCAGAAGCGCAAACACACCCCAGATACAGATTCTCCGTCGCATTCCAGCCGGCGACGAGCTTCCAGCGTGGCCCATTCGGACTCGGCCTTGGACCGTCGGAGAAGTGGTTCTAGGAGCCAAGGAGTCGAGGACCCCCACAACGAATCGGTTCTGATTGTTGGCCCTGTCGTGGCTGAGGATGCCCAGGTTATTGAGAGGTATATGCCTCCAGAGCGGACCAGCAGATCCGTGGAGCCAAAAAGTCAGCCGTACAACGTCTACTCCAGTGATCCGCGGAAGCCCATTCTGTACACCACAGTATCGCGACGGAGGCAGGGTATGCGTGTGGGTGTCCCTCCTGGGGAGAATCAGAAAGAGATCCTCGAGCAGATCCTCGGGCCTTTCAAGCGCGACCTAGTGAGACTGTACGCTTCCCATGGGTTCAGATCAGGAAGGTGACATGAGACGGCATACTAACTCTGGTCTCAGGTTCATCGACCGGTTCAACGCAGCATTCCCTATCTTTGATGGAGAGAGTTTCTGGGAGGCGTTCCTTTCTGAGTCGCCGGGGGACCCGCCCGCGTCGCTTTTATGCCAGGTCTACTCGATGTCGCTCGTCTACTGGAAGCACACGCCCAAGCTGGCTTGTCACCCGAAACCAGATCCCCGGTATGCAGTCAACATGACGGTCGCCGCGCTGCACGAGGAGTTTTCAGCGCCTGGTCTTTCCACCGTCAGCGCGGCTCTCATTGATCTGACGGGTCGGCCAATTTTCTCGATGACCGGAAATGCCATCAGCTGCGGGCGAATGATCTCCCTGGCGCATTGTCTCGGCCTGAACCGCGATCCCAGTCACTGGAAATTGTCCCGACCCGAGAAGAATCACCGTATGCGACTCTGGTGGGGCGTCGTGATTCATGACCGCTGGTAATATCCATCTATTTTCCATATAGTGCTGGTGACTGACATACATAGGGGGAGCTTCGGTCACGGCGTGCCTCCTCAGATCGCCAAAAACCAATATGACGTCCCTCTTCCCACGATTGATGTGTTAATCCCCCAGACGGCTCGCACCCCCGAGCGCGTCCGGGCTGCTCACTGCCACATTGCCCTGTGCCGACTCACCGAGATTCTGGGTGACTTGTTACCTCTTGTCTACGGCCTGCAGCATCGCGCCCACCGCGAGACCACCAAGAAGGTCCGACAAATCCGCACCGACCTCGACGTCTGGGAGGATTCCCTTCCTGACTGGCTACGCAACCCACTCAGCACAAGCCCGTCGGAGGACCGCATCTCGGGGACCAGCAGTCTGCAACTTGGCTTCCTGGCCGTGAAGATGCTCGTCAGCCGGGTCGAACTGAACGTGAGTACACTCCAGCCCGATAGTTTGCACATCATACTAACCCTGCGCAGGAGGTCAACAACGCCGAGACCGACAATCCCGAAGCACGCCGCTACTTTCAAACCGAATGTCGACGATCCGCCGAAGAAATCGTGCAATTCATCTCCTCCCTTCGCAAACAGAACTTTCAAGAATTCTGGCTTCCATGTATGCCTCCAACCCCTCTCCTCCACGTCTATGCTATCCAAAACAACGTTCAAAAGAAAAACAACTCGAAAGAAGCTAACCCTCCCCAAGACAGCGCCTTCCACCTCACCACAACCGCGACCCTCCTCGTCCGCTGCGCCCTCGAAACCACCGACCCCGAAGTCGCCCGATCCTGCCTCACCAACGTCGAGACCTTCCGGTCAATCCTCCGCCGCGTCCGCGAAGAAGAAGACTGGGACGTCGCCGACATGTGTCTCGACCACTGCGAGCGACTCCTCAACCGCCTCAACACCACCACCGGCGCCAACAACCCCAACAATACCCATCGCTCCGAGCACCCCCCCACCTTCACCAACCTCGGCCACCAACCAGACAGCCTCGTCAACCCCGCCGCCATCTCCCTCCCCGAAACCCAAACTAATAATGACATCGTCGACGATATGATGAGTATCTCGGGTACCTTTGGCACCATGGATGGCTTTCCCTTTGATATGACTGGCATTTGGGATGTTTCGGTCTTTCAGGACGTTAATTTGACGTAGTGTAGCTTTGCGGGGGAGGGTACGGTAAGAAGAATCCCTTATCCCATTTCCCTAGAGGGGGGTTTAGGGTGAGGGAAAATCCTATTTCAACTAGAGGATTTATTTTTCATTGTCTAGGTGGGTTGGGTTGTATTCAACAACAGTGCATGCATGGAATGAAGATAAGATAAGACAAGATGATATTAGGTTAGACTTGGGAGGAACTAGTGGAAGTGGGGAAGAGGCGATATTACTTATACCCAAAATTTTTCTCATTTAAAGTTTTATGTCTCAGTCGATGGGTTGACTGGCTCCTTGTATAGAGTAATCAGTTATTCAAGTATTATCTTTATTGCCATCTTTTGCTAACAAGATAGAAATAAATGACGGACTGAGTAGGTGAGTGATATAAATACTCATATGCGGAAGGTCACGGTGCTTGCTTTTATACTTTGGAGTCAGTTCAGGTGGGGTGAGGGAAATATATACTTCGGTTGTTCATCGGGTATCAATCTGAATAATATCATATTATAATTTGTTACTCCTACAGTATGCAAGTATCTCTGCCCTTTCCTACTAGCGATCAGGGTTAGACGTATGAAATTCTTTGCTGTGAATCAATCAATTTATACACGCAATACAACCAAATGCTATTTTACAACGGAACCCGTGAGACGCAGGAACCAAGAACCCTCTAAGACGAAACCCGTTTCCGAGAACATGACTGCATCTCGGATATACATTATAAGAACTCCGTAAGTGGGAGGAGAAAAAGAAGAAGGAGAAGAGAGGAAAGTCATTGCGAGCGCTCCGGGAACGCCCCCGTCATGATCAATGGCTGATTTACTCCTTCTTGGAACCGGCACCGAACATGCCAGTGAAGGAACCCTTCATCATCGCCATCTGCTCCTGACGGGCCTTCTCTTCCTCCGCAGCCATCTCCGCCAGCCACTTCTCGCCGTTCTCACGGATCTCCTTCTCGATCATCTCGTAGTTCTTCTGGCCGCGCTCGCGGATCTGGTCCCACAGCATCTTGCCCTGAGCCAGACCCTCCGAGGGGCTCTGCTCGCCGTCCAGGGTGCGGCCGGTCTTCAGTCCCAGAGCAGAGGCGAAGCCACCCAGACCGCTGCGGGGGCGCTTCTTCTGCTCCTCGGCCAGTTCCTTCTCGAAGCGCTCGCGCATGGCCTTCTCACGCTTGGCGAACTCCACGGGGATCTGAGTGCCCTCAAAGGACTTGATGACCGGACGAACATCCTCCACGCCCATACCGGCAAGGTACTCCAGGAAGGGGATCAGCGCAACCAGGGTCTTGTCCTTGGAGTCGCCGTGCCACTTGTCGAGGATGACGGCGTTCTCGGGCTGCAGACGGGCATGCTCCTCCTTGGTGTCAATCAGGATAACCTTGGACAGATCACGGTTCAGGTAGGACAGGTCCTAATTGTCGGGGTTAGTGTGACGGCCGATGGATGCAGCCAGGGTGACTTACCTTGATGTACTCGCCGTCCTTGTACTTGGTGGCTTCACGGAACAAGGGCCAGCGGATGATGCGGTAGGGGTCGAGCTTGCGGAGCACCTGGTCGGCCATCATGCTGGGCACGCTGGTGAAGAGGACGAGTTCGTAGTACTGGTTGAGATAGCGGAGGAAGTAGTCGACGCCCGGGCGCTTGGCAACACGCCAGCCGTGCTCACGGCTCCACTCGCTGTGCACCAGGAGGTCTTCCAGACTCAGCACGAGGGTGTAAGGCTGGCGCATGGTGGGATCTTCGTCGGGAAGCAGCTTGGGGAAAGCCGGGTCCTTGTAGTAGCTGGTGATGTCACCCAGGCGGGCCTTGGCACGGCTGTACCAGAGTCCCAGACCCCAGCCCGAGGGAACATCGGGGTGAGCCTTCTCTTCCTCCTCGGTCTCCCAGTTCCGGCCCAGGTATGCCACACCACCGACACCGGCGAACAAGACCAGGACGTATGCCAGGTTGGCCATGCGGGCGCGCTTGCGGTCGAGAGACGACTCGTAGTTGGGGACATCGCCGCGACCGCCATCATCGTATTCATCTGCACGCGTAGGGTCTTCGGTGAGGTTCAGAGTGGTTGAGCCGCGGTTCTTCGAGCGGGCTTCCAATTCTGCGGCAAGGGTGGAGGGAATGCCCTGGGTGAGATCGGGGAGAGGTCTTTGGGGTACATCTTTCTGGGGAGCTGTGGAACCGGACTCGGACTGCGGTAAAAATCAGATGACGTCTCAGGATCGCCAGAGTTAGATCAACTCACAGCTTCGGCAGCCGGCTCAGCCTTGGTCTCGAATTCAGCTTGCTCCGCGGAGTAATCTTTCTGGGAGGACGGCTTGGCCGGTTGTTCGGACTTGGCGGCCTTGCCGGACTGAGGAGGGAGTTTGTAGGGCGACTTGGACTTGCTGTTCTTTGCATACCAGCGAGCATGGGGCACGGATACAGTGGAGGCTCGAACGGTCGAGGCGAGGACGTTCGGCCTCGTCAGAGGCAGTACGGCACGACTAAGCATTATGAGAGGGAGAGGGGCATCTATGGACAAGCGGAAGGAAATAATGTGCCCAGTGTACGCACGCGCCGGGACCAAGATAAACACGGGAGACCACCGACACAGAAGTGAGCAAGCAGGATGGTGATGGTCAAGAATCAAGAAGTGGTTGTCGACGGCCGGCAGTAGTGCCAGGCGGTGCGCGGCGGAAAAGTTCACGCACCGCGGTCCGGGCGGCCACAGACACCAGATGTGCAGCGGCCGTGTTTAAATACCGGCGAGGTCAATCCGTCCTTTCCTCTTCTTTTTTCTTTTCTTCTTCACAGAAAGTTGACACCCAGTCGACAAATTTGACCCTTCAGGCCCTCTCCTCCATGCATGCCGGGTTGAATTAGGCTGGGGAGACTAAGTGAAGAGTTTCTTCCATTCCCACACCCAAGAGCCGCAGCGAAGGTCTCCCATGCAGCTGCAGCCCCGTTAGTGGGATATAATCCTTTTTTGCCTTCATAAGTAGTGCTGGTTCCTCGCTACCCCCGGCGGTGTTGTTCCGGTCGTTAATATTTGGCTTCCAGCTCCATGCAACAATGGAATGAACCAAACAAGAAAAAAAAAATATCAATCATTTATCCGAGTCAAGATCTCTCACTCTCGTATCGTGCCGTATAATTTCTAGACTTGTGTGCAATTTCTGCCTCTCCTTCAACCACAGGCTATCGCCACCATGTCGAAGATGAACTCGCTCTCCAAGGCCTTGGAAAAGGTCAATCTCAACGACGCCGCCCCCTCCTCAAGCAGAAAACCGAAACCCCAGCGAATACGACGTCCCAAAAACGCTCCTGTCGAGCCGTTCCGCTTCTTCGACCTTCCCTCAGAAATCCGTCTACGCATCTACCACTTCGTGCTTTTCACGCCCCGGCGCAGACGCACCCTGCGAACCACCGGCAATGTCGGCGCCTCGTCCAAACGAAACCCCCCGCTCTCTCCCACCTCGCATCGAGTCGCCCTGTTCCTGACCTCCCGGCGCATGCACAATGAAGCCTCCGACTATTTCTACTCCACCCAGACTTTCCGCCTCTTCCATATCCAGGATTACTCGCGCATGCCGACCATCCGCGCCATCGCGCCACAGTACCGCCCCTCCATCGCCACCATCGAGTTGATTCTGGGATCGAGCTGGACCGCGCCACCCCAGGAATGGACGGTCAACCGCAGCCTAGGATTGGAGGAGATGGTTCGGATCCGCACATTCAAGGTGTTTATCGAGTGCGACCCGTCGCATCCGGTGTTCGAGGGCTTCCGGATCTCGAAGGACTACTATACGGATTTTGCGGGCGATCTGCTGAACGAGGTACTGTCGAAGCTGCCGAATCTGGAATACGTCGAGTTCGATGCGTGGCCGTCGGTGCGGAAGAGCGGGGCGCTGATGAAGCGGTTGATGGAGGAGGTCAGGGCAGCGGGGAGGAAGATCGCCTGGGGTCCGGACCGCGGCTGGACGGACCACGATGGAGAGGAATTCAGTGACGATGTGTACGGTATCAAGGCGCATGAGAAGGCGCAAGAGCAGGCGAAACTGGAAAAGGATCGACTGATGAAGGCCCAAGAGGAGGCCAGGGAATTGGCCCGCTTGAATGGGTTTCCACCGCCGCAGACGCTGCCGTTGCTGAGCTCTTATCTTTATGATTGATCTACGATGATATGAACACGACGCTGGATTGGGTTGGTTTTCATCTGCGGGACTGCGGGAGTTGTGATACTTCGTTTTGGGCTATGTTTACTATAGACGCATATATATCAGCTATATAGATGATTCTAGACAATTGGACTGATTTTGGTCTTCCAAATGTCCGCATCAGGCTGTGTTGCTACTATCCCATCCGGTATGCGGGCCTATCTGATACATGTAACGTCATTCATTTATGTGTCTGCCAAGACAAGATGGCCGTCCTGGACATGAAGCCCGCGTGGAGAGAATCGCCTACTCCGCTGGGGGCATTAAATTCAGTTATGATAACGTGACTTGACCGTCTATAGCTCCTCGTCGACCTCCATGCCAGTGCCGTTCTGAGCGTCCTTGCCGTTTGATAGCCGTGCCACAGAGGCTTCCTTGTCGATCATCTGCCGTGACACGGCAACGATGTTGTCCTCAATCAGCTGCTGGCTCACGTCTTCGATGTCTGTAGCAATCCAGATTAGTAATGGAACGGCAGTCGATCTGAACGAGCAACATACGCTTCTTGGGATCGACCTTTCCGACATATCTCGTCTTGAGCTGGTCCTTGGTGAGCGTGGTCTCCTCCTTGACCCGCTTCTCGTAGCCCTCAGCCAAGCTCACGAGCTGCCTCATGCGCTCGACATTGTGCTCGCCCTCCTCGTGGAAGTCCTTCATCTGCAGTGCCTCCGTCCAGACGTGCTTGTGCAGGTTCATCAGCATGTTCTCCTCGAGACCGGTCTTGCGGTAGTTGATAGCAATGCTGTAGTAGTGGCGGTTCAGGCCGTGGATGAGGGCCTGGATGGACGGCTTGTTGAGGTGACCCAGATTGGATGTTGTTTGGCGGGGCTCCTGGCCCATGACGACGGTCTGCGGTTGGATGAGACGGAAGGCATCGATGACGACCTTACCCTTGACGGACTGGATGGGGTCGACGACCACGGCCACGGCGCGAGGCGTGAGCTGTTCGAAGGATTGCTGGGTGTTGATGTCGACGGACGAGAGCCAGCAGCCGAAACCAGGATGCGAGTGGTACCAGCCAACAACGGTCTCTGGTCTGTCGCAGGGCATCAGTACGAGTGGACTAGTCGATGGGTGTTCCGATCTTACCGTCCCGTTTGCCGGAGCATATCCATCATCTTCGTCTGGAACACGGGGTCCACGGCTTCGACACTGACACCGGTACCACTTTGGGGCATGGCGAAAACGTCAACAACCCGGACTGTGTACTCATCCACGAACTCTCCCAGCATCAAACCCATGACTTCCATGGGCACACCGGCCCGACCATGCCTTAGCATCTTCAGCAGAGCGAGCGAGGAGATGTGGACGGTTTCGGAGTTATCGATGAGGTTGGGGATATCCTAGACGTCGTCATTAGTGATCGCTGCTATAGATCCTAAGACATGAGTGTTACTTACACCATTAGAGCTGGCGCCCCCCACGCCCATGCCCTGGGCAGCTTGGAGCATGCGATGCAGGCGGTCCATGATGGAGACGGTGGGTTGACTGAATGTGAGGGTAAATGAGACAACGGATGACTTCCTACGCGGAAGCTCCAACCGGGAGATAGGTGGGAGGAATCAGAGAAAATTCGGTGGCTGGGAAGGCGTAGGTGTTATAGGAATGAAGATAAAGGGCTAATCCGGTACTGAAGGACCAGACGGTGAGATAGACGAGAGCTGAAGATGGGGAACAGGTGGGAGATGGAGCGCAATTGAGGCGAGCAGTGACGGTCGAGCTCCAAGAAGCCTGACGAAGGCGGTGGAGCATCTCGGGGCTCCCGCCTTCCGCCTCCCCTTCGCTTTCTCTCTTCCCCATCACTTATGCTTCGCCCCGGTCATTGGGAATGCAGCCCGTTAGTCCCAGCTTGTGAGCATTCGCCGGTTGACTCGCATCCGAGGGCTTTCTTCGTCCCATCTGACACCGCTCGACTGGTCCACGTGTGCCTTACTTCCCTTTGATCGATCTGACATTCATCTGCACGCCGAGAAATCACCGCGACATCCTCCACATCGGACTGAGTGAGGAATCGCCGTGTGCCTCGCACATTGCCCTCCAAGATGACGTCCCTGGCACCTCTGGACCCCATCACCAATGGGTCGGCGGATCGCAATAAGAAGGTCGCCTACTTCTACGACTCCGACGTGGGAAACTATGCCTATGTCTCCGGACACCCCATGAAGCCCCATCGCATAAGAATGGCCCACAGTCTGGTCATGAACTATGGCCTCTACAAGAAGATGGAGATCTACGTGAGTGAACCCGGCTGAAACCGACGGGGATCCTACCATGACACTAAGAGGTAGCTTGCTAACGCAATCCCAGCGGGCGAAACCCGCCTCGAAATACGAAATGACCCAATTCCACACGGACGAGTACATCGACTTCCTTTCCAAAGTAACACCGGACAACATGGACTCTTTTGCGAAGGAACAAAGCAAGTATAATGTCGGGGATGATTGTCCCGTCTTTGATGGGCTCTTTGAGTTTTGCGGTATCAGCGCGGGAGGCAGTATGGAGGGTGCCGCACGGCTCAACCGCAACAAGTGCGACATTGCCGTCAACTGGGCTGGTGGTCTTCACCACGCCAAGAAGAGCGAGGCCAGTGGATTCTGTTATGTGAACGGTAAGTTCCGCGAGACGTGTGCTGGGCGCCCGCTGACAACACTCAGACATCGTTCTGGGTATCCTGGAACTGCTGCGGTTCAAGCAGCGAGTGCTCTACGTTGATATTGATGTCCACCACGGCGATGGTGTCGAGGAAGCATTCTACACGACGGACCGTGTGATGACGGTGTCCTTCCACAAGTACGGCGAGTACTTCCCGGGTACGGGTGAGCTCCGCGATATCGGAGTGGGGCAGGGCAAGTACTACGCCGTCAACTTCCCTCTCCGCGACGGCATCGATGATATCTCGTACAAGAGTATTTTCGAGCCCGTCATTAAGAGCGTCATGGAATGGTACCGACCCGAAGCGGTGGTCCTGCAGTGCGGTGGCGACAGTCTGTCGGGCGACCGGCTGGGGTGCTTCAACCTCAGCATGCGGGGACACGCCAACTGCGTCAACTTTGTCAAGAGCTTTAACCTGCCAACCATGATTCTCGGCGGTGGGGGCTACACGATGCGCAACGTGGCACGTACATGGGCCTTTGAGACCGGTATCCTTGTCGGCGATACTCTCACGGCGGACCTTCCATACAATGATTATTATGAGGTAGGTTGTTAACTTGACGTGGCTATACTCGGCTAACAGGATCAGTACTTCGCACCCGATTACGAGCTGGACGTGCGTCCGTCAAACATGGACAACGCAAACACTAAGGAATACCTTGACAAGATCCGCACGCAGGTCGTGGAGAACCTCAAGCGGACTGCTTTTGCGCCGTCGGTGCAGATGACAGACGTGCCCCGGGAGCCTCTCGTGGAGGGTATGGACGACGAGGCCGATGCGATTTTGGACGACCTGGATGAGGATGAGAACAAGGACAAGCGCTTCACCAAGCGACGCTTCGACCAGTACATTGAGAAGCCCGGCGAACTCAGTGACAGTGAGGACGAGGACGAGGCGGCGGCCAACGGCGTCCGCCGGCAACCTGGCGTGCTCAAGCGGAGGAATCAAGTCAACTACCGGAACCTCGACGTCAACGATTCGGGCCTTGAAAGTGGCATGGCGACGCCACAGGATGCCTCTTCGATCCCGGACGATGATATGGATACGACAGGGGACGCGAAGATGACCGATGCCCCCGAGCCGGAGACTGAGGCGCAAGGCACACCCTCTGCGGCCGAAGCGCCGTCCCGGGCAGAGGAGGCATCTGCGACAGAGCAGACGGAGATGGCGGTGGACGGGCCAGAACCGGTGGCGCCTTCGGCACCGATCTCACGGCAGCCGTCTCCCAAGCCCCAGGATGAAGATACGCCGATGTTAGACGCGGGCGAGGCCGCGCCTGAACCGGAGAAATCTGAGGCGACGCCCGAGGGCCAGCGTGAGGAGAAGAAACCCAGCGAAGAGACGCCTGCGGCCGATCAGCCCGCCTCGGAAGCATCGGCCGCTGCGAAAGACCCGTCCCCTCCGAAGGAGACCAGTGAGCCCGCCGCGGCCGCGGAGACGGAAGCGTCCAAGCCGGCCGAACCCAGCGAGACGAGCGAGGCCAAGGGTAAGACTCCCGAAGCGTCCAAGGCCGAGAGCGGAGCGACAACGGAGCAAGGGCCCAGCGCGGAGACAGGCGAGAAACCGACAGAGGCGAGCAAGAGCGAGGAGTGAGTCGACCAAGAGCTGGGTCTACGTTTGGCGCAAAGGACGGCCGGAAGGTGTTTGGGAGAAGCATCGATTCGCATGGGGATATTGTACATTTGAAGCATGATTTGGTTGATTGATTAGATCTATTCTTGTTGTACCGGCTAAATACTACGTCTATCTATACCTCCTATATCTACTCTGTAACTACATCGTAGGTCTGGAGCATCGTAGTTAGTCTGGAGTAAGGCGGCTGAGTCATCCTCCCTAACCCCATCGAGCCTAGGTCTAGGGCAACGGACTCGCGGGGCCCACGGACCAATGAGCGACCAGCGCCAAGATTTTACCCACGACGCACACTAAGCGAGAAGCAAATCGAAATCCGCGACCAACCCTTCGATTCGAAGACGACCGCCAGATTCCACCCTTTCGACCTGTCTGTCGCCCCCCCTCCCTGTCGCCCAATTTCTATCCGACACCCCGTTTAGAGATACACAGCCAAGATGTCTGGAAGAGGGTGAGTGTTTTTTTTTTTCCATATCGGGAGACGATTCCGGGAAGAGGAGGAATATCATCTTCAACGTGGGGGAATGAAGGATTGGAAGGAGATGAGACGGTGAATTCGGGCTGAGGAAGAGAGGGACGGATTTCGGGTTTGCAAGCAGAATGTTGCGACTTGGATGATTGGGAGATGCATGAGGAATGGAGATATACAAGATACAAGGGAAAAAAGGAACCGGATCGGAATCAGGATCGCTGGATTGGATATGAGTTCGATTTGATACGGGAAAGGTTGCTAATGATTTTTCGCTATCAGACGCGGTTGTTCCGGCAACAAGCTCAAGATGACCCTTGGTCTTCCTTGGTATGTTCATCATTCACACCATATCCATATCCATATCCATCACCACGTTTGAATTCCCGCGGTCTTGTCCTTCGAGAATCGGTTTTTGTTTCTTTGCCATCGACACATGGAATCACCACCTCGAAATCACAACCAAATCCCGTCCATCCCTACAATGCATCTACACACGCCTCAAACCCGAGAAACAAAGGAAGAGAAAGAACGAAGCTAATAAGATACAGCGGCGCCGTTCTCAACTGCTGCGATAACTCCGGTGCTCGCAACCTGTACATCATCTCCGTCAAGGGTATCGGTGCTCGTCTGAACCGTCTCCCCGCCGCCGGTGTCGGTGACATGGTCATGGCCACCGTCAAGAAGGGAAAGCCTGAGCTCCGGAAGAAGGTCATGCCCGCTGTCGTCGTCCGTCAGAGCAAGCCCTGGAGACGTCCCGACGGTATCTACCTCTACTTTGAGGACAACGCTGGTGTTGTACGTATACCTCGTATCTAACAATCCCTACGGGATTGTTCAGATACCTCTTTACACTGTGAAAAAGGGGGGTTACTAATGAATGATAGATCGTCAACGCCAAGGGTGAGATGAAGGGATCCGCTATCACCGGTCCCGTCGGTAAGGAGGCTGCTGAGCTTTGGCCTGTGAGTTCCATCCTCCCCCCATTCCTTTCTTTATATACTAATAAGGGACAGCGTATCGCCTCCAACTCCGGTGTCGTCATGTAAATTGCCTTTTTCGGTGCGGTGGAATACCAATAGAGGAAATTTCGAAACGATACCAGAGTCGGGCTTTATTTCAGGGTTGTGGTACCGGTTTTAGTATGACCATCAAGAACAAAAATGAAAATGATTCATAAAAATTTAAATCGGGGCGGTGTAGATTATTCCAGTAGATACCTTGTTGGATTGAGGGTTATGGGTATTAGATTAGGTGGAGGTGGGTAGATGGGGGATATCTACGGAGTACTCCGTATCTATCTGTCTATTCCTAGTAGGGGTAGATATAGTGCGGAGTAGATGCTTGGTATCTATACTTGATGCTGTTTATATATGAATTGTATCGTGTTGGTCTTATCGGGCTTAGTGAATTAAATTGTATGCTGGAGAATAATGTTCTAAATGATCCAATATAGACAATAGTCTGCTGTGATATACTTTTATACATATACTCATTGCTCCTTGGTCTTCTGTCGAGGTCGGGTATCTTTTCCAGCAGATACACCAGACGCTCCAGCACCACCAAGGAATAATATCAACACCAACACTCCAGTCACGATATCCAACACATGCACTGCCCACCAAATGTGCTGCACGCCCGCAGCACACATCTGAATCCGATACTGCCACTCGCCATCAAACCAGACCGATAGTAACCCAGCATATCCCCCATACTCCCCCATCATAGATCGCATCGTGACCTCCCGAATGGCTGGGACTCCTATGCTCTTCTCCCTCTCTAACCCCGACATCAAATCCAACTCGCCATACCGCATCGCATCCCATCCCCACCCCTTCTTCTCCCCCTCCTCGTCCTCCTCAACCGTCCGATTCACAAAATGCACCACATCACACCCCGTATGATCGTGGCCCGTTAAAATCAGCCCCTTCCGACCCCATCCACCCCCCGGCACACTCTCATCCCCACTCATCCCAAACACGCCCTCCAGGACCGCATTCGCGCTAACATACTGACTCAAATGATTCTGCTCCTTCAATCCACCGGCATAGAACCGCGGTTCGTCTTGGGAGTCATCCTCCTCATGAAAGGCAAAGTACGGCGCATCCGTACAGACCCCTTCCTTCTTATGCAGAGGAAGATGCGTCAACAAGAGCGTGAACGTGCGGTTTCGATCCCCCGTGACGGGGGGACTGCGTTCCTCCAACAACCCGTTCAGGTATTCGTACGCCGACGCCTGGATAGCCGGGTCCAGGGCCGGAGTGTCCAGAATGAGACTGTTGAGGTTGATGAGGTGGATGGTGGGTGCTTCCGCATCACCTGCTTCTCCCTTCACTGATGAAGAAGAGGAGGAGGAGGAGGAGGAGGAGGAGGAGGTTGAGGGCAACTGGAACTTAACATCCCACTCCCCCCGTCCAAACACCCTCTCGAACCTCTCCATCCTCCCCCGACTCACATCCCCCGCATACCCAACATCATGATTCCCCACGATATTCACCAGTCGATTCTCCCACCTCGCATCCTCGCCCAACACCTCCACCCCCGAAATATGATCCTCTACCCGCGTTCCGCCCCGAAATACCCTCTCCCAGAACCGTTCCCCCCGGGCTTCAAACTCCCCCTCACTCACCCACTGACTCCCAATGAGATCTCCCAGCACTGTGACATGCGAGGGCACACTCCACCAGTGCAGGGTGCGGTAGATGTGCGCGAGGTAGTAGTCATTGCCGAGGAGGTCGAGACGTTTGCGCGCGGCGCGGAATGCGCGGGGAAGGTCGTCGTGGAGGAGGGAGCGGAGGAGGGAGCGGAAGGTGGAGAGGGTTGCGGAGGGGGGTTTCGAGCGGAGAGAGGAGCGCAAGTCGGCGTAGTAGTTGGAGAGACGGGCTGGAAGCTGTTCGTAGGGTTTGGGCAGCGAGGAGTCGCCTTCTAGTTGGGGGTCGGCGAGCACGAGGAGGCGGAAGATCGGGGGGTCGGCGGGCGAAGCGGCGGACGGGGAAGGGGAGAGGTGGTGGCGGAGGGTGGTCAAGAAGGAGGGCGAAAGGTGAGGGATCGAGAGGAGGGAGTTTGCAGCGGACGAGTCATCAGGGAGAGGGAACGCGCAGCCGTGGAAGAGCGGGTAGAGATACAAGTAGACGGTGCTGGTCAGGGCCAGCGGGATCAAGACGACCAGCACGCGGCGGAGGAGCAGGCGGAGGAACATCGGGACGGCCGCATCAACGAACTAAAAGATTAAAAAGAATGACAAGAAGGAAACGAACGGGTCAAGGAGAGGCGGACGGGTCGGACACAGGATCAATCCATCATCATCGGGCGAGTACAACCAGGAGAAGAAGATGAAAGAGAAGGACGAGAAGAAAGGGATCCGAGGCGGGCTGTTGGAGGCGGGCCAGCCGCCCGGATTGGTGACGCGGCCCGCCGATCTACAAGTCCAGCTCCTACGATGATAGGAATCACAAGATACTCTCACAGCGAGCAGACGCCTTCGGGCAAACCAAACGGGGTATATCACATAAAAACGCCAAACAGGGTGCGGTCAAAATTCAAATCACACAAAGAAATCCACCCCCAATCACCGCGAGTTCCGTGCCAACAGCGACCCCTCCTCCATCTGCAACGGACTCGACGACCGATTCTCCTCTGCATCCACATAAACTGGCTCCGGGTCTGTCTCCGAATCCAGAGGCACCCCTTGGATCATCAGTCCGTTGCTATCCTTCTCCAGATCGCCCACTCCGGCCCGCACCTCCGCCTCCGCCGCCTTCGGGGAACCCTCAGGACCGGTCATCAATGCCGGAGGGCGCTGGTTCATCAACCGCGCCTCCTTGAGGCTGATCGTGCGTTGCTTGTTCGTCGTCTCCACCGGCAGCGCCATGTCCCGCTCAATCGTCGCCTTCATCAACGCCGCCATCCACAGCCGTCCCTCCTGCACGCTGTCCACCTGGAAGTAGTGGATCGCCGGCTTGGTGAATTGTACCGTCCGCGACGTCCCCGACTTGGGCGGCACCAGCTTGAAGAAAAATGGCCCGTCCCCGCTGCCCTTGCTTCCCCGCTGGGACTCGACACCGGCCTTGTCGGATGACACCCCGTCAGAATGGCTCACCGGGGCGGCCGGAGTGGGCGACGCGGTGGAGCCCGTGATGGTGGCATGGAGGGCCACGATAGGATCGTTGTCCGCACGCAGCACCCGATGAGCGGTGATGTCAATCAGGCCTCGCTCCTCCGTGTCCTTCTCCGAATAGTAGTACGACAGGCGACGTCCCCGTAAGACAAAGAGACGCGGCTTCCACGTCGTCATCAGATTCGACGACCGCTTCTTCATCCACCCAAAGTATTCACAGCCAACCATCTGCTCCTGCGGCGACTTCTTCTCCAGCCCGCGAGTGTAGGCGCTGGTGTCTTTCTTCGACTTGACCCCCGCCTTGACGGACGGCCGGGATCGAGGCCACAGCCCGCCCTCGGCCGTCTTGTTTGATCCGTCCGTGCTGAGTCGCTCAGAGCTCTTAGTCGTCGAGGGAGTGGTCGACCCGGTCCGTGCCGACGGGTCATTGTCCCGGACGGGGGACGCCGGTGGTGGGGTCGAAGTGTCAATGCCTTTTGCAACCACGTCAGACATGGCACGGATCCCCATGGCGCGTCGAAATTTGGGCCCCGCACTCTTGAGCTGGGGCACAGCGGATGAGCGCGACGAGTCACTGTCTGACTTGCCAAAGAGCGGCCCAAACAAGCCCAATGAACCCGTGGGTCGGTCCTCCACTGCGGAAGTGGGTGCCGACTGTTGGCCACGACGGTCAGCCATGCGAGTGCTCAGGCTGCGGAGGCGGCCCTTGGGCACCGGGCTTGTGTGCGATTTCGAGGGCGGTGACATCTGCTTCATCGATTCCCGGATCGAATCCATGCTCCCAATGCGCGAATGGCGCTTGCCGACGCGGATCTGGTCATCCCCAAAATTCGATGGCCGAGAGTCGGCGCTGCCCGCTGCGGACTGACGCTTCTGCAGCAGGCGCCGGTTCTTTCGCATGTCGCCCTCGGGCCCCGAGAAGTAGCCCCGATCCAAATCATCGCTCACCGCGACGGCTGGATCGGACCCGTTCGACTCGGAGGGGCGGTGGCTGGGCTGGGGCAAGAACCCGGTCTCCTGAGGATGGGACGTCCCGGCTGCGGTGCCTGGGCGAGGAGGCAGCCGCTGGGCTCCGCTGGCTAGGGTCCAGCCACGATCGAACGACCCCCGCTGGTTAGTACCTGGCGACCCATCCAGAGCACCGGAGTACCGATTGGTCGCGTCAATGGACGAGTGACGCCGGGAATGATTGATCTCTCGGATGGAGGCAGCCGATGGCCGTCGAGAATGGGCCACGTAGTTTGGCGTCTGCGGCGTAATCGGCGAGCTGGCATTGCTTTGCAGACTGTTGCTGACCAGGCGCGGGTGCTGGGTGCCGCCGTTCGATCCTCGCAGCGTTGGGATCCGTGGGAGGAGCGGGCCCGTATGACTCGCACGACTGAGGGCTCGCTCCTCTGGCGGAGCGGGGACAGCAGCCACTGAGCCACGAGGATGATGCTGTGGCGGCGGGCTGATGCCCTTGATCTCCTCCTGGAACGTTCGAATCTTGTGCCAAGTTTTCAATCGACGCCCCATGACACCAAAGTCAAACTCCTTCATGAAGAGAAAGTCTTGGTTCATGTCCAGCAGCACATCGCCCGAGATCTCCTGCTCCACGAAGATGTCACAGTGCTTGTCCTCGATACCCCATTGCTGCAGCTGCCGGGCAGTTTCGGTTGGCGTCCAACGCCGGACCTGCTCCTCACGCGGCTGGTTCTCTTCTTCCTCATCGGTCTCGTGCCCGTTGATGTAGGACAGACGGTGCTCGAAGTGGCTACTGTACTCACTCGCCGAATCGTTCATCATCTTCGGCTCCTGGCCGGCGACACTGTGCCGCGGCGTGCTTAGATCGGTGATGTGCTCGTCAATCACACTGAGCGTCTCATTCATGACGGGGCTGTCTTGCCCATTGACGCGATGGCCGTCCATAGTCTGCCGGATGGATGGTTGGATATCGACACTCATCTTGGACGTGGGTAAAGGAGAAGAACTGGAGCGTTGTTGCTGTTTGGGGGAGAGAGCTGGAGCGACTGGACCCCCTTGCAAGTCTGGCGCCCGCAGGTCCGACGCGCTGGTATGGCGCGAGACATGCGGGGTGGAATCGGCGCTCTGGGGAAATGAGACGAAGTCTGTAGTTTCCAACTGGCTCGATTCCGAATCGGTCCCGGCATCAGAGCCCAATGCGGCCGTGCCAGGAGCATCTACCCGTTGCCGAGAGGGAATTCTAGGAGCAGTGGTGGTGTAGACTGCAGCAACCCCCGGGGGCTTGTAGTTAGTAACACGGCCGTCAAGGTTGTAGGCGCCTGTCAAGTCTCGTACCTCCCGGAAAAAGACCGGTTGAGCCCGTATTCAAATCCTTCCCTAGATACCAACCGTCCCCGAACCCATCATCCAGCTCCACGAGCTCAATCTTCTCCCCGCGACGCAAAGTGAGTTCATCAGGGCCACGCGCATCGAAATCATCTAGCAAGGTGGTAAGCGGATCAGTCAGATGAGCACGGACAGGCGGGGTCGCACATTGCGACCGACCAGAGAAGAACAGGTCAACTTACGAACAACGAGAAGAAGGTCGCCAGGGCTCACCCCACGGGGAGGCGTTGTGAGAGCCATTGTGTATCCTCCGTGATGTCGGGGCTAGTGAGAATGAGGAAGCGAAATGTGACGAAAGGGGATGACGAAAGGGAGGCCGGTTAAAGCGCCCAAGTGGGGGGAAACGGCCTAGAGAGCGACAACACAGATGGGAGGGGAGGAATTGCGCCGGACATGGGGCAAGCCGCCCTCCCGGGTAATTAAGAAGCAGATGGACGAAGACACTCGAAGTAAAGAGAACGGATGCCAGCGGAGGAATGTAAACAGGCGGAGAAGGTTGAAGGGAGGAATCTGGCACGCAGCAAGATGAACGAACGGATGGGTCCGACTAGTAGTAGATGAAGTAGACGGAGCTCCGTCGAAGGATATTAAATGGGGGTGGCCAGAGCTTTTCGGTGGGATTGATGGGTTGCGTCAGTGGGCTATTCCGGGCGATTCGCAGTCTGACGTGTAGTACGTCGAACGTAGAGAAATAGAGAAGAGAACCGAGGGAGAGTGAACGATGGTAGCAGATGAAGTCGATAATAAGACAGTGACGATCCCGCCGGGACAGGGCCGGTCGGTCAGGATTGCAACCGAAAATAATAATCAAATCAGATCACGGCCGCAGACTGCAGGCGCTAAGTGGGCGGCTAGTTAGGTGGATCAGTGGGCGGCGGAGAGGAGAAGGTTGATGTATCTTTGAGTTTGAGGTGAGAGTTATGAATTGAATTTGGAGAAGCGGATGGAGGAGCTATGAATGTAGTGGTTGTGAGATGAGGTGAGGTGATGGGAGGGGAGGAGAGGGGAGGGGAGAGCAGAAGGGGAGGCAAGTGAGTAGTAACGAAGTCAAGTGAAGCGATGCAAAGAAAGAAAGAAAGCGCGAAAGCAAACTGAAGCAAACCATGGAAGCGGGGGATGCGAACGAGTAATAAATCTTACCGGTTTGGGCAGGAGGCGACCAGAGAGAAAGCGACTTTCACCAGCATCAGGACGGAGTCAGTCAGTCAGAGTGATTAGGCACAGTTCACTACGGGAGGACGCCGCCCTGAAACAGACCACCACCACCCGCAAGACTGGCATGCGCTGACTTGTTCACCCGCCTGACTGGAGCCAACGGATTCGTCCCGACAACTGGCAGCCTTCATCCGGACAAAGTGAGGCCATCCCCATTTCACGTCAGGTTATGTCAGGCGTCGGTCGAGCTCGCCCTGCGGTTTCATCCGATCTTCCCAGAGATTAAAGGACCATGTTGGACACCGACTATCTACTATTCGCGAACCCATCTACGGAGTACCACCCCGTACACCAGTAAATCACCCTCCCAATGGCGAACATGTTTTAGCTACATCGCCTCCCCTGCAGGATCGACATTCCAGGCTCTGATCCATCACGCATCCGGAGGGCCAACAAGTCGATGCATCGCATTCGGCGCCAGTCCACTATTTATAAACAAACAGACAGGTCGATCGATGGAATCTTCGGTGAATGATGCACCTTGACTTCCATGCTTCTTGGAGAGACCCGAACTCTTCGGGGCTCCCTGTTTCTGCTGCAGATGGAAGGAACGACCGCTGCCCTAACCAGGGGAAGAAGAAGTATGTACAGTAAGTAGGGAAGGAGCAGCAACCACCACCGCCTTGCGCCAGAATATAGTGAGAGTTCCGTGTCTATGGTACTACCTACGACTATCTACCTAGTGCTATGTAGTAATTCTCCGTCTCCTCCTTTCCGTCTCATCGCTTGCATCCGTAATCCATCAATCAAATGAATATCCATGATCCATCGCATCCTCAGTCATGCACTGGGATGACCCTGGTTGGTGTCTTGGTCTTCATTCACTCCCATCGCGATCTATCCACCTCAACCTTCTCAATCTAGTGCCTATTGCCGACTGCCTACTGCCTAGATGCCGGAGGGTGACTACTTTCTTCCCACCGTGAATCCTAAACAAATGGATGTTCCCGTACTTTTGTCATACTACTACTGCCCGGCTTAGATATAGTTCTCTGCCATGATTGCTCTCCCCGACGCGCCCTCCCCGACCCAGCGGCGCCTCCCACAAACGAACCTCATTCTAGTGGACGCTGGCCTGGGTCTGGTCGGTTCGTCGTCTTTGAGTTTTCCAGTTTTCCCCTTCCACCGTCGGCTCACATCATCGTCTTTCTCTGCAAAGTTCTCACCCCGCCACAAATCATCACCGTTCCTCCACTCAGCGCTTTTCCCCGGAAAATGCCAGGATGATTCTGCCCGGAAGTAGTCGCCGAAGCGATCCTGCGAACCTTGGCTTTGAATCGAGCAATTCGACCGCCAGCATATTTCTTGGGGCCGTGCGACGATCTTGGATGGATGCAGCGACCACCGCGCCTCCCCTCTCCTCCTCTGTCACCTCGGCCTCTCCCCCGCGTTCTACCACCACCCGTTCGGCTGGTGCTGCTGGTGCTGCTGGTACTACGGCTACAACGGTAAGCTCTAGGGGCCCGTCAGGGAGTCCACAGCGGACGCGTGTGCGGGAAAGTCCTCCTCGTGGGCCGCCCGTCAACCTCACCACTTCCTCGTCCTCCGACACCACCACCACGTCGCCGTCTGCCGCTCCTCCGCCTCCTCCGCCTCCTCCTCCTCCTCCTCCTCCTCCTCCTCTTCCTCCCTCCGGTCCGATGGCCCAATCCGACCCCCTGCCGCTCGCCTCGACAACAGATGGGAGGAATGAGAAGGAGTCCTACCTCAGTCGCAATCTTTCGACCCTGCCGCGGACCAATTCTACCACCACCGCGACCGCTGTCCGATCGGTGACGTGCCAAACCACCGCGCTCCCGTCGCCCGATCCGAGCATCCCATGCTCGCAAGCCAGCCCAATCAGTGCGATTGATCGGAATGGTGCTCCGGTCGGACCCAGTCCTTTGTTGTCGACTTTGCCCTCCCCTCCGACCGGAGGCACCCCGCCCGTGTCGACCACTCGGCCAAATGCACCCCAGACCGGCGGGCTACCGACGCCTACGTCGCTGACCAATGCCACCACAACTCCAGGGGGAGGTCAGGTAATCTCCGCCATGCTAAGGGATTCAGAACCACATTCCTATTCACATCCGCCTCCACAACCGCAACTGCAACCGCAACTGCAACTGCAACCGCAACCGCAAGTACAACCAGAGCCACAACCACAGACGCAACCGTTGGTATCTCGCGATCCTCGCGCAGGCCCTCAGGCGTCTTCCTGGATGAGCGCGTCAACATCCCCGGTGGTCCAAGGACACCAGCAATCGGCGGTGATGCGGCCCGTGCCAATGCTACCCATAGACCATTCCATGTTCAAACAATGGCTGGAGAAACTGGAAGCCTTTGCGGCGGAAGCGACTCATAACAGGACCATCTCCGAGGTCGTCGAATCGCCGCGGGTTCGTCTTTTGCAGAGCGCTCTGTTGGACAATGACCCCGTTTACCTGGCTCTCCATCAGATGTATTGCCTGTCATCCTACGCGCCGTCGGAGCTTTGCAAATTGCCTGGGTTTGGCCCAGAACAGGAGAAGGGTCTGGCCGTAGTCAAGCAGCTCCTCGTTGATAATAGTCGACTCTCCGGGGATTTTCTCTACTGGTGTGTGAATTTTCCGGAGCCAATGCAAAAACTGCTCGCCTGGCCGTGGTGGCGGGATGCTCTGGAACAAATCATGAATTCCTTGGTCCACCTCTCACGGAGATGGGATACCTTTGAGCAAGTGACGCGTGAGCGCGGGCTGCCTCCCTTGATTGAGGAGATCATCATGACGTTCTCCATTAGATCACATGTGATGCAGTACAACATCTTCCTGGCCCTGTATCGACGGCTTCCCGGACATCGGGGAGAGCACAACTTGTTTGAGATCTTCAACCGAGACGCCAAATACACGGACGAGCGTCTGGACTCGCCCAAACCCGTATCGGTGGCACGTGCCAAAAGGGAGAGGGGTGTGATCCTCTCCATGTATCAAAAGGCCCTCACGCCGACCACTGCCCAGGCAGCCACTGCTCCTGCCCAGCCTCACATTCACTCCCAGCCGGTCGAGTCCCCATTGGCGGCAACCTCTATCCTTCCTCCGCAGCCGACACCACATCAAGCCATCACAATGCCATCAGCCTCGGCGGTTCTGGGGTATGAACCGAGAAGGGACTCTCACTCGTCCTTGCCGGGAAATGGCCCTCATCCGACAGTTCCCTCCTCCACGGCCGGGCCCAATCCAACCATATCGCCGGTGTCCGCCCCGTACCTCTCACAACCCCTGGCTTTTCCCTCCCAGATCGCCAGTACACATTCACCGCGCGTGGCCCCAGTGCATCAACTGCAGCCATCGCCTCGTCAACCTCAGGTGGCTTACCCGTCACGGGTGGTGCTCTCCCAGCCCGAAAACAGTCACCAAGCCCCAGTAGCGATTCATCTGCCAGGCGCAACAGCCGGGCTTCCTCCTTCGGTTCTTCCCTCACAAATAGCCCCGTCGCACCCGGCCAGTGCCCCCGTATCGACCGCCATCTCCGCACCAGTATCCAACCCTAATCAGCCCCCCACCCCTGTTGCCACTTCCGCTCCCTGCCCGGCGCCGGCTGCTGTGCCACGACGACGCGGCCGACCCCCACGGAACCCCCAGCCCAACGTCCCGCCCCTGCCGCGATACACAGCGATGCAGCAGCAGGCAAATAATCCCCCGCTCCCCCCGCCTTCAGCCTTCATTCCGTTCTTCCCTCCGCCGGGCCCACTTCCGCCTCCCAATCCGCGACCTCATCCACTGCGGGACGGGCTGCATCAGGCTCATCTGCGTGGTCCTGTCAATCGGTTTGTCATGCCCGGGCCGGCCGCCGAGCCAGTGACGCAGCTCTATCAGTACCTTCATGCCTTCGCCGCACAGCCTACCCCACTAGGTCAGTGGGATTGTCGCTTTGACTGGACATTCAATCTGCCTAAGCCTGCCTTTGAGCGGCTTGCAAGGGTAAATCAACATGGAGACAAGCTGCGTCCGGCACGTGTCATCACAAATGGCCAGCAGATCTTCCGCCTGCGGTGCATCCAAGTAGATGTGTCCACACAGACCGTCCCCGAACACACCTGGTGCACCACGGAGACATGTTGGCCCAGCGTGATGTACATCTTCGTCAATGATGTGGAGCTTTTTGCCCGGCGTCGTCAACAAAACGGCAAAGACCTGCCCCTCGAAATCACCGAGCAACTCCGGGAGGGGCCGAACACTGTGACCATGCACCTCCTCCGCACCCCTGCCGAAGTGAAAGACCAAGTTTACGCGGCGGCCATTGAGATTCTCAACCTTTCCGATCTCGCGTCCGTCGTAGCTGCGGCGCAGACCTTGCCTGCCTCTGCATCTCAGCAGCAAATCCATAAGCGGCTCACTCCGGACGCGGACGACGAGGTCAGTATTGTGAGTGAGGATTTGGTTATCAACCTCGTCGACCCTTTCACTGCTCGCATCTTCAATCGCCCTGTTCGTGGTCGCTTGTGCACCCACCAGGAGTGCTTCGACCATGAGACATACATCGCCACTCGTGCCTCCAAGTCAGGACGACGTAGCCTCCGAGAAGACTGGCGATGCCCCATCTGCAAACAAGACGCCCGTCCTCAGACGCTCCTTATTGATGGGTTCCTCTCCGGTGTCCATGACTATCTATCGCGGACGAACCAGCTGGACGATGCGCGCGCCATCCGCGTTAAACGAGACGGTTCTTGGACACTGAAGGTAGACGCCGATACATCTGCGGAACAGGCATCCGACCGCCCCTCTACCACTGCGTCTGGGCCGTTGAAACGCAAGACCAGTGATTCTGCCACTCCTGCCTCGCAGAAACCTAAGCTTGAGCGCAGCGCCTCAGGCAACCGCGTCGGGTATCCCGAACAGGTGATTCTGTTGGACTAGAGCATACATGCACATCCATTCGCATCCTCGGGCGCCATTGTGTGAAACGGGGTCAGCCTCGTTTCATTTCTCAAGACGCTTTGTTAATCTTCATTTCTGCTATATTGCTTATCTGGCGTTCACTGTTGTACACGATACCCGAAACCTGCATGTTTGAGTTAATGGCTACGGCCTTGTTTCTTTTCTCCTGTGACGACTTTTAGCATTTGTCATGGTGTTTGTACATAAAGGAGTCATTCTGTCAGCATATCCATATCACGCCGACAGATTAGTGTCATTATTAACTGTCCTCGTCTTGGTGTAAGCTTGTAGGTGGCATCTCTTCTCGTGATGCATATTCAGCCATGTAGTACAGTAGATGTAAGTGAAGAGCAAATATATACCATCTTTCTCAGTGCTCACAGACGACATATTCCAGCTAGCTATACTCCGTAATACCTTTCAAGTTCTTCATCACCCCTCGCAACATATAACCCACAATAATGCTTCATATATGCTAGAGATCGCATCACGTGCAACTCATCCATACTTCCTTTCTTGTCCACACATCCACTGTTCTTATATTCACTTTCTACACAACACTTAAGTCATCGTATACCCAGTATATTTATCATACATTGAGTATCCTTTTTCGGATTACGTTGGTTTCTGTATGCCGTTTATTAGTAGTACTTACTCCGTACACACGGTGAGTATCTGCCGGCGTTCTTGTACATACTAGTCACATGGTAGGCAAGGAATGAAGGTTGCAATTGGAGTATATGTGTATGGTCCGGCAGTACGGTATGGTATACGATAACAGAGAACTACTGAATGAAAGAATATAAATCATGATATATTAGTGTCAGTGTCAATGCCAGTGTCAGCGGGGTATGTATCATTAATTAATAATTCATAGTATTTATATCTATCTATCAACATGACACACATCAAACATGACATAACATCAACATCAACAAAGACATCAATGTTGGAATGGCAATGGCAATGGCAATGGTAGTGGGAATGGTAATGACAATGGGAATCACTTCCGGACTCGTCGAGCATGACTAACCAAATTTTCAATCACGCCTTCAAACGCCTCTTTTTCACTGACTAGTCCGTCCAATCGTTTTAACCAGTACTCGAGGACGGAGCTCGCTCGTAAGGTCACGGTTTCGAGTTCTTGGACGTGTCCGCGTAGTTCGCCGTCTTTGAGACCGTCTAGGGCTGCGTCTGTTGTGGCGCACAATCGGTGCACGGCGGAGAGGTCTAGTTCTGGTGGCGGGGAGGGTTCTCTCCGTCGGGAGGTGCGGGTTCTGGATTGTTGCTGGGGGCCTGGGCTGCCGGGGCCGCTTTGCGTGCTGTCGCGCTTGGCGGCGAGGGATTGGGACCGGGAATGTGCTGTTGGTGGGGCGGAGGAGGGGCGGGTGTCGTCCAGGTTGACGGAGGGGAGAATGAGCTTTTTTTGTTTGGAGGCTGGGAGAATCTCGTCGAGGTCGACGGGAACGCCCAGGGAGACTAGGAAAAGACGGCGGATGCGGGATTTTACCCAGTTTTGGGGTTGGAGTGGGGGAGGGGCCACGAGCTGGGACCAGAGGGAGAGCGAGCGCTCGGTGCTGAAGATGGCGGTGGGGTTGGGGATTGGGTCGAGTGGCTGCAGGGTGGTGGTGTCTTTGGTGCTGGGGAAGAGACGATCGAGGGAGTCGGAGAGGGTGGTGTTAAGGTCTGTGAAGGAGGAGATGGCGTCGAGGTCGAGGAGCGGGGGCTGGAACGGGGGTTTAGTACGGTCTCTGGGTGGCTTGTGTGTTGATGGTAGGGGTGGTGCGTACGACTGAGGGAGGTGTAGGAGGCTGTGAAGGCTGGAAATCTGCTGGCTCGGCCTCGACAGCCTCCGTCATGGGCTCTTGGAAGTCATCGTCAAAGTCGTCAAAATCGCCAAAATCGTCATCTTCCTGCTCCTCGGCAAAATTGTCAAAATCGTCAAACTCGTCAGCACCGGCTGTGTCATCGGCTGCGCCGGTTACTGACGATTCTCCGCGGGTGTGACTTCGATGGCTTGTAGGCGAATCTGAATTGGTCAATCGTCCCTGAAACTTATGTCGTCCATTAATCAAAAACCGGCTTACCTGGTGTCTCGGGGACGGTTTCGGTCTGATCAGGCTCGGGGTCACCTGGCTTGGGTCGGTGAGCCAAAGGGCCAGCTTCCTCGGTATCGTCCTCGTTGGAGTTCACGCGAGAGAGCAGCGTCTCCGGAACAGGTACGTCGGCCGCGCTGTCCTCGACGAAGCCCGATATGGGGGACGAGTCAGCCGATTCGGAAGCCTTTCTCACCACGTCGGGCACCGCATCTGCCTTTCGTAGCTCGTATGCTGGAGTCCCAGGCACTTCGCCATGGCTCGGTTCGTCTAGATCGACTTTCTCGACTACTGTCCGCGGAATGGGCGAATTCGGAGTCACAGGCCGCTGCCCGGTAGCTGAAGCGCTCCGACTGCGCGAGCCATCCGGGATAATTTCAATCTGGTCGGGGACAGCATCCTGATCCCTAATTTCATATGCCGCGGTTCCAGGCACCTCCCCATGCGAGGGTTCCTCGTCGACTTTCTCCACTCGGGTTAAGGGGATAGGGGATGCGCGGGCGGACGGCGGGTGGGATTCGAGGTGTGGCTGGCCTTCACTGGCGTCTGAAAAATGGTCGTCGTCGCTGTTGGTGGCTGTATCAAGAAGGTTAACGTCCTATCCAAAGGTGCTCAGTACTAACTGATGCTCACCGGAATCCCGAGCCCCCGGGTCTTCCAGCTCGACGCTCTTCCTCGGGGGCTCCAAGTATGGACTGGACGGACGGGAAAGGCGTTCGGACATGAGGATCAATCAATGTTTCAATCGTAGATCATGTACAGAGGGACACAGAGGCTCGTGAGAGAGTCTGAGCCCGAAGAGCCAGGGGCAGAATGGATATGAAACGGAGGGATGTTGTTGTCCTCCTGATCGTCGGGTTCGATGGGAGTCTCGAACGTGGCCTGAGGCAGACGCGGCGACATCATTTAGAGCCTCAGGCAAAGAGGGCACCAAGGCAGAAAAACATTATGCCTCAGGTGTGCAGGCTAGCCGCCAGACGCGGCAAGCGCCGCCCCAGCAAAGAAGATGAATGCCGTCCATTTCATACTCCATTCCAAGCAGTTCATTGTCACTGTTGTGTTGGACGAGCACGGCGCGACTTCATCCTCCGCCCGAATTGACTATTCCGTTTCCCTAGGGCACCTCTTCCCCGGGCGCAGTAAGTGTTGCTTCTTTTTCACCTTCTGCTCTCCTCCAAACCCGGCCCGGACTGACTGGTTTGTCTTTTTTTCCCACCTCCAGGGCAGCCCTGTTGATTCCTCTCGTCATCCACCAAAACCATGTCCAATATTTTCTCATTTGATTCGGCCCCCGGCGGCGCGTCCAAGGGAGGAGGTCTTTTTGGGTCTGCTGGCGCCAATTCTGGCTCGGGCGCAGGCTCGGGCAACCTCTTTGGAAATGTAGGAGCTCCGACAAACGGCACTTCCTCGCCTCTGTTCGGGGGTGCTGCTGGCAGTGGTGCTGGAACAGGCACCAGCAGTGCTTCGCCTTTCAGCTTCGGAACCCAGAACAAGCCTGCGGCCACTGGCCAGACATCGCTGTTCGGCAACACATCACAAACTCCCAACAAGTCGACCGAAACTGCTAGCTCCGGACAGACAGCCACGAGTGGGCTCTTTGGAAATGCATCGAAGCCTACTGGGGGTCTCTTTGGCAATGCCACTTCCACACCCGGTCAGACTGGAGGTTCGTTGTTCGCCAATGCCTCGTCCACGACGCCCGCCGGCCCTCCCCCGCAGGGAGCGACTGGCCAGACGCAAACGCTCTTTGGACAGGCAGCACAGAAGCCTGGTGGTCTTTTCGGTAATCTGAACTCGACTACCCCGGCCACAACTACGACCTCATCGACCACCCCGTCTTCTACGACCGCTACAGCCCCTGCTACCACCCCGTCGCTGTTCGGGGGCGCCGCCGCCAACTCCGCCACCGCTTCGCAGCAGCCGTCGACCGGGGGTCTTTTCGGGGGGAACGCAGCGCAAAAACCCATGTTTGGTTCAAACCCGGCGCCTTCTACGGGGGGCAACCTGTTCGCCAATGCCAAACAGCCTGATACCACCACAAACACTTTGTTTGGAAAACCTCCTAGCGCGACACCGACAACCGAGGCAGCAGCAACAGCAGGAGGCGGCGCGCAGACATCGTCTCTCTTCAAGGCCCCGACGTCTGGAGCTGATGCCACCAAGCCAGTCTTCCCTTCTCTGGGTACTCCGTCTTCTACCCCACAGTCCACCACGACCCCAGCTTCCTCCTCTGCCACTCCGCAGAATTCTCTCTTCCCAGCCCTAGGTGGAGCTACCTCGTCGGCAACTCCGTCGTCGACACCTGCTCCTGCTGGTGGCTTGTTTGGTGGACTCGGTGGCGCCAAGTCTACGGCCACGACGACCCCAGCCACTACAGCCACCGCAGCACCCGCGGCGCAGCCCGCAGCGGCTACCGGTGGGCTGTTCGGCAAGCCCGCGGCGAGCACGCCGTCTACGCAGCCCGCTAGTACTACTGCCAGCACCACAACCACCACTACCACCACCACTGCCGGCGACAAGCCTTCCCTGGCCGCCCCTTCGACCACCACTGGCACAGCCGGCACGACCGCAACGACCACCGCGACGGGCGGCATTGGCCTTGGTGCATCGACTGCAGGACCGACTCCACCCGCCCAGTCCCGCCTGAAGAACAAGACTATGGATGAGATCATTACCCGATGGGCGACGGATCTGACCAAGTACCAGAAGGACTTCCGCGAGCAAGCGGAGAAGGTTGCAGAATGGGATCGGATGCTGGTCGAAAACGGCACCAAGGTGCAAAAGCTGTATGGTAGCACGGTGGATGCTGAGCGCGCTACTCAAGAAGTGGAGCGTCAGCTGGCATCTGTCGAGGGCCAGCAGGAAGAGCTTGGCTCGTGGCTTGACCGGTACGAGCGTGAAGTGGACGAGATGATCTCCAAGCAAGTTGGACCGGGTGAAACCCTCCAGGGACCCGACCAGGAGCGTGAGAGGACGTACGTATCCGCCCTTCTTCTTTACAAGTGTGACGGTGATGCTGACAATAGAACAGATACAAGATGGCGGAGAAGCTATCAGAGCGTTTGGATGAGATGGGCAAGGATCTGGCCAGCATGATTGAAGAAGTCAACGGCGCGTCCGCGACCCTCAGCAAGACAAACAAGGCGGATGAGCCGGTGCGTATATCATGTTCGTTGTATGGAATGTTTCATTGACTAATCTCTGCTAGATCTCGCAAATTGTCCGCATCCTCAACTCCCACCTCGCGCAACTGCAAGTCATCGACGTGGGCACCAACGAGCTCCAGGCCAAGGTGAACGCCGCCCAGAAAGCGGGCCAGTCTCTGTCCTCCCGCTTTGGCTACGGGCTGGGCAGCTCGAGCATGGGCGCCAGCGCTGCGGACGATTTCTACCGCTCTTACATGGGACGACGCTAGGGGAGTTATGTAACAAGGTACGGGATGGTTTAGGCATGCTATTTTTCCGCTGTTTACCGCTGGAGTCTTTCAATGGGAATAATGATAATCGCCATGAATATGGATTACCGGCTATGCTATGTAGAACGTAGATGGAAGAGGAGAGATTACATGTGGTAGCTAGGTAGCGAGCTAGACAGCCCAACACGCTAGCTGCTAGCTAAGCAGTCAGGTAGGTAGGTAGGTAAGTGTCATATCGTCAGCTCAACCAAACATAACTCATGTCGGCCGGACCGTGTCAATCAATAGTCAAGTTCATCACATCTAGTTCTGCTCGCCGCCCTGGTTCTTGGTGATCTCGTCACTGTAGCCGCATTAGCTTCATTTTCTATTCCCCACATGCACGGGCAGTAACTGAAAAGTTCGAAGAACATACATGTGCTTATCCAACTCATCCAGGTGCTTGCGCTGTTCCTGGACCTTAGCGCGAAGAAGTCGAAGCCTGTATCCCGTTCGTTAGCTTCCTGTATCTTCCCGTGTCTCTTTGTCCGGAATGAATGAACGACGGTAAAGGTAAAGGGTGTGTGTGGTGGGTATACGCACTTCTCCATCTCCTTATCGTGAATGTATCTTCCCTCCTGGGCGGCTTCGCGCTTGGTGAATGAGTCGCTGTTGGTATGGTGTGGTTAGCTTATGTTGTGTACTTTGATGGTAAGAGATGGGTGGTGATGATGTCATGCATCTCTGACAACGTGTATACTGTATAGAAGGGGAAGGGGGAAGGGGAACGTACGAGTGCTGGGCACCTCCCGCACGGGGAGCACCGGTATCGCCGGCACCCATTCTGGGGGTCAGAGCTGAGAAAGACCGGGTGAGAAGGAGACGGTTGGTGGTGGTGATGGGCTTGGTGATGGATTGGCGGAGCATGGTGGTAGTTGGTGGTGTGGGTGTTGTTGGGGATGAGGATGTGGGATGTAGGATGTAGGAAGGTGATGAGGATGAGGATGAAGGGTGGTAGATGATGTAGGTGGTCTGATCACGATGGGTTAAGGTATGTGAGAAAGCTTCAGGTCGAACAGCACCTCAGGTACTTGTACTCGTTGCAGCGGGCGAATAATGCAACCGGCCTGGCTGGATTACCTAAGGCGTCGAGACCGGGAGATGACGTCGGTTCATCGGGTGGATTCGATCCCGGCGGGTGGTGACTTGGCTGGAATCATGTGATGGGAGGGGACTGGTGAGTCAGCGCGGGAGGTCAGGTGAGCTGACCTGACGGGATGGTGTGTTGCCTAACTTGGCTGGACTACGGGGGAAGCGGAAGGGGAAGGGGGGCAGTGTTGGTTGGGACTTGGGATGTTGAGGATGCGACGTGGATTAACGATGATCCATGGCTAATATTATTACTCCTGGTTGACGTGAAGTCTACCATAGTATAAACTCATGAAGGTGGATGGATGGGTTTATCTATTCTGTCAAACCCAAGGAGATTAAATCTCACTTCAAGTAGTACCCAAGTCTGTCATGTTGATTCCTCCGTCCCCAAGCCGCCAGATCCCTGATGACGATGCGCGCGAGAATTAGTTATAGGATCGCCTCCTATTAAATAGTTCTGCGCCATCATCAATATTCCCCGAGGTTCCAGAAGGAATCCCTTGACCCAGATCAATCAATCAATAATGGTCCTAAGCGTCGGCCGACGCGCTGCCACTACTCCGTCCTTGACCCTTCCAATAATCACCTGCCGCCAGTCCATCTCCTTCGGCGACGGTCTGGGATCTCAGCTGTGGGCGGGACGATTGGCGGGTGTGAAATAGGGATGACGATGGGAGGCCCACCGAACCACACAAAGCCAGACCCGACAGGATGAGGACAGAAGAGGAGCAAGAGCGTGTCGGGACTCAGGAGACGCATCTCATTCTTTGGGTGGCCGATGGGCAATCCTAGTTCCGGCCACTACGTAACGGGGAGGGGGGGGGGTTGCTCTTCTGTGTAGATTGTTGTCCAGCATGTTGACGGTTGATGCCATTGGAGTGGTGGCATCATGGAGAATGGCCATGATGTGCACTCCGTATAGGTCGGGACTCCAGACCAGGCAGGCAGAGGAATGACCGCCAGGATTCTTTCTGCTTCTCTACGTCTCTACCCCGTGAAAGACGCCCCCTTCACCAAATAAACCCACGGGAGGGTCAATAATTACTGTGATTTCTTGGTATTATTAGTATCAATTATCGTAGTTAGTGGTCGGGGCCGGGTTCGGGGGGGAGAGTAGTAGTAGTGGTGGTGGTGGTGGTGGTGGTGGTGGATGGACTCCATCATGGGCTGGCCCTTGGGTAACTATGGACTAGTCAGTCGAGAGTATGGGGAGGCGCCCTCGTCGAAGGATTGGGATGATGAAGACGATGATGCTGCTGGGCGTCTGTTTGGCACCGCAGCAGCGCAGCAACAGCAGAGCAGCTCTTGAGGATTCCTGGCCAGTGGTGACCGCCAACTCCCTTTTCCCCCCTTCCGGCTGGCCATTAATTATTTCCCCCCTCCTTCTTCTTCTTGATCTCCTCCTCTCCTGCTCTCCTCCTTCTCCTCCTTCCTTCCTTCCCCTCTTCCTGACTACACTAAACCTGCCAACCATCTTACTCTCCTCTTCTTACTGCCCTCTCTCTCTCTTACTACTGCCACTCTCCCCATCTGACTAACCTCAATCTCGTCCTCTTTCCGGTACTTCCTCCCTCGTCCCCTCCACCCTTTTTCCCTTTTGCCATTCCCTAATTGATTGTCTCCATCTGCCCATCCCCTCCCCCTGCTTAAGTCATACTCCCCCCCCCCATTCCTTAAATTAAAAAAGGAAAACAAAAAGACAAGACTCGACCAGACCCAAAATTTCCCCCCAATTTATCCGTCGTTCATATTCTCTCCTTCAATTCCTTCTAACCTCTCCTTTTGTCAGACTATAGACTTCACCTTTCCTATCTGTTGCTTCATCTCAGGTAAGCCTCTCTGTCTTCCGTATCCTTGCCGTGTCTTCCCCCCTCCTCCGCGTACCATACCCTTCCAATGGCAACCCCCCTCCCCCTCCAGCGTCATCCACCTTTTCCCCTCCCGATCGCAAATGGCGGGGAGTTTGCGTCAAGAGGCTCTGCATGTCCAGGATCGTGTGCCGGTCTTGGTTGCGCGCTGAATGGCCGGGGGGTGTGTCTCATCCCCCCCTCCATGGCCGCCCGTCTAGACTACGCTGGAACGCGACACGGCAGGCAGGCAGTCGACGGCTAGCCGAGGGGAACGACTGGCAGCACCACGCCCACCTTTCCCAAGCCTCCCGATCGTCGCAGTGCATCCTGGTCTTGGGTGCTGGGTGATCAGGGGGTCGTGAGGGCCTGGAAAGTCGACTGATTTTTCCCTCGCCGTCTGGCGGGTGCTGGGAGACCTGATACGTATGACGGGGGCTCCCGGCAAACAGGGAAAAAGGAGGGGAGGCGTTATCGCTTTCGTGTTCCTTGCACCACTTGACTTCACAGCCTCACTTTTGCCCTGTGACTGCCTGCCCCTCGCTTCTCTGCACTATCGATTCCCCGTCCACTGTGGCGCTTATCCCCAGTCGTTCGGACTCTACATCCGGAAATCTATTTATTCGCGATCTTGCCCACTAATCTCCATTTCTCTATCCAGATAATCTTTCACAATGGGTCACGAAGATGCCGTTTACCTCGCCAAGCTCGCCGAGCAGGCTGAGCGCTACGAAGGTGCGTCATCTGCCTTTACCCGACCGCTTCTCTCGCGGCAACCAGGCTTCCATACTAACATGGCTGGTTTTTGATAGAAATGGTTGAGAACATGAAGGTGGTCGCCTCCGCCGATGTAGAGCTCACCGTTGAAGAGCGGAATCTCCTGTCTGTTGCCTACAAGAACGTCATCGGTGCCCGTCGTGCATCCTGGAGAATCGTTACTTCCATCGAACAAAAAGAAGAGTCCAAGGGCAACGAGTCCCAGGTTTCCCTCATCAAGGAGTACCGTCAGAAGATCGAGGCCGAGCTGGCCAAGATCTGCGATGACATCCTTGAGGTTCTCGACAAGCACCTCATCCCCTCTGCCCAGAGCGGCGAGTCTAAGGTCTTCTACCACAAGATGTGCGTGACGACCCATACTATTTCCACCCTCGATGCGATCGGGAACCATAACTGACATGTTTCCGCTTCACAGGAAGGGTGACTACCACCGTTACCTTGCTGAGTTCGCCGTTGGCGACCGCCGCAAGGGTGCCGCCGATGCTTCCCTTGAGGCCTACAAGAGCGCCACCGAAGTTGCTCAGACCGACCTTGCCCCCACCCACCCCATCCGTCTCGGCCTCGCCCTGAACTTCTCCGTCTTCTACTACGAGATCCTCAACTCCCCCGACCAGGCTTGCCACCTGGCCAAGCTCGCCTTTGATGATGCTATTGCCGGTATGTTGAGGCTGATTCTATGATATGCCGTCATGAGGCTAACAGATGTTGCAGAGCTTGACACCCTCAGCGAGGAGAGCTACAAGGACTCCACCCTGATTATGCAGCTTCTTAGAGACAACCTGGTAAGAGGACATGGTTGCCCTGTGTAGAACCGACCTGCTAACGCTGTGTAGACGCTCTGGACCTCATCCGAGGCTGAGCCCGCCGCTGAGCCGAGCGCCCCCGCCGATAAGAAGGACGAGGCCCCGGCTGAGGGCGAGAAGCCCGCTGAGTAAATCACGAAAGATGACGAAGGACTCGCGTGCGGACCTGGATAAGGTCGACCGGCCGACACACCTTGGATCTTAGACGCAGAAGCCTGGGTAGGAAAAGGGGTACGGAGTGAGAGTGCACATCTGGTTATACCATCTGGCAAACCTAGACGGCAAGGAGCTGTTGGCTATCACTGGCTGACGGTCTTGAACTCGAGGTCATGCTCTGTGCCCCGTGTTCCCTTGGCCTCGAGTGGCTTTTGGGTGGTGTCGTTGATGCCGCCAGTGGTCTCGGTCTGGTCTCTCATCCGGGGGCCTCCGATTGTCGTTTGATTTCTTTTATAATTTTTTGCCTATTGACGCAATTCCCCAAAGAATACCTTTCCCTGTCATCCATCGCACTTACATTAGTCAATCTATTCCCCACCGGACGTTGACTTCCCCGACCTGTCTTGGTTTTCCACATTGTGCCACGTACGGCGTTTGTTTGTCGCCTTAGCTGAGTTTAGATCTAAAGCCGGCAGTGGCTAAAGAAACTTGAATTATGATACCACGGTACTTGTAAGATTGTATAGAGGCGATGGATGCATTGGTCGTACCTTGGCCTGACATTAAGATAGACAGGAACATACCACTAACAGACAGGCTAGCACCAAATCCCAACCCGGAAAGCGAACCAAAAGACCTGAGAAACCACGCGACCAACCAAATCCCGATCTAAGACCACACCCACCATGATCAACTGTGTACCGACATGCAGAACAGCATCGTCCATCATCCCTCGCGGATACTCCGGAGTCCCTTCCGTTCGGAGACCCGGGACATACATGCATACCATCCTCCACCTACCCTCAAGTATACAGTAGTGCCATGCGTCCTCTGTACTCCGTTAGAATTTTCTACCTACCTACTGCCTAGGTGCGAGGGGGGTAGATCTTTGTATAGATTGCTATGTACAGTGGTGCAGTAAGATACATTAAGTTTAGTTGGATTTAGTGGATTGTTGGATTGTTCACTTGTGAGTGATTTATGGAGTACATGCATACATGCATACATGCATACATACGTACGTACGTACAGTACGCTTGACAAAGTACTGCCTATGGTACTCCGTACGGAGTACTGGACTTGACCCTGGTAGGGATTCAAGGGTGGCTACTTGGTTAACTTAGGTTAGATTACTTAGGACATAAGTAAAGATTACTGAATTAGGCAAGCAGTGAGAACTAAGCATCCAGGCCCCGGTAAGTAAGTACCTTCTATCTTTTAGCTTCTATGTCCTACTCACCTACCTCCTTTGGAATATGACGCAGGTAGGGGAGTAGGTAGGTAGATAGGCAGGGGATGGCTATTTATAGTCGTAGTTTTTTTTTTCTCTGTCCGGTGTATACCTACCTACTAGTATGTAGGTATGCACGTATGTACATTTAGTTATACACGAGGGATAAATCGACATAGATTAGAGAGGAAGAATAGTCTGGACTAGAGACTAGAATCTAGAATCTAGAGTCAAAGACAAAGACAAAGAAATAAGGGGGAAGAGAACTTAAGAAAAATGAGACGGAGGGAAAAGGGAATGACGTATGCGGCTAGTAGATAGGTATAGATTGTCTTTATTTTCTTTGTGTTATTCGTAGTGACTATATTGTGAGTTATTAGTACTCCGTACTGGGTTCACTTATGATGGTGGTGGTGGTGGTGGTATTCCTTCCCCAGGGATCAGTGTCTCAAGGAAGTAAGTACTACGCCCTAGGCAAGTAAGTCCCAGGTACCCCGTACATTTGACTCATTTACACAAAGCAAACAAAATAAACGAGATGCATAGTACATTCCCATCATCTTCCACCCCTACCCTAATACGTACTTTCCCCCAGCTGTAGATCATACTCTGTAGCTTTCCCCTAGAAAGGTAGGAACATGCATCTGACCAAACATCGGATAGGGCAGTCAACTAAAGTTCCACCTAGAATAAAGTACGGCTAGTACTTTCAATTAAATTTCTACTACCGACGGGGAACGGGGTTAGTTTCCGATGTGGAGGGTCGACTTTGGCTAGGTGGCTAGGATGAAGACAGCAGGAGAAAAAAGGACGTAAGCGATTGATGGGGTTGGTGGTGGTGTGGTGTGCTCGGCATGGTGGGTGTGGTGGTGATAGGTATGAAACTGATCGATGGCGGGTTTGCTGGCTCGGGGTTGGTTGGTTCGCGTTTGATTGAAGGAGTGGGTGGGTGGGGATCATCCATTGAGGTGTCAGACAAGATGCGGTGAGGACAGTAAGTACTATGGAGGAGTAGAATCATCTAGACTACCAAGGGACCACTACGGAACGACCCTAGGGGATTTACGAGGAGCAATTCGACAATTTTGTTCTCATTTAATGTATCAACCGCTCGCTTCTGGGTATGGTAAGCAAATGTCTTCAGAGCCAAACGAAAATCAAACCAAGTCGAATCCGAATCGTCAGACCGGGACGATTCCAATGTACATGTTGATGGAGGAAGGGTGGGGACGGGGAGGATGAGGTCGAAGTCGGGGACGAGTGAGGCGGCGATGAACAGGATGGGGAGGATGAGGATGATGAAAACCACATGAAGATTGGCTGCTCCGTGAAAATGCTTCCCGCCTTTTTGCAGACCTTTGCAAACAAATGCGCCCAGTGCGGTTCCAATGTCAGAAAGAAAGATGAAACACAACAAGTCTAAGTAACAATCCCAGTCAATGTCCCAACGCCGCGCGTGCTATGCCAATACACAAAGCCTCCGGTATGATATGACAGATAGGAAAGAAAGTAAAAGATAAAAGAAGAGGCAAGGAAGAAGGAAATGAAAAAAGTGAAACACAAAATATGAACAGAGGAAGGTAGACTCGACAAACGGCCCAACAAGCAGGCGTGGATCGCTGCCAAGACGGTAGGCGTCGATCAAACTCCCTGGAAACACCCGGCATTTGTGGATGATGTCACGATCACAGCCTCGTTGGGACCCCCGCGCACGCGCGCAGTGCATTGACGTGGGTGGTCCAGGCGGAAGAACCGGGCGTTGTGGGAAGATTATTGAAAAAGCAGTGGACAAAGTCGTGAGGGTGGTCATCGTGGTCGACCGCCGTGTCCCGTTGCACGATCACGTCCGTCCAGAAACAAAACGAATCGAAGTGATGTATCAATTTGCGAAAAGTCGACGGGCCCCCCCCGGGGCCCCAGGGTCGTACGAGGTTCCACCTGATGAAGCCGCAGATGTCATTTCGGAGTCCCAGACACGGGGAGGGGCAAGTCCAAGCGGATCTTCGCGTGCATGAATCGTATATCGTATTGCTGCTGAGCATGCACTGCAGCCAAGAGCGTCTCATTCCGGCGTATGCGAGACACCTGCATAACGAGGCGAGGAATGTGGCATCATCGGAGCCGAGAACTCATCAAGTGAAGGGTAAAGAAGGTCATCGCGCAGCAGGTTGCGTATCGTGAATTTGATCTGATCGCTCGCTTTCTCCCAGGGCAGCGAATTCCCGACCGTTAACGGTACCGGACAGCCGGGATGACAATGCGGCGGCGTAGCTATTTCTGCGATTTTTTGACCTTGGTGCTACTCCTCGTCATTTCGCTCTTGGTCATGTTGCGAGTCAAACCACCAATATAGTCCTGGAGAAATCGGTTCTCACTCTCGAGCTTATCGTGGTCCGATTTGACGGCTTCAATCCGTTCAGCGAGCGCTTGGAGAGACGACTGGAGGGCCTTGGCTTGTCTGTCATGGACACGTAACACATTAGCATTTCCCTCCTTGGCGCAGCTGGACCGGGGGGGGGGTAAGAAAGGGGAATAATCTTTGCGAACACTCACTCCTGTAATGTTTGCCGGGCTTCCTTGCCCAGTCGTTCCAGGTCAGCCGAGTTGCGTCGAGGACTCATGGCGCGCGCGTCGTCAGGGGGAAACTCTTCTTCTTCGATTTCGATCTCAGGATGATCTCGGGGAACCAGTATCGAGGCACTCGGTTTCCGACTGGCCATACGAGGTCTCTCAGAGCGCCCCCTACGTTCGGTTTCGGCGTCGGAGATGGAGGAGGAAGAGGAAAGGGAGGACATGTGCGAGCGACCGTTGTCGTTTGGTTGGGGAAGGGTCGGCACAGGAGAAGAACCGTGCACATCTGACGTTGACGCCATGGTTTTGTGCTCTGGTGGTGGCGCTCGTGGTTGAATTTAAGAGTTCCTGTGGTTGACTGTGGCTTGGGAAGCGAATAAGAAAAAATCTCGGGCGGTCGCTGAGGTAGGCTTTCCACGGTCGAGAAGAAACTGATAGTAACGCTACTCCCGCACGACGTGACAACAATTGACTCTCTTCTTCACAGCTGGGCTGTGACTACCTCTAGCGATGACTTCAGATGACGGATCTGCGTTGTCGCTGGAGGTAGCTGGCGTAGGAGCGAAAGGTGGGTTGTTTCCAGGGCGGCTGTCGTCGAGGATTTTCGGCCGGAAAAAGCAAAACAGGGACAGCGAAAACAGCAGGGGAAAAGCAAACAGATCCCGGGCTGCCAGGGAGGTGATCTCAGGGGATCAGGAGGGCGGAAGGCCAGAGGTGAGAAATCACGTAGATAAAAAGGGGAGCGAGTGAGTGACCAGCGCGAGGGGAGAGAGGGCGTGGTCGGTTAAGCGAAGTTGGAAAGACAACCAGCACGCCGGGACAAAGCAATTCAAGAATGTACCTGAATCAATGATTGCCAGCTATCGCCTTTGTTCCTTTTTTGGGAGGTTGGGTCTATGGGGATTAGGGATTAGGATTAATCCACGGCGTCGAACCCGGGTTTGGAGAAAGTTCGTTGGGCAGTCCGAAAACGGGCGGACTAAAAACTTGGACACACGGGGGGAAAGAGGGAGGTGGGTTTCTTTTTTTTGGTTTGGTTTTTTGGTTTTGATTTGGGTTGAGTTTGGGTTCGGTGGTTAGTTGGTAGATTGGTGGTAAGGTTGGTCGATAGTGGTGGTAACTGATAGTAGTGGTGGGAAGTGGTGGAAGTGGTGGAAATGGTGGTGGTGGTGGTGGTGGTGAGCGGACAGGTGGGTGGGTGGTTGTCACAATCACAATCCCAATCACGTAAAAAAAAGGGGGGGTAAAAAAAAGTGGAAAACCCAGGAGGAGTTCGGGAGGAGGGGAGAGGTTGCGAGGAAAGGGAGGGAAGAAAGAGATCCGACGGAGAGGAGAGGAGAAGGAGGAGGAGGAGCAAGCCAGTAGCTTAAAAAAATTGAACAGACACTGAGAGAGGTATGAATGAGGAGAGGAGACGACTTCTTTGCTAGAGTCGAGGGAGTCGCTGTAGGAATAGTTCGTCGCAATAATAATAATCAAATAAATAATAATAATAAGCAGCAGCAGCAGCAGCAGAGAGCAGCAGCCGAATTATCGTGGTCAGTTTCGCAAGCAGCAGCAACCACCGCAGCAGCAGCAGCAGTTAAGCAGCAGCCCCAGCAGATTGGTATGTAATAGGATTACTTCCGGGTAGGTAATAAATCGAATGGGTCGCGAAAAATAGGAAATTCGGTAGGAAAAAAGGAACCTCGCCGGGGGGTGGTTGATAGTATGGCGCCGAGGTACCTCCCTGCAACAGGAGGTTAGTCATGCGATCCAGCAGGTAAGGTCAGATACGCGTAGTAGTATGGTCATGAATGGAGACTAATAAACCACAATTTATGAGATAATTGGAGCCGTCGGGGGACTAATCACAGCCCTGCCCCGACAGAATTAGGCAGGTAGCAGGTAACATACCGCGTCCATAATTACCTAGAGGGTACATGCCTGCTGTACTTTTGGGCAGGAAACCCGCCCGAATTCGGTATGGGAGGTACAAACAGAGTACGGAGTGGTACCTCGGTGGGCTCGGGCTTACCCGTTTGGGGGTTAGCGGCACCACACTAGGAGTGGGAAGACTCGTGGCCGCCACTGGAATGATTATCGCCGTATTCCTGGGTACGTACGAGACAACTGGAGACAAGACAACTGGAAGGCAAGCGAGACATGATGATGCTGCTGCTGCTGAACACCCACTGGCCGGCAATTGGCGCATACAACCCGATCCATGACTACGACTGTTCCCTCCTATACTGAAATTCCTCCGGATTGAATCCTCCGGAGGCCCTCTGGCAGATGTTTCGGTCAAGGCCCTCGGTTCGGACTGGCGTCCCGTGGTTGGTGGGCGCCGGCTGCCCTTTTAGGGGTTCGTTTTGTTCCTTTCTCAGCAGTGGTTCGGTTAGTGACTGTCGGACCCAGGCTTTCACGCCCCTTGGTTCGACGCTGCCCTCCTTAGCGGGAACCCAAATCCCCTGAAGGGGGGGCCGCAAACCACCGCCAACGAGGTGTCGTCCTCGGAGGAATGGCGATGATCCTCATCATCCACCGCTAGTACAATGACGATGATCCATGGCGATGATGCTGCTGATGCTGATGATGATGTCGCGGTATGATGCTGCTGAGGTTGGATGCGCTTCTCCCTTTGTTGTTGCCACGGCTCAATCATCCATCGCCAGCGTCAGCCGGACGGCTGCCATTTCCACTTTTCCACTCTCACCAAGTCACAAATTTGCTCCGGGCCAAAGCATTCCTCCCTCCCCTGCGGCTGCCGCTCCTGCTCCTCCCTCCTCCTCCGTCCTCCTGTCCAATTGCCGAGGCGGCGGATCATTAAGCCACGAAGGGCACAAGTGCTAGTACGTCAAATGGGGCGACGGTAGTCAGTCGGACCTAGTCAGAACGTTTTAACCAAAGTCTTCAGGGGAGGTCATGCAACGTCGATCGAGCCATCGGATTCGTGGCTTTGCCTCCATCGCCGCCGCAAGACGGGGTCAGCATGGATATCGGAATGCTTCGTCTACCGCTATCCTGACTAGTGACACTGATAATGCACCTAGACAGTGCTACAACCGACGGTACCTTTCCCCCCTCCGGATCACCTACTATGGGCAGTTAGTCCTACAATTGCCACTGCCACTGCCACTATCCCCCCTCTTGCGTAGACCGAATCCCCCAAACCACACATCCATCGTCCACGTACCGCACCTGATCCATCTGTAGTACGGAGTAGGGTAATTATTTTATCGTCCTTTTGATTGTGGCAGCCCCGAAAGGGAGTGGAGGTGGGTGGGCGTACTTTTCCTCTCTGGTCGGATTTTAAGCTCCACCACAAAGGAAGTCAACGGCTTGGGACAGGACGATCCATTCCCGCGGGTTCGACACCTTCTGACGGATCATGGGCTGGGAGCGAGCAGCGAAGGGAGAACCAGGAAAGGATGTGCAGGCCGCCGATCCATCACCATCGGGAACATGTGTCCCTCGAAAGTATCGAATCACAGTGTCGATAATGTGACGAAAGTTGATTCAGATGCTCCCTTCCCCCTGGACTGGGCTGTATGGGGTACCCCGTACAGCGCCTCTACTACTGACGGGAGCCATGTATGCACTCACTCGCAACCGCGACAGGGATGGAGGGCTTTCATCCACTGTCATTCGCCAACCTTACTAGGAATGGACCAAGGAAGGGTTCCGACGGTGGTCGTCGTGCAAGTCACTAAGAATATAATACAGATACGCGACCCAAGATGGTGGGAAATAAACCTCAATAGAAGAAAATGCCCGACCATGGGTGAGGCTTCGGGGAAGACGCAAGCACAAATTTTCTTTTGCAGCTTAAAGGTCCTTGCGGGTGCTGACCGTCGCCGGCCACCGTGGTTCATCCTCGGGGCAACCTGAGAGTCGCCGCCAGCTATGACGGGTGAGCACGTCATGGGCGTCTCTCTCATTGGACCTGTCTGTTGCCCATTGCTCTTCCTGTTAGATAATTGGATTCGAGGGATGTCTCTCGCGGTGTCTTCTTCGGTCGACGGTACTTTTACTGACTCCGTGCTGCAATGTACCTGACTGGCTGAAATGCAAGGCTCAGCCCCGAAAGGCCCTGACAAAGTACGGAGAGTACGGAGTACTGCCTCGACACCCAAGACACAGATCCATCTATCTGATGGAGAGACTGAAACAGGACAACGTCACTTGCGGAGTGACTAGTATCGTGTAGGTTCTATCAAAGGAACCACCAGCACCGAACAGATCGCATCTCAGCTCGACCGCTAGTACAATCGTGGCGAATTTGCAGCAAGGCGCTGCAGTTGCATACATGAGCCCCAACGGACGACGCCCGGAACGTTCCCCGGCGGCTACTTTAGTTGAGCTGGGCCGGCGAAAACACTGCAAGAGCGATATCGCGCGTCCTACTGGACGGGCACGTCGTCTGGGAGTCTGGTAGTCTGGTACACTATACCGCCGAGCTACTCCTTCCTAGACGCGTCCCTTTAGGAATCCGGTTATCAACACGAGGTCGAGCAGACCTGCAGGATGGCCCCCTCCCCTTTCCCCCCAACCGCCATTGAGCAGCAAGTGAACGAGCTCCGTTTCGATGGAGGGACGCATTCACCGGGGGAGCGTTGAACAGCAGAGGGTGAGTTTCAGCCAGTGGAAAGCGTTCCTCGACCCCCGCATCGGTGCATGCAGTCGCGCTCCCCACCCAGGGAGAGAGCGCGCGAAGGGCTTGTGACCGGATGGGACCATGGGCGAACCCTTTTTGTGTTTTTATTTTGTTTTTTTTTTTTTTTTTAATCTTTCGGTTTCTTTTCGGTTTCTTGATAACTTTAGGAGTCTAGGATGACAGTTGTCCACGGCCCGATGAGGGATGGGATGCTCCATCCGGGTGATTGAGGAAGGCTTAATTTGGGAAGACAGGCACGTCAGTTCAGAGAGTTCAGAGCTGAAAGTCAGAAAGAGGGGGTGAGACTTGGGAGATCGGTAGGTACCTAATCTTAAGGGGAGCCCGTGACCTCATGGGTGTGGACAAGCAGGCAGCCAGGACCCTCGACCGACAGTCAATCATGGACGGTCTGAAGCAACGGATGAAACCGAGAGAAGCGAGGATTTCCCGAAATAATACCATACGGGCGGCTGCCCGCCGTATTGGCATACACGGTTCCATACTCTGGTACGGATGACGGCCATAATACGAGGACGTAAGGGTACCACGACTGGGCGGCCGCGTGACTGCGTCCGGCTCCACCAGCCATTCATTCCATGGTTGACGGCCTCCATTATTATTCTTAGTTCCTGCCGAACTCACCGCGAGGAACATGGCTTCATACCTCTCTATCTAGTGGGAGATATCGTCGAGGAGGCTTTCTCCCCTCCTTCTCTTCCTCCTCCTCCCATGTGTCCAACAGTCACCACCGTGGTGTCCAGGGTGACAGCCTCGGACAGCTGGCCATTCCTGTCACATCCGGACCCAATGAAGGCCAGGAGCTATGAGGGCCAATGCCACCCTGGCGACTGACGATAAAGAACTGCCGATCTGGGATCGGCTAGTGGCTGATGTGATTCTCCGCTAATAAGGACACTGGCGAGGGCTAAGACTCTCAGAGCACCAACAGTCATGATCACAACCCCGATTCGATACTGCTTGGCCTCGATGCCTTTACCCGATCATTTGATGTCGCGGCACGGCTTCCAGGATCATCGCGACACTGACCATGAACCCGCCATCTCCGTTGATGGTCCTCATCCATCTCCTTCTGTGGAGTGTAGACCTCAATTGCTGGGTCTCTACGGAGTAACAACATGATACCTATCAAATTACCCCCCCCCGGCCCCTCCCCCCAATGAGTACCCACTCTCCACAGGAGCACGGAGGACCTATCCAGCAGTACCAGACTACGAGTACCACAGCAGTCAGCACTCGGCCCATACACACCATAAAATCATAGATAGGCAACCCTACACCTCCTCAAGCCACAGGACCACCTTACACAAAGACCCGACGGCATCGACTCGATATGCCATCTCGTCCAACCCCAACTGCAGCCCATCAGCCCAGAAAGGCTAAACCCCCTAAATCCCCTCCGGCAGGTCGATAACACCGACCTACTACTGACCAGGGTCATCCTGCCATGGAAGATTCTTCCCTCCCTTATCGTATGGTCGGTCGCCCAGCTGCCCTGCCCCGTGGTAAGCTCCTTGTAGGTAGCTAGTGCTTCCAGAATAAATTAAATTATTCCTCCTAGAACATTGGGTCTCCCGTCCGGCGGCCACCAGGACCACCACCACCCAGGGGACACGGTCAATGCGTTTCTAGTGGCTTTCTTTTCTCTACCCAACCTCCCTTGGCTTCAATCTCCTCATGGGGTTTGCACATGGTTCGCTAACTTCGCTTAGTTATTGCTAGATTGATTACTAATGCGATTGGTGTGCCATTACATAGTAGTATACCCATCTTCTGAACAAGGAAATGATATACTCCCACAATATACTGAAGAGTTAAATGTAGGTAAATTACCACCTAATAATGCTTCTCTTATGACATACACCCATCCAACAAACCACGGAGTACACAATGCTACATGCAAATACCTCATCACAACCACCCAACATACCAAACCTCAATCCTCTCACATCATGATCACGATCATCACTTCACCAGACCAGATGAGCAAGTGGCCAGTTCAAACGCATCACACTACATACCTACCCCGGAAAAAAAACAATAAACAAGGGCAAAATTACTCCAGAAGAGAAAAAATTAAATAAATGAACGCCAACCCTTACGCCACACAGATTCTTACTCCTGTCATGTCTGGTGATATCATCATCCCCAACCAACCTCACCTCACCCTTCATACTTTCATACATCACGACCAGTTCACACGCCCCATCTCGGTTCCCAGTATATGGCATATGGCATATGCAACCCTAGTATTCTTCATGCTTCATACGGAGTACTCCAACCGATAATTATACCATTTACGACGTAAAGAGTAGTACATAGTACGTAGTATGTAATGCAATGCATCAACGAACCGGGTCTGCCAAGATCATCGACATCATACTCATACTCATACTCTACCTCATACCTCATGCTATGTACACAGATAAAATGAACATTCAACTACAAAGTACCATGTATACTACATTCCCAAAAAGGAAAACACCCCACGGGTAAAACAAACTCCATGTACTGTTAGTATACGGGGTATGCCGAGCAACCACCACCAATCTCATTATCATATCATACTACCCTTTCTATCTTTTCTCTAAAAAAAAATATAACAAATCATTTCTTTCCCAAAACCACTATGTACATAGTACGTAGTATTTCCTTCAAATCGTCACAAAAACTCTCATACCCAAAATAAGATTTCCGACTCGAAATCAAACCAAGCCCTCAAAGGCTCAATCAGTCGGTCAAGAACTCTTCCTCACCTCCAGGAGCAGTCCCACCCGACAACACATTGAACACAACTTTACTTCCCGAAGAAACCACGATGAATGGTTCGGGGCGGCCGGGGACGGGGCCGAGGGATGGCGGGGACGGGACGAGAAGGAACTGAAGGAAGAAAATGGATCCAATCGTGAGGGAGACGAATGAAAGGGAAAGAAAATTAAATGAAAACGGGACGAACTACTCAGTGATTTATTGAGATTTTTCGGGACGGACGGGATTTTCTACTGGTTACTGAGTCGGTAAGTAGGTGAGGCCAACACGATACGGACTACGATGTACTAGCCGAGATTAATCTGGTGATCTTGCCATGTGCGATGATGTCGTGGTTTCCTAGTTCGCTCCCTACCGGGCTGCGGAGGTTTTTTCCGGGTTAACACGGCTGGCGACTTGCCACGCTGGGATGGGGCTAATTCACCGGTTCGACTTTGCCCTGCTGATCCAGCAGGATGCATGTGGCGATGTACGTATGTACAGCTGCCGCACTCTACAGATGACAAAGGTAATCGTGCTCCAAACGCCAGTTCCGGTCCTCGGTATTCCTGAACTCCTAACATGCAAACATCCCATTTATACAGGGTGACCTAAGTAGATGGTCCAATGACCCCGGTCATGCAAGAGACGTTGTCGTCTTCCACTGGTACAAGGCCCGCAGCACCGCTACACCTCCTGACTGTGTCTCGACAGTGCGTCCGCGGCCGCGATCATTGGGGTCTTCCGCCTCATCATCCAGTTCAGTGAAACCCGACCGTTTGGATGCAGTTCCCCAGCGGTGCGGCCCTCTCTGTGAGCTTGGTCCCTTCATCTCGTCGCTGGGTCTTTTGGAGCCACGACTGCGGAGAAGTCCCGTCAACGGCTCCGAGCCCTCAGCCCGTGCGCCATAGTTCTGATAGTCGATTGCCCCCTGCGGCAGAGGGCTCACGTCAGTGGCGGAGGTGTTTCCCCACCACATTCCGATCTTGCCATCGCCATTCTTGGCTAAGAGAGCCGCATTGGCGTTGTGCTCGATCCAGGGGCGGTATGTTCGGCATCGTGCCTGGTGCCACTCGTATACATACTCCCAGCCGTCTTCCCCGTCAGCTGTCCGGTTTGCGCTGGCCAGGAAGCGCAACTCCTGCGGCCGGATATCTCGGCAGAACTCGGCGAGGTGATGGAAGAAGATCCCCTTGAAGGTCTGCCCATTTTGGGAGCAGCTCCCGGCAGAGTCACATGCATCCTCCAAGACACCTCCACGGCCAAGTCCCTTCCACTGCTGACTGACCTTGTCAGGCCACCCGGTAGCCGTCATAACATTGCTGACCAAAAGGTGTCCGTCAGATAGATACTGCTGCACAGCAGTAGCTAACCAAAGTCCTCTTAGCCCGCTAAGGATCACGCCCTGATTGTATGTGTATACCATAGTGTTCAGAACATCACACTTGCCGGTGCCCGGATCATCGGCACTCTTCCACCCGTTGATGTGGAAGCCGTCTGCATAGAGACCATCGGCACCAGTCATGTTCGAGGCATTCAGCCATGAATACCCCTCAATGGCGGCCTGCAAATGAGCCGGCTCGTGAGGGTAACCGTCGGACCAATTCTCGTCGTCCACGGCAGATTCCAAGAAGGGCGAATCGATTCCGTCTCCGGGGAAGTAAAGATACATCCCGATGCTAGCTGATATGTACAGCTCATTGGTGATGGCATTCTTGTAGGGTGTCAGGTAAGGGCTCCAGATCATGCCGCCACCACAGAGGGACACGTCCCAGCCCCCGGACGCCAGCCCGTAGAAGACACGTGCTCGATGGGCCGCCGGGGTTTGAAACTGGGTTCCATGCCAGCGCAGCTTGGCTGTGCCGTTGGGCGAGGAGGGATCATCGTAATGCAGGTCGGTGTGCAACACTTGGAACTTGATGTTCTCCAGCCAGCCCAGCACAACCCACAGCATATCATCGAATGCCTGATTCCTGACGGCAAAGGCATCCTCACCGTAGTAAAATGCCGAGGTTTGGTCAAAATAATGGTTGATGAGATTCTCGAATCCCGACGCATACTCTTCGAGCACTGGCTTTTTGGTATCGCCTCCAGCATCCGGTAGGATATCACCCGCAGTGGAGGTCAGCGAGGAGAGAGTGGCGGAGACTTGAGTCCCAAGCACGGCAGCAGTCCAATCGATACTAGTTGGCCAGGTGCCTTGCCAAAGTTCGAAGTAGTCATCCTGCATCACATTGAGGGCATCCAACAAATCCCGATAGATGCGGGTAATGGAAGCGATGGGTTCGTCAGGCTCCTCCGGGGCAGGAAGGGGTAACTGCTCCGATGGTGCGGTCGAATCCTCTAGCGGAACCTGCGCGTTGGGAGACAATGGCGCAAGGACGTCCTGCGACCGCAACGCCAGCGCATTGGTCTCAGACAAAGCCAAAGTCAAGTAAAAAAATCTATGAATGGCACGTAATGCACGCATCTTGGAGGCCTTTCTAGTGGTAGATACCTAAAACCCGGATAAACGAATGGTCTCGTGGTACTGGTAACACAGGGCGGAGGGCCGATAAGCAACAAGAATGTCTCACGAGGTTAAGAATAGTAGTTACTTCTTACCCGCAGAACTCGAGCAGGACGTGGGGATTCGAGAGCAGAGAAAGACGACCTACATCCAATCGACCGGCAGGACCGAATGAGGCATATTTCAGCAGTCAATGCTCCCCAGTCCGGGGCAAGAGCGGAGGGTGACGAGGGAGAAGGAAGAAAGGGTCCTTGACGTCGAGCGATAAGTTTTAAGTTCGGCCGTTGCGGGGGAGGGAAAGAGCCACTCCCCGGGCTTAACTAATCCGCTCCTGCCCCCCAGGCCCGATGACCTGCGCCGGTCCTCAGCTGCTGCCATCAGAAGCGCTGCTTGGGATGCGATCGTCGCGGGGGCTCGTTCTTGGTATCCTATCACGCGCTCCCGTTGCCTGAATCCCATGCCCGAATCCTACCCAGCCTTCTCCCCCCCACACGATCTTATGATCTTTTCCCCGCCAAATCTCATATAATGTCTGCAGTTCATGAATCGGATGACCAATGACCGTGATCTAAATGCTCTACAGGGATCTAGGTGAAATAAGGGTCAGGCTGAACTCAGCATGCGCGGAATGATGGCGGTTCAGGCAGACAGAGGAGACGCTACAAGTATGCTCCAGCCACATCAGACTCGGATTCGGTGGGTTGCACCCGGATTGGACTTGGAACTAGTGGACATTTTGGCATATCCTAGCTTGATATATCATGCGAGCGGTTTTCTTCTGCAGCCAAGTCAGCGAAGTGCACTTGAGGGAACCACGGAATGCAACGGCATTCAGGATGAAGGGCGACAGAAGACGGTCTGCTGAAGTAGGAGAGATGGGAACTGAAAGGGAGAACGACAGCTTGGGGGCATAGGTTTTGGACCAGCACATACCATATCGCTGTTTATTTACGACGCCGGCAAGTATCCCCTCCCACTGGTATCCTCATCTGAGCAGACACGCACCGTAGGAGACATTGCCGGCTGGAGCCACTGCTGCCCATAACGCCATACCAACTGAGACCAACTTGTGTGCATTTCGAGACAGGGTCATTGTTGACGGTTAACCGTGCAGTCCTTGAGGGCGAACGCGAAGGGAAGATTGAAACGCTAGTGATGACGAGCAAAGAAAACAAAAGATGAGGGTTCTGTCAAGGTCATAGAGCGAACAGAAGACGACTCCTCGCTGCCATAACAATACGCCTAGTCTCTCGCTTCTTCAGCTCCGGGGCTGCGACTCCTCTCGCGGCTCCTGCTGCGACCCCGTCCACCACGCCCCCCTCTTTGTCCAGCATTCTTTCCTTTGTTGGATGGAGGTGGCCGAACAAATGCGTAATCGACCTGGATTGTCTGGTCCAGCAATTTGGATCCGTTCAAGGCTTTGATGGCTTCTGTAGCTTCTGGGAGGGTAGAGTACTCGATCAACGCGTAACCCTAGACAACACTGAATTAGCATCATCTCGTCCTAGAGATAGGGTGTTCCGAATAGATGATTGGGATATATCCAGCGAATAGTAGAATCATTCACACAGAAGATGAGGAGTAAAGGATGCCTACCTTGACATAACCCGTCCGACGATCCAGGTTCAAGTTGAAGTTCTTGATCTCCCCATACTCAGCAAACAGATCCGTCACGTCCTCCTCTGAAGCCTCTTCATGGATATTAGTCGCAATGATGATCCACCCTTCGATACTGCGCACAGCAACAGCACCCCCGTCTGTTCTCGGATCAGAGGTACTGTTGCCCGACTGCGCGGGAACTTCTTCCTGCGCCACTGGAGGGTCGACTTCCATCTCTGCGGACATGATGACGGTCGGATCGGAGAGCCTGTAACCGTCAAGGATCTATAGCTCAAGGGGAGGTGGGTAAGGCGAAAGGATTAGATGAAGGTGGCTGTTCAATGGCCAACTCTGCAATGCGATGGACTGCGATGGATCTTCGCGAAGCTTGCGGTGTGCTTATGTAATCGGGTGGTAGTTAACGACGAATGTTGATAGTTCGGTGGCTACCATGTTTTTAATGGTACCGTGAGAAAGCCGGAATAGATAAGGATGGCATAGAAGGAGATTGTCAGTAAATGATTATGCTAGCAGTGAGGATTGCTGACTTCTTGCCCGGCTTCATAGACCACGTTATCATGCATATGGCAGTATTGTTCCACTTGGTAGAATATTTGATCATGCAGTGTGATGTTTATCTTGTTGTCTTAAGATTAGCAGGAATTGTGTGTAGGATTAACATGGCTGGGTCTTAGTAGATTGCCATGCAATGTGCTCGGAATTCTTTCTCATGGTCACTTTCTCGTGACCGAGAACGTTGTAGACTCCGATATTTTCATACTCTATACCATATTTCATTCTAGTTTAAGTTCTTACGCATATTAATGGTAATGATATTAGACATATAATGAAATAGGAATGTTTTCTACCACATAAGTCTCCATTGCAAGTCAACACTCATTTGGTCTTGGAATGAAGATGGCCTATGCCAATTCCTATCAGGTAGATGTGACGACTTTACAGATCCTGGAAGTATTACTATAAGGTACCTAATACTCTATATAGACTGACTACACCCTGCTGCTCAGTCTGCCAGTGATTGACTTTAAAGACTCCCCACCTTGTGCAAACAGCATGCTAAGATGGCGCTGAGATGAACAAAACAAAAATGCAATAAGGCTTCTCATGAAGCCACTCACACGCAAGAGAGAAATGTGAGCCCTTTTGGGAAGCCATGTCAGTGAATAGATGCCAGTCACTGGCGTGTCAGTGATGAACACCGTCCTGACTTGACCCCATCCTCGATCCCCACAGTTGTCCTTCCTTTTCTCTCATGCATCATCCCAAAGTCAAGCAAGCTATCGTCTCGATATCGAGATAAACACTCACCTATCCTCTGACCATCGTAAATCAAAATTCCTCTTCATCAAGTGAGAGAAAGACTTCGCCACGATGAGTGGCAAGTCAATCTCGAACCTGCCATGGTGCGTCCTCCAAGCTCACTTGAGAAGTCAATCCTCTGACCAGATCATTGCCATGGCAGCGATGATCCCCAATGTTTCTGCCACCTTCGCCCCCCTAAGCCCTTTCCCAAGATTGAAGCTGTGTTGTCTGGTCCGGAGCCCGACCAGGTCCGCGAGTTGCACCAGCCAAATGCGCAGCTCGACGTTGCCTTCGATGTGGTCGGGAATACAATGACAATCAATGAATGTGTCCATGATCCTTCGAGGCCTAAGATCGCATATTCTGTCGGCCTGATCATCAAGGCCATGAATTTTCACTTCCTGAACCTTGAAGGGCTTCCGGATCACTCGCTGCTTCTTTCTCTGAGAATTCGTCGCTCAGCATGTGCTGTGAGAGGCAACAAGATGATTCTCAAGGAGAAGTTCAACGGATACTTTCCCGATCCTCCATATAGCCGTCTGTTCAACGATCTGTTCGAGTGCCGCTGGCCTGAAAAACTTCTCCAAATTCGTTTGCCTGAGGAGAGATGTCGACGCTGGAAAACCGTTGCCCTGATCCTCAAGACCTTCAAGCAGATTAACCCCGATAGCTATTGCCATATGGCAAACATGATGTTTACTCCCCGCGTGGGTGGTTTGAATGTGCGCCAGGTCAAGAAGGACATTAAGACACAGCTTGCACAGGTCAACCATGAGCGCCGGAAGAACCCCGTGTCGTCTGAGTACTTGGTCACAGTCAATGATGAGGAGAAGATTGAGAGGATTAACCACGCATACGAGGTTCATCTACTCGCTTTCATCTACAGCTCATCGCCGTTCACACCCCCGCAATACCTATAACGCCACAGGCGGAAATTGTCGATCATGGAAGATTGCATATCTGTCTCTTAAATCAGCATGATATTGGGACTATTGGTAGCAAAGGGTACAGGAGCAGGCATCTGGTGCTCTGTTATCAGCTGCTTATGGTGGCAGGAAGATCCAGCAACATTGCAACGAGTGATAATAGTCTGGCGTTCTTTTCGAGTTCTTTTTCCATCAGATACGAGGTCATGAGATACGAGGACATGTCAAGGAATATGGGTTGATGTAAATATGATGAGTTGAATTGAGGGTTTAATCTAGCGAACCGGACTCCATTGAAAGCAGCAAAGTAGATTGATCGACCCTATGTTGCGAGATGACCTTTGTGAGTGTTCTCCCGTGCTGGGGTGTGTTTTTGTTGGATTCACACCCGGTCTGACAGTCTATAGAGTTCCTGTTGGCGGTGAGACCTCCCTCCCCTGGCATTGACTCTCACGGCATGCACTTCAGGTTACACTGCCAATCTCAATAGTCCCGAAACCGAGACTCGTTCTTTGAGTCTGACAAGTTCAGCGGCACACAGGCGATGTTATATCTCGTGCTATAGCTCTTCATTGGAGAAACTTCATTGCCTGATCTCGAGTGCCTAGCAACTCGTCCACTAACTACTTTGGATGTTCTGGGCACAAATGGTTGTGCGATCTCCTTGCTTTCTACATCTTCGGCACTTGGTAAAGTGAGAAGACCACTCAGTGATCCTGCTTGGGAGAGCAAATTGGTCCCGCCTATTCTGCAACATTCTCTCGAGAGTGTCAGCAAGCATGAGCGCCCTTATCTTATACTGGAGATCAAGTCTGGGTCTAGGATCAGGAATCATCTTGAATGCAACCAACCGTGCAACACCCTGACCACACTGGGCACTTTCTCCAAGAATCCCTCTACCGCCGGGCAACCCTTGCATGTGGCAGGGGTGGCTAACGTGCTGCAATCACACATGCCCTGACACCAACTGTGCACAGTTGATAGACGCCAGTGGAACTTGCCCCTGGACTGCCCTTTCCCCCGCAGGATGTTGCGTCATGTGCTTCATATGTTGCTGCGGATTAACTTGCATGCGATCAATAGATGAAGGCGCCAAATAGCTTATAGCACAGTTATCTGGAGTCTTGTGTTGGCTGTCGAGCATCCACTTCCATGGAACAGATGCATCACCATCTGCTCCGGGGGTAAGGGATAGATAGCTACGGCAGGTCAACTCTTCGGGGTCCTGCTGCTACATATGTACGATGCGAGCTAACTTCCCCTTGACATCGAGCCCTCGAGGATCCGTTCCCCTGTGAAGAGCCCATTCAGCCACTACTGTACTTCCTGTCAGAGTCATTCAAATGCACACGGCTGCCCAGGTCTCAATGGCAATTTCCCTTCTTGCTTTTCCTCTTGCACCCACAGTCACATCATGCCGTCTTGTGCTGTGAGCTGATCTGGCCATTACCATTTGGCTTTCGCTCATGAGATGCATTAGCATCTAATCCATTCACTTCACCCCGCCCCTCGCTCAACGTCATATTCTACTCCACCATAGACACTCATTTAAAAGATTTGGTAATATCAGCAACTCATCATTCTTGGAGTCGCTCACTCGTTTACTCATAACACGATCTGCCTACGGAGAGCCAGTGAAGTCCTGGGTTGCAACCTTCCCGAAACTGACTTGGTCGATCAGCTTTCATCCATCCAAGCATATCTTCCGGGCTCTTTGACATCACGGATAGGATGCCGCTCTCTTCGCGGTTTATGCGATGGCTTTGCATACTGTCGACTCTCGCACCAGCATTGGCAGCGGGCACCGACGCCTGGAGCACACGGTCAATCTACCAGACCATGACTGACCGATTTGCGCGCACCGATGGATCGACTACGTATCCCTGCAACACCACAGACGGTCTATACTGCGGCGGAACCTGGCGAGGCATGATCAACCAGCTCGACTATATTGAAGGAATGGGGTTCGATGCGGTCATGATATCTCCTATTATCAAGAACATCGAAGGACGAGTCTCCTATGGCGAAGCCTACCATGGCTATTGGCCAGAAGATCTATACTCTTTGAACCCGCATTTCGGAACCAAACAAGACCTTCTCGACCTAAGCAAGGCGCTCCATGACCGCGGCATGTATCTCATGATGGACACCGTCATCAACAACATGGCCTACATCACCAATGGTTCTGATCCCAGCACCAGCGTCGACTATTCCATCTTCACCCCCTTCAACGACCCCAAGTACTTCCACCCCTACTGCCCCATCACCGATTACAACAACTACCCACTGGCCCAAGCCTGCTGGACCGGCGATGATATCGTCGCGCTCCCCGATCTCAAGACCGAGGACCCCACCGTCCAATCCATCCTCAACACCTGGATCCAAGAGATCATGACCAACTACTCCATCGACGGGCTCCGTCTCGACGCCGCCAAACACGTCACCCCTAGCTTCCTCCCCATCTTCCAAAAAGCCGCCGCCAACTCCTTCATCACAGGGGAAGTCTACGATCAATCCGTCGACACCATCTGCGACTATCAAACCAACTATCTCCCCAGCGTTCCCAACTACCCAGTCTACTTCGCGCTCCTAGACGCCTTCACGCGCGGAAACACAACCACCCTCCCCAACATCGTCGAAGACATGAAACACGCCTGTCCCAACGTAACCACCCTGACGAGCTTCTCGGAAAACCACGACGTCGCGCGCTTTGCCAGCCTCGTACCGGACATAAACGTAAGCCCATCCCCCATCCCTCCCCCCTCTCTCCCACCAACAACAACCCCCTAACACAAACACCCCAGCTCGCCAAAAACCTCCTAACCTACACGCTCCTAACCGACGGCATCCCCATGATCTACCAAGGCCAAGAACAGCACCTCAACGGCGCCTACGACCCCCTAAACCGCGAAGCCTTGTGGCTCTCATCCTACAACACCACCACCCCATTATACCAACACATCCGCACCCTCAACCGATTCCGAAAACACATCATCCAGCACATCGACCCCCGCTACCCGGGTACGCAATCCGTGCCCATCTACCGCGGGTCGAGCGAAATGGCCTTTCGGAAGGGGAAAATGGTCATGTTGTTGTCGACGCAGGGGACCGAGAGTGGAAGGTATACGGTGCGTTTGGTGAATGGGTTTCAGCCCGGGATTGGGGTGGTCGAGGTGGTGACGTGTAAGAATTATACGGTTAACGAGAGGGGGGAGGTGTGGGTGGGTATGGAGAGGGGGGAGCCGAGGGTGTTGTTTCCGGTGGAGGAGATGGGGGGGAGTGGGATTTGTGGGTTTAATGTTGGGGTGGATGGGGAGGGTTCGGGGGGAGGGAGGGTTGTTGGTGGGTTGATGGTATCTTGGTGGTGGTGGGGTGTTTTGGGGATGTGGTTGGTGAGTTGGGGGGTTGTATGAAAGAGTACACGGTGAACTGTTGGATATGACTTCTAGTAAATAATACATGGTAATGATATGATATGGTTATGATGACTGGAAAGTGGAGGTCTACAGCTTAGTCAAGGCAGGTTCTATGACGTAGGAGGGAGCCACTACGGAAAACAAGTTTGTCATAATGATGGATTCAAGAGCGGAGATTAATTAGTTTCCACCTCTAGAGCATTAACATCAGAAATTCCATCGGATTTGTCCGCCCCAATGGCCCCGTATCGGAGCTGCGTGGCTAACCCTGGCCATCGGGGCGGAGAGTTAGGGTAGGGTGCCTCTCATCTTCGAAACACAGGCTGAATTATTGGTGGAAACCATGCTGAAATACTAATACAAACGGATCCTCAAAAAACAAAAGTACCATTTTGTTTCAGATTATCATCGTGTCCGAGATCGTGCATATCCGGGTGTTGCTATGAAGGGCTCATGCATTTGTACGCTCTAGCGCTAGACCAGGGCGGATGAAGATGCGCGAATGCGATGCGAAATGCGTTTAGCGGCGGTTGTTGCTGCGCATGCCCAGGATCTGGACCATACGGACGAAGATGTTGATGAAGTCCAGCTCAAGGCTGATGGCCTCGTTGACAACGTCCTTGCGGACAATGCCCCTCTCGGCCAGGCGGGCGTGGTGAAGGATCTTCTGGACGTCGTAGAGGGTGAAACCACCGAAGACGGCGAGACCACCGTACAGCCAGATCTTCTCGGACCACATCAGAGCGCGGGTGGCAGTGGCGGGGAGGACAAGAGGAGCGAAGCCAGACAGAGCAACGATGGTCACACCAGCGAGCAGAGGAGCACCCAGGTACATGTACTTCTCCTGCTTAGCGGTGGCACCGACGAAAGCGATCGAGCCCATCATTCCAACGGTGTAGAGACCAGCGCGAGCGAGGATAGCGGGGTTCATGAACATCAGGGGAGACAGGAGCGCAGCCTGGGTGACGTTGAAAGCCGTCCAGAGACCGTACTTCAGAACGTAGCTACCAGAAGTCAGCCAGATGATTCCAATATACAAAATAGAATGACGGCAAGCGCGAGTACTTACTTATCGGGAGAAGTGTACAAAGTGCCATACATGGTGCCAACGCTGGCAACCAGACCGAGACCAATGACAGCCCAGGGGCTGGCAGCCATCAAGCGGTAAGACCATCCATTCATGTGCAGAGCCCGAGCAGCGATACCGATGATACCAACACCAAGTCCAGTGTGCATAAACGTCTCGTTCAGGAAGCTGCGCTCAAACGGGGGCATGCCGCCATCTTCTCTGGTTTCGCGGTTGAAGATCAGGTTGGTTGCGAGGATAGTACCACCGATGATGGTGGCTCCGTAGAGCAGCTTCTGAGTGAGGTTGCCACCCTGGACATTGTAGGTGGGCTGCATGTAGGTGCGGCGGAAAGCATTCTGGAAGGTCTGACGGGACTTTGCGAAAATGGAGACGGGACCGGTAGGCTTGGGCTGAGCCTTGAAGGGCGTGTTGTGGATGAAACGAGCGCTGTTAGCGGGTTTGGAGATTTGCCGAAGCGCCGTCGGAACGGCGAACGGGCGTCGCATGAAGAACGCCATGGTGGTGAGGGTGACGATGAGGTCAAGGTTGTTGGAGATGAGGAGAAGAGCTGGAGAGCGGCGGATGGCCGGCTTAAGAATGATATCAGTCAGCCGTCGCTGGCCGCTACGGTCGCCCGAACGTTCGAGAAGTGAAGTCACGTGGGGGCTGCGCCCAATGAGTCAGCATCACCGCCCTCGGCGATAAGTTGGCGGGGGAGGGGGATTTAGGACTTAACGGACTTGCACGGCCACCGGCAATTGTCATCCCAATCTCGCATCCACGCTTCTCATCCCTTCTCGACAGTTCTCCCGGGATACGCCTGTCGTCGCGCTCTTGACATCATGTCTTCGCCGCTACTAGACACCATCCACCTGTCGCATCTGCCTCCGTCGATGCCCGTGCACGTTGCTCTCTATCGGGATGTGCAGAATGCTCCGTACCTTCGCCAGCAGCTGATGTCCGCCAATGCTGATTTCGAGTATGCATTCATTGATGCAAGCACAGTATGGACTCAGGATTTTTTCCCAGTCGAGCAACTGATGTGGCTAACAACGCCACAGGTCCTGTCCAGAACACATCTTCTCTCTGCCGTCTTCAGAGCAGTCAATGACTACATGAACGGGCGCCTCAAGTCTCGGAATGTGCACTCTGAGATTGTCTTCTCACTAAGCCCCGCGACAAATGTGCGCCTCTATACGAAGCGAAGAATCCTGAGCTATACTGACCACATATAGATCGCTGAATCTTTCCGCAAGTTCGGCATTCTTGATACGACGAAAGACCTGCTGGTAGTCAAGGTCTCGGTGACGCCGGAGATTACCCACGAATCAGTAGCAGCTCACCTGGGACAAAACGTTGAGGGAACCCCCGTGCCATTTGATGACGAAACTCTATCCACGATATCCGACGTTGCAAAGATCAAGAAGGCCTACAAGCTGGGAGCGCTGAACACTGCGCCGCCCAATCAACCAAACGGCACGCACGATGCCGGAATGCGACGGCTTGAGCTTTCGGTCTTGGGAGCCATTGCCTTGCGGGGAGCGACTTGAAGAAAACTTAGATCTAAAAGCCATCCCTAATCCCCCGACTGCTCTCTTGGATGCTATGGTTCCTCTGAAGTGGACAGGCTACAGTTGCAGAATGCCTGCTCTGCCCGGCCGTCAACAGTGCAGGCTGGAGTACCGGGCCACAGCCTTCGCCAAGGAGGACTTTGGTGCAGACCAATACCGTGGTGAAGAGCATCCAAGCAGGACACACTTATAGAACATCGTGATCTCATGTATATAGAAGGCCCAGGCCGCTATTGATATAGTTGGGGCAGAGCATTGAGCTATGGCCTTTGCTTGTTGACCTAATCCGCCCTTGAAGGCTCACCTTAAGGTGCAACCTCTTAAAGCACAATTTCCAGAAAACGTAGTTTCCGGGACTGATGTTGAATTGGTGATGAGGCATAAAAGAGAACGTGGCGGCGGTTGCCCTGCCCACCGCGCGGGTTTACTTCCGCAACTGCCAAGGCCCGGCCAATCTCTCCGCATCTTCGCGACTTAGTCGATCTTTTGTCCGGGGGCGAGCATAGCACCATGCCTCACTAGTGCAGGGGGCTTTTCTTAGCGCACTGCATCACCAGGGACCGAAAGCGCTAATGTCACCCAGCTAATCGCCTTGATTTTCGTCGCGATTCGCCACCATGGCCACCACCGCGGAGGTCTGGGTACTTTCCTCCTCGCCGGAGCACAATCCTGTTCGCACGCCGGCACCACCTGCCTACGATCCCGAGAAGCTATTCGGCCTGTCGCCGATCGACACCTCCATAACTCCGATACAGTCTCCATCGGAGCTGTTTGAGCTGCCGACACATTCCAGATATTTCGAGGTCGGGAAACAGGCCGACGAACCGCGCCGGAAGGAAGTCAACAAGACACCTAATCCCTCGACAAACGACGAGTCAGTTGTGCTAGCGATCGACGGAGAAGCTGTGGCAGATAAACCGAAGCGAAGGGGCAGACCAAAGAAGGCGCTGGCGAAAGCTCCTGAGGAGTTGGAGCCTATTGTCGCGAGCAAGAAAAAGACCGCTTCGAAAAAGTCAACAACGGGCGTACCGAAGAAACGCACCGAGACCACAACGAAGCGCACGACACCGGCAAACAGAACGATCTCGGGACGAGTGTCAAAGGCAGGCAGCTCACAGCCCAAGGAAGCTAAAGTGCAGGATAATTGCCCGTCGACGCCGCGGGCTTCTTCAGCACCGAAGGAGACTAAGGAGGCGCTCGATTGGGAACGGGATGGCCTACAGCTCGAACAAGCAATGACGAGGAGACTGGACTGGACGCCCACACAACATAAGGCTAAGTCGATCATCGGGTTGGATGACAAGCCAGGGTCGAATGACAGCGGGAGTGGCTTCGGTAACTTGCTCTCTGAATATGGTTTCAATAGGACTGCTACTCCTGCAAGCGACTATGTGACTTCTGAGGATGGCGGACCGACAAAAAGGAGGCGGATAGAGGTATGGCTTGTGGTTGCTATTGGTATTTGATCATTACTCACTCCGTGCAGCTAGTTGATCCTGGAATATATCCTGCTGTCAAACAAAGTGCTGTCGATGTCAACGGAAAGGACAACACAGGGTACGGGTCTCAGCAGTCAACGTTAGCTGCGCAGAAGAAACCGAAGAAGCGCGTCAATAAGTTCACCACACTCACAGCCCGCGTGACGGCGAAGTACATGAGCGAATCTGCAGAAACCTCTGATAATGTGGATGAAGAAATCGAGGCTGCTGAAGAGAGTTTGACAACAAAGTCCAGGAGTACGAAACCCAAGAAAAAGGGCCAGCGAAGCTTGAAGTCTCGAGAACCGGAATTCGTGGTGCTCTCTCCTGAAGAAGCGGCCAAGACTCTTGAAGACCAGGAGCTCATATTCGGAACATGCAGCCAGCTAGAGCGGGAGGATTCTCCCACTACAATAAGAGAGTTGCAGGCAGCTATTTGTCAGTCAGAACTGAGCATGGTGTCGGAAGACAACAGCCGTCCTTACCAGAAACTGGGCAAGGGAACTTCGTCTGCAGTGTCGCGTTTCACGGGGTCAGGAAACTTATGGTCTGTTGCATCTCGTGATGTCGATGGTTCCCTAATGCAGGTGGAAGTCGTGGACTTGGTGGATTCGCCTGATAGATCGGGGTCTGTCGCTATATGCGAACAGCCCAGCAAAGACAAGGCTGATACTGCGATTGAATGTAATGACAGCCGCGGCAGCTCTATCCAGAGGGACGCCCCCGAGCCAGAAGCGGCTTTGGCCGTAAGCGAAGAATCGACTCCTTTACCTACTCAGAATACACAAACAGCAAATAAGACAGCCGAAAATGTGGCTTCGCAAGTCTCAGCGTCTCGCACCCGGATGCCAAATTATCGCGGATTCACGGATGCCCGACTATCGAAACAGGTTGCCAAGTACGGTTTCAAACCGATCAGAGGCCGAAAAAAGATGATCGAGCTGCTTCAAAAGTGCTGGGAGTCGCAGCATGGCACAAGCTCAGAGCCAAATGATGAGACCATTCAGCAGAACTCGTCAGCTGATTCCGTGACGGAACCTGCTTCTTCCCAGTCAAAGCCAAGCAATAAAACGACAAGCAAAAGCACTGCACGGAAAACTAATGCAAACACAAAAGGCAAACCGCAATCCCGCACAGCTACAAAGCCAACGGCAGAAGATGCAACGGTTGTCGATACCAGCAAGAAAAGCACATCCCTTCCATCTTCAACCTCGCTGGGCGCTACCACAAGACCAATAGCCGGACAGACACCGAGAAAGACACCTACATACTCGTTCGCCGACGTGGAAGAAATTGAAGACTCGGAAGACGAAGCAATCCTTTCGCCTAGCCGCCTACAAGGTCAATTATTTCAACACACCTCAGCAATACCCAAGCCCTCTCTGTCCACCTCCCACGTGCCATCTACTCCCACCCGACTCACCTCTAAAAACATCTCTACACAGACCACAGCAACATCAACTGCAGCAGAAACTCCCCTTCCTCTCCCAAACCTATCCAACCAAATCACCGCCGCCATCCGCGCACAATCCCAATCCACCACAGCAGCTAGCACCCACAAACGCTCCACCCCCACATGGCACGAGAAAATCCTCATGTACGACCCGATTCCACTCGAAGACTTCACGACCTGGTTAAACACCGAAGGTCTGAGTCTCATAAATGAGGACCGCGAAGTCGGCGCCGGCTCTGTACGAAGATGGTGCGAGAGTAAAGGCATTTGCTGCTGTTATCGACCGAGAAAGAAAGAAAATTAATTGGTTAATTAGATGCGGGTCATCTATTTACTTTGGGACGACTAATCACGTTGGTTTATGTTCTTTTATCTTCTTGGGGGTCTTCTATATGGTGTTGTTGGGTATACATAGATGGTAAATAGAGGGAGTATGGCGGGTGGTGATTTGGAGTTACCTCGGCTTAGGGCTAGTGGTGTAACGGAGTAGTCATTTGGTACCACCCTCCTTCCGTTTCCGGAATATGTATAGTATAGTATAGTACTTGGGTACGGTACTAGGTTCTGGTATATCCTTTGCATGTATAGCACTCATTCATCAATCATCAATCATCATTCATCATTAACTCATTAACTCATTAATTCATTAATTGTTTCCAAGTTCCCCCCAAACATAATCATAACCGCTCATAACGGCATCAACATCACATCAGCATCCGATTTAACACTAGAATTAAAATCAACATTAACGTTCAAGACAATAAAGCCAACCTCAATTCTCCCTGACCCATTCGCGTCCTGTTAATAATGCATGGTATAATGTATACATAGCGATAAAAGCAATAAAAGAGCAAGCAACGGGAAAGAAAAGGGAAAATGAGAGAAAAGGGAAAGAAAAAAAAAAAAAAAAAAAGAGAGAGAGAGAGAGAGAGAGAGAGGAAAGGGAAAGAAAAAAGGGCAAGAGGAAAAAAAGAAAGCAAGGAAAAGAGACAGAGAGAAGATAGGGATTAGCGAGTATACACCAAGGAAATCTAGATCGAAAGTCGTAATTCGAATTGAGAGGTTGTATACAATGAAATGTAACAAAGCACACACCATCTCTAATCACAAGTCTCATCAAAGTTCATCCGAAGTCGCTTTTTGGTCGTGAGTAAAAGAAAACAACAAGAGAAAAAAAATACCGTCAACATCTACTCCTCTGCGTCCCCGTTGATCGAAGGTTCGGTTTTCACGACCTCCACAATCTGCACGGCATCATCATCCTCCTCACCCTCATTCTCGACCTGGATCCGGGCCTCATTATCATTAAGGATGTCCTCAGCATGCATCATGTACACTCTGTTTCCCCTCGATGAAGCACTATGACTCGCGCGACGGCCAATACTTCCGTTCGGATACATCGGATTTGACGGTCCGGGGGTGCCACCCGGCATCAGGGACGCGGCTGCGTCGAAGTCATTGGGCAGACCACCGTCGAACGTCGGGTCGGTCGCTCCAGCGTAGCCGTCAAAGTCGCCCGGTGGGAACCCAGTGATGTAGTCGGATACGTCCAGGGTTGGATCGACGGCGTCCAGTCCAGGCATGCCCATGCCTGCGAAGTTGGCGGTAGGGTCGAGAGGACCCGGGTTGGGGTACATTGGCTGTCCGGGAGGGGGGAAAGGAAACATTGCTTGCGCGAGCGAAGGGTTCAGGTTCATGGAGGGGTGTGCGGCGGCGGCGGCGGGGTTCATGCCAAAGGTTTCCAGGTTGAGGTTGTGGTCGAAGCTGGGGACATTGCTGACGCCGACGCTGGAGGTTTGGGATGAGGATTGGCGGCGGTTGGGGTATTGAGACTGGGATGGACCTGCTTGTTGCTGTTGTTGCTGTTGTGGCTGTTGTTGCTGCTGCTGCTGCTGTCGTCGCCGCCGCGGCTGCGGCTGCTGGGGTTGGATAGAACGGGAGTGCCGGCGTGAAGAACCCGGGCCATGCTGCATTGCTCGCTGGCCAGGACTCTGTCCTGGGGGGGGATTATAGCCAGGGAGCTGCGGCGGCGGCGCAAGGTTGTAATTTCTCGAGTACATGGCTTGCCATGTATCCTGGGGGGCCGATGTGTGGTGATGGGAGCCCGGAACAGCTTGCATCGTGGAATTTCCCTGTAGAGCATTTGGGAAGGACGGGTAAGCCCACTGGTCTACCCGGTAAGGACTGGGGATTTGGGGGTGACGAGGCGCTGAAGCGACCGACGTTGGATTCTGGACTGGCGCGCTCGGATGAAGAGGATGAGGAGGATGAGACGAGACCATAATTGGTGTGATACCCGCGGCTTTCAGTTGATTTTCCAGAAGTAGCACCCTATGTTGGGATCCTTGGAATGCATATTCGAGTTGTTTCTTCTTCTCCAGCAACTCTTCGATTTGACGTTTATACCTCCGACAGGCTCCGCGAGGCCACGCCTCCAGGGTATTTGGATCCGTCATTTTACATTCCACCTTGGCTAGCTGGCATGCCTTGCAGCAGTAGGGATCTTTGTCGCAAGTCCCTCTCCGGGCCTGATCATAGAAGAGTTAGTCAGGGGGACAGTTGGCATCGTGAAGGATACTCACCTTGCAACGATCACAGGCATTGTTCGTTCTATTCGGTTTCTTGTTCTTCTCCGCCTCCAGATGCTTCTGACGGTATTTCTCTTTCACCTGGTCCGAATAGTCGTTGGCGGTTTGCCTCGGACGGCCAACCTTCCCGGAGGAGGACTTGACGTCTTTCAGCTTGGGACGCCCCCGTTTCTTCTTGGTACTGGCCATGACTTCTTCTTCCTCTTCTTCTTCTTCTTCTTCTTGTACGTCCCCTTTCTCCTCCACCCCCAAGGTTTCAGGAATATCCTGATCATCAGCCACACCTTCGGTACGTTTGACCTCAGCATGCGCGTCATCATGGGGGGGTACATAATCGCCTGCAAAGGCATGTTTCCTTGTAGCGCCCTTTTTCGCCGAAGCACCTTCGGCTACACTCGCGTGTTCGCCAGAGAGGTCAGGACTTCTCAAGTCAGCTGGGGCAGGATGTGCTTCTTTGACTTCCGACGCATGCAGCCGCGGGGAAGTACTGGAGCCCAAGTCCCCGGGGGAATATTCTGGCAGGGCGAAATGCGGTGTCAGACCAGTGGGTTCAATACCCTCCAAGAAGGTCCACAAGGGATCATCCTTGTCTGTCGCGCTATCTGCGTCGGGGATGCCCTCAGCTGCAGCATCTGGCTGGGGAAGTGCAGAGTCGTCATCTTGCACGGGTTCTGGCGCCTTCACTGCCCGTTTGGGGTTCGGGTCGTCTTCATTCCCAAGGCCAGCTTGGTTCGACGTTCTCTTGGCGGTCATTTCACTGGATATACCGGTAAGTTGCTCTTGGAGGAACGCTTAAGCAAGACCTTACCAACGTGATAGGGGGGGGGGGGGGATGGGAGGATCGTTGCACGAGGGGTGAGTTGATTGAAAGATGCCACTCGCAATGACAGTGCTGTCAGGAGAATTGAGGCATCTTGAGGGAAAGACCCTCTATATATCTGAGTAGACAGTCATATCGACCCTTCGTGGCCAAACAAGGCACTTGTCGAAAAGAAAAGGGCAATTGTCGACAAAGAGCCCTTTTTTCTCGTGAAAGGTGCCTCACCCTCAGAGACTGGGGACAAACGCCGTGAAACAAAGGGCATCTTCCGCACAATGCCAGGTCGAGGCTCATGCTGGCAGGAGAGTATCGGCAGCATCCGCTTTCACCAGGGGAACAATGCGGGAGGTGTCGTAAAATCATTGTGTCTGTGTTTTGGGTTATTCATAATGAAACCTGTAGTCAGATCGTGCAGCCTTTCATGGACCACTTTTCAGCCAGGCAATCTCTTTCTCTCTTCCTTGCACTGACGACCACACAATGATTCAGGGAGGTCTGCGTCCGAGATACTGCCAGTCCCCTCACTAGCAAACCTAGTCAGGATCATCCCATTGTTAGAGCGCTCTATTCCGGGCGACAAAAGCTGGAAACAAGAACATTGAAAGACACCATCCGAGAAGACCAGGCAACAAACGGAAGAGGCGGGGGAGACAAAGGAATCTGTCATTTGCGGTCCAAGCCGGCATGATGAAGGCTCTTTTCTATTCGAATACGCAGGTATTTTCCCTGTCCAACACCAAGACAGAGGATTGGGAACTTCTCAAAGAGACTTGGAATAGTCGATGAGCACGAAAAAATAAGGAAAAGGAGAAAGGAAACTCTAAGGTACAGGAAGTCCGGAACCATCATCAGTCCCAACATGCAAGATGAGTATTACCGAGCCAGTCCCTCAGACGACCTATGCTGCCACATGCTCTGTGTTCAGAGACCAACTCCTCCCATGCCCGAGTCCGTTATAACCTGGAAAATATTCATGCAAACCATCCCAACCAAAAGAGGAAACCTAAGAAGCCAGCCTGAGGTAAATGTGCTCCAGATATCAGTGCAATGCAACGAGACCCAAGACGGTCATCAGTCATGAGTCGGGGAGGTCTTCCATGAGAAAACACAACTCCGGGGGATCCAATACCAAGGCAGTTCCAACGAAAGTAAGAAGAAAGATGACGGTGAATAGAGGGTGGAGGATAAGAGGGAGTGATGGACAGAGATCAAGAAGGGATGTTTCGGATATTAGACAATAGATTTTCGCAGATGGGCTGGTATGATTGCCCTTCGATGGGGCCATTACATGGCGATGTTGGGCTCGTGGATCTTGACAAGGCACGACGCACCCGGTCAGCGGAAGACCCGTCCGTTCTGCGCAACGGTCTCAAAGAAAATCCTCTTGCCGTATTTGCGAGGGCCCCCGGCTTCAAGCCAAGGCAGGAGGTTCTTGCACTGGCTCACGTCGAAGGATGTTAGTTGATTACAACCATCTGCAACCGCTTCAACTCCCGCGCCGGTGACTCGAACACAGCCCCGAACGGAAAGGCGTTGGAGATGCAAAAGATGCAGACCAATGCTGCGCAGAGATGGGTCAGATATGGCAGAGCCACAGAAGGACATGTTGAGATAGGTCAGTTGCGAGCATTGCAGAGCGAGCACCTCCGTGGCGGTGTCAGAGAGTGCGCAGCAGAACGACTGTCAATAGTCAGTACCTGTTACCTTAGGACGAAGAGGCTATGTGGGTTCAATTTCTTACCAAATCCAACTCCTGTAGCTGTTTGGCAGCATTGGTAAGATGAACTATGGCGTTATCAGTCAAATATGTGCAATCCGCTAAACAAAGTTTCCGAAGATTGGTGAACTGGGCATTGCCCCAGTATTGAAATCCATGGTCGGTAATGGTGGTGCAACGGGTGAGATCCATTTGTTCAATTCTTGAGGCAGCATGAGACGCGATATGATGCATCGACCGGTCCGTGACGTGCTTGCAGTATGACAGGGTCAATTTCTTGAGCTCGGGGCAGCCGAACACGGTCTCAGCCGCGGTCTGCCTAGTAGGCTTCATAGACACCTTGCCCGTCTTGCCTGAGTCGTCGTTCGACTTATGCTGACCAGGCGCGACCCAGCCGACAATTCGAGCCAGGAGCGTATCGCCGACTTTCCGACAATTACTGAGATCAACCTCCTGCAGGCCGTTGGCTTTGCTAGCCATATCGAGGATAGCAGATGCGGTGACGTCCCAGACGCTCTTCATTTTCCATCCAACTACGTTAGAGCCACATGTCGTGACCAATTTGCTGAAGCCCTCATCTGTGATGTGGAAACAATTGCTGATGTCGATGTAGCGCGGTCTGCTGCCCACGAATGGGCAAATGATTTTCACCAGCACGTCGTCGGTGATGCACCGGTTATAGGAACTCAAGTCTAGGTAACGAAGCAACTCCGTTGACTTACTCAGAAGTTCCGACCAGTGCATTGAGACTGCCCGGAGGCGAAGAAGATCATGGAGCTCAAGGTACTGAAATACAACCAGCAGCACCTTGTCGGGAAGGTACCCGTGGTTATCACGACGCGGTTCACGGAGCGTCTCCGAGGGTGCTGAGAACTCGCCGGCTCCAGGCAGCGTGAGAAAGGACGAGCTGGTGGATCGAGGCTCGGATGGAGGGGACGGCCTCTGTTGCTCCCCGGAGACTTCCTCCGGGGCCAACGGGGCCACGGAGCTGCGCCGGCTTCGAAATCGGACTTTGTCTAGGCCCACGCTGAGGAAAGGATCCGGATCTGAAGGCCGCAGCACACTTGGTTCATCTGTTCCATTAACTTTCGGAGTGCTGTCCAGTTCCGTTTCTGTTAAGGTGAGGAGTGGCATGGATTGTCTGCGACTGGCCCTGAGCTTGAAGTTGTCATCGACACTTAGCTCGCTCGTCGGCTGCTCATCACTCGCTTCTGACATCACAACGTCGCCATCGGACGCTGATTGAAGGCGTTCCTTGGCCGTCCTTTCCACCTGTCCGCGAACCTTTGGAGGGCACCTCTCCCAGAATTCCACCAGAACCTCACCGCTGATCATCAAACATTCCACCGCACTAATGGATCGCACAGTGGCAGTTCTGCGTGGTGCTAGCGACAGACTCACAACCTCACCAAAATATTGCCCCTGTTTCAGCCGGGCCTTCACTTCAAAGCCGGGATGCTCTATCGTGCTCGGCAAGGAATGTGCGTGTTGCATCTGTGTCCGCTCCGACAGGACTTCGACTTCACCGCGAACGATGAAGTAAATCTCGCGGCCCTGGGAGTCTTGTTTGATGATGTCGGTGAATGGCGGGTAGGACCGCGGTTGTGCATTCAGACCCAGGAAATGGAGGATATCCGGCGGCAGGCCGGCGAATAGCGGCAGCTCCTTGAGTAAAAGACGGACATTTACCAGTCCGTTCGCCAGCGCACTGGAGGATCCATCAGCCAATCCAGGACTTGGGGACTTTCGCTTCTTATTGACGGACTTCAAGCTTCTGCCGTCCTGATCTACGAGATTCAGGTCACCGGAGTATGCGTCTCGCAGTCTCTTCGACCCCTTTCTTGCGGGACTCACGAGATCCACTGGCGGTGCGGAGGTCTCCTTTTTCTTTTTCTCCAAGATCATCAGCCTCTCTTGAGCCTCGTCTCTGATCGCCCGCTCGACATCAGGGAAGCGAGGGAGGATTTTCCGGAAGTCCTCCTTGGTTAAGACGACGAGCAAGCATCGGGTGCGGGCGACGATAGTTGCCGTCCGCGGGCGATCCATGAGCACACCGATTTCACCAAAGAACGCCCCCGGTTCGAGTTCCGCGTATATACTCTCGCCATCGCGAGAGGTCACGGACACGGCGCCCCGGACCAACCAGTAGATGGCTTTGGCTTCATCCCCTTCCGTCAGAATATAGTCGTTGGGCGCATGGAGCTGTGGGCGAAGATGCTGGCCGACATCGATGAGGAATGATTCGGGGGTGGACTGGAACAGTGGAAAGGAGCGTAATCGGTCGACCAGGTCCAGCGGGAGGGCCTGGATATTAGACGAGGTCAAGGGCGATGGTCGCACGGGACGATTGGGGTTTGTGAGCGAATCAAACGAATGTAACAGCGACGCGGTGTCGGAGATGGGGTGGACGGCCTTGGTCGAGCCACCACTAGTTCTGCCATGGCGCCGCATGATGGGCCGGTTGTGAGACCTTCCAGGAAAGGCAGGCAAGAACAGGAGGGGAGGTAATTGAAGAGGAGCCTCGAGAGGGCCAACATGTAGTTGTTGGCCGATGTCCTAAGCGATCAATGGGCCGATGACGTCGACGAAAATGAGATCACGGGGGAGAGGAAGCTCTCAAAAAGGCATCTTTGCAGTGGACAAGAGTGCGGGGAGGGGTGGGAGGCAGAGGAGGCGAGGATGGTCGATCAAGCTGAGAGTGAGTGAGAGCTGGGCGAGGACGAGAGACAGCTGGATAGCTTCTATGCGACGACAGGGACCGGGCGAGCAAAGAGCGGTAATGATGCGAAGCAGCAACACGGCAATAATAATAAAACCATAATAATTCGAATAATTATTCTGGAGAAAGGCGGACGAGCATGCTTGCTGCTGGGAGGAGCTAGTGGTTCAGTCTAGCCGGCGGACCAGAAGGTCTGGTGCAGTGGTTGCAGTGGTGCAGAGCCCATCAAAGCGGGGATCACCAAACGTCAAATAACGCGCTGCTGCTCCACCGCCGCTCCGGGAGCTCCTCGCATTGCCCCCCTCAAAGTCAATGACGATTCGATCGGAGCCTCTCCAGAGTTCGCTCGGGGGCTGTCCTATGCGCGGCAATGGACTTGCCCATTGATCTGGATGGAATTTCACCTATACAATGACAATAACAGCAGCCTGAATGCCTTCTTCATCCCCCTCCCTCTTCCGACCACCACCCACGACGGACGAATAAATCGATCTCCGTCCACCATGGCGGGAACGCTGTGCGGATGGTGGGGGACACGACCCAACCGAAACACCGGTCTGTAAATTAAACCCGGCAGAAAGAATGGATGGCCAGGAGCCCGGGGCCAATGCTTTTGGAGGTGCCCTTTTTTTTTTCGCCCAATTATTAGGCAGAGGAATGCTACGGAGTACAGAAGCCGGGTTGGTTGGTGGTCTTGTGTCTTGGGCACAGTGACAGGTCTCAATAATCCGTGGGGTGGGGCTCCCCCAGCAAGCAGAGCAGCCTGTAAGTAAAAGTAACCACAGTGTTTCCCCCCAGTCTCACTGACTAGTACGATCTAGTACGACATACACGGAACTAGTCAGTCCTCTTCAGTCTGAGTCGCCAAAATTCAAAAGAATACAAGCTCGAGGACAATGGCGATCTCTGCCAGACCAATGGAATGGTCTGCAGAGCGTGTGCGTCCCCAGGGCAGATCTGACTGTCAGGTAAGGTTGGCAGAGTTCATGGATCGCCTGTTCGCCTGCATGGGGACCATGCACCCCCCTCGGCACTCTCTCTGGTCTCTTCAAGCTTCCTCGGCAATTCCCATGCCATGATACCAGGTTTACTACCCACTGGATCATCCGTGATCCTCGGGGTCAGGATCCGTGCGCATAAAGCAAAGTCCCCCGGGTGCCGCTTTGGGGAAGTACTGTAAGTTGGACCGGTCAGGTGATGGGGGCACGCGGAAGAGTTCTACATTGGGACAGCAAGGTGGTGGTTCCGTTTCATTCCATGGATTCCTTGCACGTTCGGGAATACCGTGACTAGGTAGTCTGTGCGTATCAATAGCCTGTGGGGAGATAAAAGAAAAGGAGTAGAACGTGCTCCTTTCCAAACTTCCATAATCATCGTCACCCAAGGGTATCCAGCTAACCCTTTCCATTTATCACCGGGCGCCGCCGCCGTGCATACTACGGGCGTATTTGCTGCTCTTCGGCAATCCAGGCATAAGGACGTCACCGGCTTTCTGATCGATCCAGAGTATCAACTCTCCGGTTGAAGTAGCACTGGGCGAGCGCGGGAGTTGGGGGCCCCATATACGTAAAGTGGAGAGTGGAGAGTAGAGATCGAGAGGTAGGATGTGCAACTACCCTAGCAACCCTGATAACTCGCAATCAGTATACATCCTACCCGGTCCAGGAAAAGCAAGAACTTACAAGAACTTACCTCAATATGAGTCTTGCAGGGGTCTCGGTTGCACCTGTCCAGAGATAAGATGACCGGGTATTGGAGCGCTCTCCCGAGCGAAGCAAGCACCATATCCACAGCAATCAATGGGAAAGCTTCATAGAGACATCGAGGAAACGGTTGTCATGTACTCCGTCAATTCCGAGGCTCTCATTCAGACTTCGACTGGCGGCTCCCCAGGATGAAATCAACGTAGGCAGGTCGATTTCCCTTAGCGCTCTCTAGGGCATCTTGCAGCAACCCATAAGCCAAGCTCAATTTCAGACCCAGCCTCGCTGTCCGAGCTGCGGTGTAAACATCGTGTCGACCTAAAAAAAAACACCCATCTATTAGCCTATGCCCATGTCCAAAATCCCACAACAAACACAAAACATACCTAGCAAGCTGTAGATTCCAGAAAACGACAACCCGGCCGTCACCGTAGACAAGAAATCCCTCTGATCGTGACGGGCATAATCCACCGTCTCCTCAAAGAGACAGAACAACAAGGCACCAGTACCCAGCTTAGCTCCCATCCGAAAGCCCTCCTTGATACCTCCGATCGACGACACGTAATTCTTCGTCTTATGGTACTGGAACCATCCCTGCGACGACTCAGGAAAGCGATGGGCGTTTTCGGCTCGAAACCGGTAGGCCAGCATCTTGCTGCCGTGGGTATATCCGATACCCAGACCGGCAGAGAAGGCTGATAAGGTCACGTAATTGAGACGTTTCTTGATGCCCATTCCGAGTCGGGGGGGCGCGTCCGATTCGAAGAATTTGTCCCAGTAGATGATCTTGTATAGGAGCGTGTTCTCCTGGTTATGTCTGGTGGGTGGGTCTTGATCATCCATGGTGAAGAGGTGCTTGCAATTGAAGTCGGAAGAAACAGAAGATTATTGTTATAAATTGAGCAGCCGTGTAGCGATGTTGTGAGGTCAGTGGTGGTGGTGGTCAGCTTCTCCGGGGAGCATAAAATCACTGGCGTGAAGTCGGAACGCCTGAGCGGTTCGCCGACTTCCGCCTCTTCGAAAAGCTCCGAGGACCCGCCAAAGCTTCACTGATCAACCACCAATACCATATTCCGTCTACATCATGGTAACTATGGCGATTATCTTTATCTGCGCTCAGATCTAGAACTACACTAATAGGTTATGCGTCAATAGTCTCACCCCGACCCATCAAGTTGGACTCTCTTGTTCAAGAAGCACAAGACCACCGTGCTTCTCATGCTCCCGCCGTCGGAGACGATCGCCACTACAAAAGAATCCCTCCTCAGCGCCCTCCAATCCCGCGGCCTTCAGGAAATCAACGGCGATCTGGTCCCAGAAGACCCATCGGAAATTGAGTTTGGTGTTCCGGTGGATAAGAATGACTTGGAGAAGGGTTGGACAAGACTGGAGGTTGAGGTGCCGGCGTTTGATAATGATGACGCCCCTAAACGAGGAGCTGCAAAGAAAGGCACCGGGGCTCTGACCTTGCAAGCGGCGGAGATTCGGAACGGACAACCGATCGCTTTCAGGTTCCGGAAGCCCAAGGGTGATGCTGAGGAGACTGAAAAGGAAGACGATATGATTGATCTTGAACTGGATGATCCTGGATGGGATGTCATCGTCCCGAGCTTGGATGACGAGGAAGAAGATATTAGTTGAGGCGTCTAGTCGGGACTTTATCTTGTTGTCTTTCTTTTGATGTGGAGTTCAGCAAGGCTTTCATGGGCTGGCGCACGGTTGATACGAGGCATGAATAGGCGGCGTTTGCAGAATTGTTATGACTACTATATTATGATGGCGTGGATGGCTGTAGAACGGATTTGAAGCTCTATCATCGGCCAGGGTCATACAGGGCTCCAGCAATGTTGAAGACCCTGTTATCTATGAGATGACACTGCATAATGGGCCCCACGTGGTCTGTTGTCTCAGTCCAGATTCATGATTATTCTGTTAGAGAAAAATGTCGACAAATTTGATATTACTATGTAACGGCTGAATCCTCTCTGGATATATATTCCCGTGGCTAGCTGTGTTGGAGCAAGGGAGATGAGCTAGATAGATTAAAGCCGATAACACTCTGGCTCTTTATCGGAGCTAGATATACAGTAGTAAAGAGTAGTACCTATCACTGACGAAAAGCAAGGAAAGTATTAATCGATGAATCATGCATCCAACCATTTCAATCACTGCAATAAACAATCGACCAATCATGAAACAATGGTGCGTGGTGGTGTCAGCTGAGTGTCGTGCAGACTGACATGCCGGGTTGGGTTGTAGGTGCCACTCACGGCGATAACGTTACAGCCACGGCCAGTTTATGTTATCAACACGCGGGGTGGTTGCTCGGAGCAACAGGCGGTGGAAAACAAGCCAATGTCAACAGTCAGGCGGAAGCTCGAACTAGTCCCTCAGCGTCGCTCAACAGGGGAGATTCTGGGGCCGACGGAAAAACAGGTCCACAGTCAACATTCTCACGGTCGACACCTCAATCCTTATCTTCTTGTGTTGTTGTTTCTAATCCAATTCGCCTTGTCGACGATACAGGGCGTCGCAGACTCCCTGGATAGCCGCCCTCCGCGTTGAATCCTCGTTCCGCGATAGCTTTCCTCTAGAGGGACGTGGCGCCTCTGCTGTCACCTAGAAATCACCATGGACGCCACTAGTGACTCATCTTCTATTACCGTTGCGGTCAGAGTCCGACCGTTCACCATCCGGGAGGCCGCACAGCTCTCCAAGTGCGAAGATGGCCCGCTATTTCTCGGTGACGGGTCCTTGGCTGGAGTACCGACACCAAAGCTCAACCAGAAGGGTCTTCGCTCTATCATCAAGGTCATTGATGACAGATGCCTGTAAGTCCAGATTCATTCCATGCTGTTTGGCTCTTAGCACGATCTAATGTGATATCCAACAGAGTATTCGACCCGCCAGAGGATAATCCTGTCCAGAAGTTCTCCAAGAGCGTGGTTCCCCAAGGCAAACGCGTCAAGGACCAGACCTTCGCTTTCGACCGGATTTTCGACCAAAATGCCTCGCAAGGAGAGGTATACGAATCGACCACCCGAAACCTTCTCGACAGTGTTCTCGACGGCTATAACGCCACGGTGTTTGCCTATGGTGCGACCGGATGTGGAAAGACTCATACCATTACAGGCACAGCGCAACAGCCGGGTATTATTTTCCTTACGATGCAAGAGTTATTTGAACGTATAGACGAGCGGTCTGGGGAGAAGGCGACGGAGGTTTCGCTTTCATACCTCGAGATTTACAACGAGACCATCCGGGATCTCCTGGTTCCCGGAGGGAGCAAAGGCGGGCTGATGCTCCGGGAGGACTCGAACAAGTCGGTTTCGGTGTCTGGACTGTCCAGCCATCACCCGCAGAATGTGCAGCAGGTCATGGATATGATCATGAGGGGCAATGAATGCCGGACCATGTCCCCGACCGAGGCGAATGCTACCTCCTCGCGGTCGCACGCCGTCCTCCAAATCAACATTGCCCAGAAAGATCGAAACGCCGATGTGAACGAACCCCATACAATGGCGACCCTCAGCATTATCGACCTTGCGGGCAGCGAGCGTGCCAGCGCGACCAAAAACCGAGGCGAGAGATTGTTTGAAGGTGCAAACATCAACAAATCCCTTCTGGCACTGGGAAGCTGCATCAATGCACTGTGTGACCCTCGAAAGCGAAACCACGTTCCCTACCGAAACTCGAAGTTGACGCGTCTCCTCAAGTTCGCGCTTGGCGGTAATTGCAAGACCGTGATGATTGTCTGTGTCAGTCCATCAAGCCAGCACTTCGACGAGACGCAAAATACCCTGCGATACGCCAATCGAGCGAAGAATATCCAGACGAAGGTCACCCGAAACGTATTTAATGTCAACCGTCACGTCAAGGACTTCCTGGTGAAGATTGATGAGCAGATGGCCTTGATCAACGAACTGAAAGCCAAGCAGAAGGATTACGAGAAGGTCGCCTTTGCCAAATACAAGAAGCAGACCGAAAAGAAAGATGCCGTCCTCCGCGAAGGACTGTCGCGGATTCGTAATGCGTACGAACATTCGCTGTCCGAGAGACAGGAAAGGACCAACCACATGATCAAACAGAGGCAGATTAGTCGCCGGATCGGATTGCTGTCTTCGTGGATCGCCGCTTTCGACCAGGTTTGTGCAAGTTGCGAAATCGACGACGCACTGTCGAACCTGCAGGCAGTCCGCAAGACAGCCCAAGGAATCCTCCTTGAACTGGAGAGTAGCAGGCAACACTACCATCAGCGGCTGGCGAGAAGTACATGGGACCGCGGCATGAACTCCGCAGTGGAACACGCCGTGCGTCAACTCCAAGATTTCGATATCAGCGACAACAACGATTTTGTCAATATGTCTCGCGAGGCCGAACTCCTAAGAGCGAACGCCGAGCGCGAGGCTCTGGCGGCAGTAGCAGAGCAGGACAAGGCCGGCGAAGCGGCCACGGTGCAGTTGCTTCTTCAGGCACAGTTTGAACTGATGACCGAGATCGAGAATCTCATGGAGATGAGTGAAGAAGATGCCATCGACCAGGGCAAGAAGATGCTCGCGAAGATGCTCAATTCCTGCTCCACCACGGCCTCCAGTATCGTGAAGCCAGATGGTAAGATGCCATCTATGCCGCTAAGTCCGATGAAGGCTAGTCCCGTGAAGCCAAAGAAGCGGCTCAGTATAGCCACTGCGGTGCCTACCAGTCGAACGATGATCGCACCCATCTTGACTCCCACGGCAGCACCGCCTTCGCCGACGAAGGGATCCCCTCGCCGTCGCAAACTGAACGTTGGTCGAAAGAGCGTCAGTTTCTCACCGAAGAAGACGCAACCGAAGCCCACCAAGCGAGGCGTGAGATGGAAGGATGACGAACATGAGGGCACATTGACGGAGTTCCAAAAGACACCCCAAAAGACGCAAATTACCACCATACCTGAGAACAGTCCTGAGCCGCAACTGTCGCAACTGCCTCGCACATCGCCTGTTCCTCGCGGGATTCCGGTGCCCACCCGCAACTTCAGCCCGTCCAGTGGCTCTCCCCCCATCTCGGCCGTTCCCGAACCGACGCTCAACATTCAGAAGAACAGTCGATTCAAGGCCGGATTCCTGTCTAAAAAAAACAGCAGCTCCCCCATAGCGCCACCCCCAACAACCACGCTTCCTCTGTCCGAGAACGGAAACTCCCCTCTCCGCGACATTGAGGGCAGCAGCTTTCTGAACCGGACTTCGGTCGAGCGCCCATCTCGGATTGCGGTCCGAACCTCAAGTGGCAGCTACACGGGCAGCCCAGCGGCCGAGAGTAAGACAAGCTGGAAGGCCAGCAAAGACGATGCCATCAAGATCACCTCCGCCATGAGGCGGATCTCGGGGGGATCATTCGGGGTTGGAAGCTCGGCCAATGCGCTGCGCATCCACCGCCGACGCAGCCCGACCTCCGCCACTTATGGTAGCTCTCCGACGGAGAACAACACGATGAACACCATGTTTACGGCATCCCAGGCCCGGCGGATGGTCAAGAGCGAAAAGGAGCTCGAGAGCAAGCCCCCCGTGTTGGGTCCTCGGACGCTCCCAATCATGAAGAACACGCACCGACGTACGACCTTTGGAGGCGACATCCGGCCCCGGAGGCTGAGTGTGATGGCGGGGCCTAGTCCCCCGGATAGCTTCTACAGTGGTGGATTCGCCCTGCGGTAGTGGAACATGCGCCCATATGTTTTGTTTTCTTTGTTGGGGTATTGGTACATGGGACGGTGTTCGGGGCTGGATACCACGTGTGTGCGTTTTATGGAGGGAGGCAGACCGCACGATCTGGGATCCGGTCTGCTGCTCTGCTGCTTCTCTGCTTCTGGTTGTGATGTGCTTCATCTGGAATTTGGAAAGATCCCGTAATTTCATTACTTTCGATGTTGATGGTTTCACTCTTTCATGGCATATATTAGTCCGGAACGTGTATAATAGCAGGATGATTCTTCTTCAGCACTTCCTTCCCCACTACTACTAGTAGCGACTAGTGTCAAGCTATCGTGCAGATGTTCGGACAAGCTTCTAGAAGGCGGCGGCGGCATTATGTCATGCGCGGGATGACGCCACAACCCGCCTTCCATGACAAATTCGCGCCTGCCACGGCGCGCGGCGAGGTGCGTGGCGTGTAGATAGAGCAAGAGTGATTGAATCTCTTCGTCTCATCAATTTATCGCTGAAGTAAAAGCCTCGCGCAACCTGGTCAGGAGGAATCCATTCTGCAGCCGAATTGCCGGTGCCGCTCTCTCCCGCGGAACCGAATTTGAGGTGGAGCAACGCCCGCATTCGAGTACGTACTGTTATACGGCAAAAAAGCCTATGGCCTTCGCGGCGCCCATCTTCTCACGCCTTCTCCGTCCCTTCTCGACCAGCTCACCTTTCCTCTCTCTCACCTCCCCATCATCGACCACCACCCGCGCCATGTCCTCCACCGCCACCCCTCAAACGGCCACCGTCGCCGCCGGCTGCTTCTGGGGCGTCGAGCACCTCTTCCGCAAGCATTTTGGTAACGGCAAGGGCCTGCTTGAAGCCAAGGTCGGCTACTGCGGTGGTCATAGTGCCTCGCCGTCGTACCGCGCTGTGTGTACCGGTGATACAGGTCGTGAGTACCTCCTACCCCCCTCCCTGACCATGCATCCATACCACAATTCGAAGAACAGTACCTTCCTCGGAGTACCTCCGACCCCAACACCCCAATGAAATGACACTAACAACCCATCCAGACGCCGAAGCCCTCCAAATGACCTACGACCCCTCAATCGTCAGCTACCGCTCGCTCCTCGAATTCTTCTACCGGATGCACGACGCCACGACCCTCAACCGCCAGGGTCCGGACGTCGGCACCCAATACCGGAGTGTGATCTTCACGCACGGCGACGAGCAGGAGAAGATCGCCCACGACGTCACGGAGAAGGTCAGCCAGGAGTGGTTCAAGCAGCCCGTTTCGACGGTCGTCGTGCCCGCTGGTCAGTGGTGGGATGCAGAGGAGTATCATCAGTTGTATTTGAATAAGAACCCGGAGGGGTATGAGTGTCCGGCTCAGTATGTTTATCTTTCCTTCTTTACCCTTTTTTGTTTGTGTTTGGTGGATGCTGATCTGTGGGTGTGCAGTTTCGTGAGGTCGTTTCCGCCGCTGTCGGAGTAGGATGTGATGTGAGATATGGAATATGGTATTCTTGGAGATTGGGAGATTGTATCGGTATGGAGTAGTTGAAGTCGAAATATATCCAATTCATTGTTTATTTACAAATGAGGACATAGCGTATTTTTCGATAGGTTTATAATGAATTTCCCGGAACGCATGGGCTGTATACGATACGCCGGCGATTTCAAACCCACCCATCCATGCCACGCTATGCCATATCTTCCCAATCAGGCTGCATCCATGCGTCCACATACCCTGCAGGCCAAATCAACATCCCTGCATTACCACTGTGTTACTTCCTCATGTCTTATTTGGCACTTTATTCTCACTACCACCACTACACCACGCCCATGACCACCATGATGATCTCTTCACATACTTTAGTGAAGCTGTAGGCAATTTATTTCTCGAACCGACATAGTGATCAAGCTCTTGGGAAGAGTGAGTAAGTCAGTGAGTGGGGTGTTTCTATCCCTGTGCATAGTATATCCGAAGTGGGAAGGTGAGTACCTATCTGTCAGTCTAGAGTTGAATCTAGCAGGCAGGGAAGCTTAGATAACGAATAACTCAGTGAGTTAGTCAAGGGACTACGGGAAATTAAGGTAGGGAGCGGGTGGGTGTATGAAGTACCAAAGGGAGAACCGGATGAATCTTGGTGAATTCGAAAGATGGGATTTGCAGATTGTTACAAGATGGATATTAGGGATTGGGATATACAGGCTTGTAGATTGGTATGGTTAACTTTTCATAAGCCTGCTCGCGGATGGGCTACCCTACTTCATACGCAGAATAGTCTCAGGATCATGGTGATGATTGGCATAGCAGACATGGTCGACTTCATTACATCTGATCATACTCGAGTGACCATGCTTAGATATTACATAGGTAATGTGTATGGGCAAGGCCGGTTCTAGAATTTTGACATTTCCATAAATGAACAATTAATCTGCATCGTACGAGTGACCCCGGCACCGTTGGGATCGTGCATGTCTCCCCAGGCCGATCCCACTGCTCTGGAGTTAGGATAGTCTCCTACATTTCCAACTTGCAAAGGGATACAACGCCCCTTGTCCCGGGCATCCGACGTGCCGCCCATTTTCATTTCTCCTTTTCCATTATTGACCGTTTCCTGTGCCATCCCTTGTCTTTGCAATCACCAAGTCCTGTTAACATAGATAATCGAAAATTAATGCGCTACCTGGAAGGTGAGCAAGTGCCTGGCCATCGGCAGGCAAGAAGGACATGCAGCTACCGCATGGTTCGCTTCACAAAGTTTCTGATCATGCCCGGGCGATTGGTCTCGCGAACCAGCACCAACTCCTTCTCGCATGGATCCGAGGAGTAAGTGACCGAAACGCCACTGTAGACGTTTCGGCCATTCTTCCAGGTCTCGAAGTGTTCTAACACGCGACGAGCAACGATGGTGCTCGTAAACACTGCAGTCGCTGCAGACTATCAGTGTCCAGTCGAGATCACAAGATTCAAGGGCATCACTTACCATTTCCAGAGTTGAACACCCACAGGAAATCAATGTTTCCAGGTCCAGCCAGGGTACGGACGTCCTGCTTCCATTTCTCAGGCGACATGCCTTCGGCAAAGAGCCTCTTCCTCGCAAAGGAGAGGCGACGCCGTTCCCGGATGGGCTGATTCATCCGACGATGGTCTTCATTCCAATCAACGATCTCGATCAGCTCGACACGGTAACCGTCTCCGAGGCGTCCATAGCCCAGCATCCGCTCCATCTCCTGATTCGATTTCAGGAAAGCGAGGGCCTGAGCCGCGTGCTGGAAGGTTACTCTGGTCCTTCCATTGGTCTCGACCCGGATATCCTGCAAGGGTCCTTCATGGATTCGGGTGGTGATATACTGAATAAAGTCCCGGGTGATCTTCCCATAGACACGGATGACTCCTGCCTTGGCTTCAGGAATCTCAGGCTGCACGGCCGGAGGGAGCGCTACTCCCGAATTTCCTGGCTCGCGTGCCTCATCCTCATCATCACTGACCTGACTGGGTTTGGATACCGAGCCCAAAACCAAAGACAGAGGTGACATGCACTGCACCGCGTCGGGGTGAGGGGCTCGGTTTTCAGAGAACGAACCGGCGACCTGAGCCCAGCTTCCAGTAGAAAGGAGACGTCCATCATGCATGGACACCTTTCGGGCGGCAAGGCTCTCAGTCCCGACCGCTTCGTTCTCCTTCTCCGATCTGTCCGCCAGGGCCGCGATGGGTTGCTTCGGAAAGGCGTTGAGGGCAGGGAACTCTTTGTTGGGGGCACTCTGGTTGCCACCATCCTGCTATTGCGGATTAGTCCTTGCGGTCTTGTATCTCACCCACCCCGGCTGATTGAGTGCTTACCTCCTGGGCTAGAGCATAGTCGTTGGGAGAAATGTGATCAATACCCTCCGAGAACTTGTTGACGATCATAATGCTGAGTTTTCCGATCTCGTTCGCAACCTGGTGCTGGCCATGCTCGCGAAACTATTGGGGTTAGTTTACTCGACGTGTTCATGAGCTCGCAAGGTCAGAAACACGTACATGACAGGATATGAGATTCAAGTGACTGAGGGCCTCAGCCATGGCCCCATCGATGGAATAGGGCCTCATTTGGATAGCAGGGGGAAGACGGTTGGCAGCGCTTGGTGAAGGGAGATTGAGGGAAAGGGGTCGTTTAAACAGGCAGAGTGGTGGGAAAGAGCAAGAGAAAGTTTCCGGAGGAGAAAGCGAAGAGGAGGGGGAAATCAACAGAAGGGAAGAGATTTGGCGACATTCACCTGGCCGTGCAGGCTGAGCAAGTGAATTGGGAGAACAAACCAGACAAATGACGTTCATGATGGCATTTGTCGACTAAGCAGCAGGCTGTGCCTAGACAGACCTGTCGGTACTGTACCAGCCATGACCGGCACTATCAACCAGACCGGCACTCATCCTGAAGCCTGGGTGCTGGCCGGCATGCGCGTTACAGAGCAGCCAGAGAAACTGCACCCGACGCTTTGGGGGAAATGGCTGGGATGGTTACACCACCCGAATAGGCTTCTGTACCTGAGCTTGAAGGGGTTGAGCCTGTCCAGCGGAGTGAAACAGATCATGTGGATGGACACAGAACGAACGGGATTGCCATTGATTTGCGTGAATCTTTACTGCCTGGCCCGTTGGGGGAAGCCTACAACCATTCCAGTCGTCAAGCAGGATTCACAGCTACTGGGAAAGACATGGCCAAAGGCTTGGCTAGAAGTGGAGGTAAACCAAGCAGTCACGCTAGTCCAGGCGGCTGTCCAGAGAGATGTCGCACGTTCCCGTTGATGGGACTGTAAGACCCGGCAACTTGGACGGACAGCATCATGGGATACCAGTCGGAGATTGCCTGACGTGGGTGGTCCCTGGAGGAGGCTTGGTCCAAACTCCCCAGTCCTACGCTGTTAGCAATCTGTACGACGTTAGGCATCGGCTCAGCATTTAGACTTACTTCTTGGAGCATGAAATGCTGTCATGACGTCCAGGGGAGGATTTTAGGTAGAACCCCGCATACCCCCTCCCTTATGATCTCCTAAAACCTTGGGGGCAGAACAACAAAAGACTCCGCATTCAAGGCTAAGCCCCGATCTATCAAGCCATGGATGGAGGCTTGAAGATGTGCGCCACGAAGACAGGTCAGAATCAATGATAATGTCCGGATCACATCAGAATCATATCAAGATTAAGGCAGGTCTTTTCAGATCATTAAAAACGCTCCATTACCCCATAATTCCATGCACTGAGGCGGCCCCTTGCATGATAAACATTCAATGGACAGTGGAGTGAGGCTATACGTCAGATGGAGGCTGATCTGCTGGGAAAGTATGCAACTCTGTTGTTATTGTGATGGGTTTGGAGCAATACGAATTCCTAGGACATTGTTGTTGTTGTTTTTCTTCTTCTTATTATTGTTGTTGTCACTCGATTCGCCTGATCTCCCTAGCAGCAAGCGGGGCTGGTGATCGGCTATATCATACTTCTACAGAGGGCTATTCCAGGAACTGCTACCCCATAAACCCGTCCACGCTGTGCCCCGAGCTCTCGTAGATTTGAAATTGGAGCTGCTAGTTTAAGTTCCACTGCCCCTGCAGTGGTGTCCGGGTCCACAAATGGGAGAGACTCCTGGCGAGGATTAAGGTTCAGTAGATGGAGGGGTGGTGAGATGGGTGCCATGTCAATCCGCCCGCTTCAATTTTAAGACCGGTCGAGTCAGGATGACGAGCAGATAAGACACGGAGTTTCCGTGGTCCCAATAATGATTAATCTGCATTTATTTATGGAATTATCGGGTAGATTATCCGGTTGCGTTCCACGGTTTCAGATGTGTTGGTCGTCGAAATGAGGGGACCCCGATTTTGATTACTCGTTAGCCAGCAGTGAGTCGGGGCCGTTTGAAATTGATGGCTGACACATATGGTGTCATTGTGGATATCGACGGGGCCGTGAGCCTCGGAGGCAGGCCATTGTATTCCTGCTCTGGTTCCAGATGAGATTGAAAATCATTGTTATCATTGAGGAACAATGCGACGGTGTTGACAGAGCCACATTCCACGGCTGTCGGGGGCACTGGCAAAGGCGCCTGCTAAAAATATCGTCCCCCTGGGGGAGGTTTGTTTTCTTTTTACTTTTTCGGTTCGGTTCTGCCAACGCTTGGCCCCTGACAAAGACAGAAATCCACGAGCTCAGTTCCCCCCCCTCCTTCCCGCAGCTGTCGTGTGCCACCCGAAATTCCTGAGGTGTTTACTTGCTATCAAACAGCCAATCCCCGCCCGATTCGGACAGGTTCCCAGAACCATCCGGTGAGGTCATCCGGCATGTGCGCGGCCGGCGTGACAACAATGCTCGCAAGACGATTGCGGCAGCTCCAGCTCGGAAAGTCCTTTCGCTCCCGTATCTAACCCACCCCATGTCATCAATTAGTACGGAGGAAGGCCGACGAAAGTGGCCGTTCGCGACCAGATTAATTGGAATGTCTTGCTCGTCTTATCGTGGGCGCAGTGGGCGGATGTTAAGTGGAACAAGTGCTTCGAGTAGGCTGTTTAGTCGGACCGATATGGTTTTTTTTCCGGGCTGCAAGCGCCTATTGGTCTAAGACATGGTGGGCGACCAAGAGAGCACCAACCGGGGTTGTTTGTTGTGAACTTAGTCATTGGAACCACATGGAGCGACCCTGGGTTATGTAGATACCTGCCTAAGTCGCTCGGCGGGATATTTGGTTGTCCATTCAGCGAGCACGAGATGCGACAGCGATCTGGGGAGGGTAAAGGGGAGAAGCTACTGGTGAGAAAGAGCTCAACTACCGAAAGTCTTTAACCCCGTACTCGTTAAGGTAGACAGATTACTTTTTGTCTTTCAGGGCCTGGAGGCGCTAGTGCAACCACTACTCGGTACTAGTGGGCTGTCTAGCTCGGGGTGCTGGGTGGCCTAAAGCGGCGCCGCCGATAAGAGTTTAGGCCGCGGAGGAATTAACTTTGGAGGGGTGGGGCAGGGTCTGTCGGCTGGCCCTTGGAGTTCTGCTTGGAGCCTAGGGTCCCGCGGCCGATCAGGGATTTGCTCACCCAAGGCGTCCCGAAACAGAAGGAACAACGGATCCTGCATGGAACGTTCTTTCGTACTCTGTACGGCCTGGGTAAATACGGCGACTCCTTTACGGCCCTGTGCCGGCCCGGGGCCCTTATCAGGATTCAGGGCTCAGGATTCAGCACATTCGGCGGTCGCTGGGGGAGGGCCGGAGAACCCAGGTCTTCGGGCCAACGACATGCCATCCCCATCACGATCAACGTGCTCCTCCGATCCCTTCAGCTGGGTCTCACGAGCTGTCTATCGGATGGTAAACAGCTCTGGGGATAAAGGGGTAGCAGTTCCCCGGGGCACACTCGTCAGGTTCTCGTGCTGCTGGACCCTCTCTCCGACAGGAAATAGGAATACGACGTACAAGGCCGTGCATTACGGGGCCAGTGAAATTACCGGACCAGTATAGCCCAGCGAACTGTACTACGGGTGGGCCTATCCAGCGAACCACACACCCACCGGACTGCATTCGCATCGAACCGTTCCTTCCACGCCGAGCAGCCGCGAGGTATATAGTATATGACTTCTCCTTTTCGCCTCCCCGTTTGGGTACCTTCCTCTTCCTGTACTCGTGGCCCAACCAGGACTCGTTCCATCCCATCGTTTCTTCTTCCTCTTCTTCTTTCTCTTTTCTTCACTCGTTCTCCTCCATCTCTCCAGCGGTCATACATTTACAGTCGCCCGCGGTCCCTCATTTATCGGCGCTCCCGTTGATTGGATTCCGCTCGTCGACTCCCTCGGTTTCCATCCTATCGCCGTCCTTTATATAGAAACCGTTATCCTTATCGTTCACGGAAGACCTGCCTGGAATTTGGTACGTCCCTTATTCACTCAGCCTCAGGCACCGGCAACAAAGGAGACGGTGAATCCGGGACCATAGTCGCTGATAAGCTAATGTCTCCGCTCTGTAGTTCCCTTACTGCACATCTTCCGCCCTTCTCCCCATCCTTCTACGGGCTTCTACTTCCTAGCTCTTTGGTCTTGCAACAATAATACCCGTCACAATGGTGCGATATACTTCATCGATCCTCTTGGCCTCATTAGCCGCCACTTCTGTCTGGGCCGCGGCCCCCACCTGCAGTACTAGCTCTCAATGTCCCGAAGAGTATCCCTGCTGCTCTCGTGCGTCGGTCCCTTTTTCAATCTAGCCCTAAGTTGCATCACGCCATTGACTAACGCTCATTCTAGAATATGGTGAGTGCGGCACAGGGGCTTACTGCCTTGGTGGTTGTGATCCTCTCTCGTCATTCTCTCTTGACTCGTGCACCGGTGAGCCGGTGTGTCAGAGCAGGACCTACACGTGGGACAATCTAGATAATGCGGCACTGAACACCAAGTATCTCGGAAACGCCTCCGAATACGACTGGGTGTACAGTGGCTATCCCGAACTGGACGATGGCAATCTACTCCTCACCATGCCCAAAAACACTGTGGGGAGTCTCTTTGCCAACAACCACTACATCTGGTACGGCAAGATTTCCGGCAGGGTTAAGAGCAGTCGTGGTGCCGGTGTCGTTACAGCCTTTATCTTGCTTTCGGATGTCAAGGACGAGATCGACTTTGAGTTCATTGGTTCGGATCTGGCGAATGTTCAGACCAACTACTACTGGCAGGGTGTCCTCAACTGTAAGTTAATCCTGTGAGTTGGGTGCTGGAGATGACGCCGCTAACACCTTTCCAGACAACAATGGAGAGAAGAATGCAGTCAATGGCAGCGATACCTTCGATGAGTGGCATGACTATGAGATCGACTGGACACAAGATGCGATCACCTGGTCGGTGGACGGGCAGGTCAAGCGGACCCTGACCAGGGAATCGACTTGGAATGAGACTGCCAAGCGCTACCAGTTCCCCCAGAGCCCATCGAGAATGCAGATGTCGCTGTGGCCAGCTGGTCAAGCTAGCAACGCACCAGGCACCATTGAGTGGGCTGGTGGCGAAATCGATTGGGATAGCCAGGACATCCAAGAAAAGGGCTACTACTATGCTACATTTGGTGAGATCACCGTTGAATGCTACGACCCCCCGAACGGCACGGTTTCGACTGGTAACAAGTCGTACATCTTCACCAACTCCGACGGGCTCGAACAATCGGTTCAGATCACCAACAATGACACCGTCCTGGCATCTTTTGGCGCCACCGGTCTCAACATGAATCTTGGTGCCAGCAGTTCCAACAGCACTGGAAGTAACAGCACAGTCCCGGAGAACCACGGCGGATCAGGAAGCGTTCCAGGAGCTACCGGCAGCAACACCACTACCAGCAGCTCGAGTAGCTCTTCTGGATTCAGCCAAGGTAGCAGCGGGAGCGAATCGAGCGGTGCCCCTTCCCAGGGTGAGCGAGTCATGAGAGGCTCATTCTTCGCTGCCTTGGTCGCAGTGGTTGTTCTGGTCACCCTCTGAGGAGCTTCGACAGCCTCCATCTTCTTTTCTTGGATATTCTTATTCATATAGCTTGACCACCGGTTCACGCCATTCTTTGACGACTTGACCTATCATTTTTAATCTGTTTTCATGTTCTATACCTGGCGCTCCGAACGCCCGTCTTTGATCGGATCTTGTACCTTTACTTTTTGTTCTCTTCTATTGGATGTCTTGATGGGTTTTTATGACCGCGCATGGGAGGTTGCGTTTTACTGTCATGGAAATGACTTGAATACACATACTAATACCCCACTCCGCTGGATAAGCACGTGTCCGCTGATTGAACATTGGCCTGTTGTGATGCTAGATGATCCTTGGATGGGATTAGTTGTTCTGTACCATGCTTGATGATTGAATACCGTTGATGTTCTTTCACTTGTTTAGAGACAAGGCAAACACATCCATTATGCAATCGTATATGCACTCTTCCTTCTCCGTTTCAGCCTATAACGCAAGTGCCTGAATAAAGACAAAGGACAAAGAACAGTCGATAATGTGCGGTTCTAAGAAAGTTTCATACAGTCTGGTTAAAGGAATCCTAAACACACATCCTTTCCTACCCTTCCGTTAGGACAACATCAAAGACCCAAATCAAGCCCATTGTACTCCGTACTCTACCTCCGCTAGCCAACCCCAACCTACTGTGCTACGCTGACCATCTATCTATCTGCACCCCATATCCCAAAACAAGAGACCAGAGACCCTCCAGCCCCAAAAGCCCATACCCAGAACCCATCAACCCCTCCTCCCCTCCATCAAAAATACACCGAAAAAAAAGTCACCCAATAAATCAATACAAGATAACAACACCAGAAGCATGTGCCAATACATCGGCCTCTTGCATACACCATGCCAACACCACGAATTCATGATCTTCGCGTTCTGTCGTGCGATGTATCACCAACTGAATCGCATTAATGATCCCGTGGAGCGGGAGAAATATCTTTTGCCGTTTGAGGCGCCGGATTGTCCGCCTGTCGTGGGGGGAAATGTAAGGGGGTGGCAGGTTGTGAGGGATGGGGGTTGTTTGGAGTGTGGTGATGATAAGAAGTGAGGGGTGGAGGGAGGTGTGATTTTGTTCTTGGTTTGAATAGAGGGATGAATTCATATATGTAATGTAATGTGATGTATTTGGTTTGATAATGTAACGACGCCGTACACCGGAAGGAGATATGCAACACTGGTAGATCGTTATTTGTAGATCGTTGGGCAGATAATTGGCAATATAGATGTGGTTATGTGTCTGAGGCTCAGTGGGTTTCACCACAGTTGCAGCCTCTCTCGGAGAGTCCGCGCTTTCGGAACTCGCCGTGGTAGGTATCCAGTCCCTCAGTGCGGACGTCCTCGCCCAGAGGGTCACCGAGCCAACTCAAGTATTTATCTCCGGAGGAGGAAGACGTGGACCAGTAGTCGGAAGAGCGGAGTTTCTTGGTTGTGCTCTTGAGGTCCAAGTCTAGGTAGTTGGCCAGGAAGTCGCCAATTTCGGTGTTTTCGTGGTTGCCGACGAGGGGGAACCCGTGTTCGTTGGAGGAGGCATAGATGTTTACGTCGACAGCTGTGTTGATGTTAGTGTATACTTGAAAGGGAAGAGGGTAGCATGGGTGTGGTCTTACCGGAATGTCCGTGTGTGGCCCATCCGATCTGCGCCCTTCGGCTGATGATGTCTGCAAATACGTCTTTAGGAGCATATGGGGATTCCGGGTCGATAACGGCGTGAACCTCCTCGTCTGTAGCGTCGGCAATACCAAGATCCTCTACTAAGAGCTTGCGGACGAAATTGCGCAGCGCAGAGTCATTCGTTTCCGCGGCGGAATAGCTCGCTAGCTTCTTGTTGACGTATTCGGCGGAGTGGCTGGCATTGGCGAGAACACCCGGAAGCCACTTGTAATCAGGATACTCAGGATTTAGCTGGCGGGCAACGGACAAGCCTCCGGTCTCGTGATCGGAGGTGCTCACGACCACTCCCGGGGTTGAGTCCTGCTCCAAGAACTCCAGCACGGCCGCGAAGGCCTTGTCATATGCCAGAACCTCATTGACTTGTGCGGCGGGGTCATTGCCGTGACCGGCATGGTCGATGCGCGAGCCCTCGATCATGAGGAAGAAACCTTGGTCACTATCGGCGGTGGCCTGGCTGAGAGCCGTCAAGGCAGCACGGGCCATCTCCTCGAGAGAGGGATACACGTCATCCTGGCTGCGGCGGTCAATCTCAAAGGGAATATCTTTGTCCGCAAAGAGACCCAGCAGCGGCAACTTGGCTTCGGTGCCTCCGTTCAGAGAGTCAAACCCGGCCCGGTCGTGCAAGTAGTGAAATCCGCCCTTCTTCGCAATCTCGACCAAGTCGCGGTCATCCCTTCGACAGCTGCCGTCGGTAGAGTTGGGCAGGAAGTGGCACCGGCCTCCACCCATGATCAGATCCACCACCCGACCCAGCGGGTGTTCCCCGATCTCCTGCTCCGCAATCCGGTCCTCGTACTGTCGGAGATTCACGTGTGAGGCGAAGCAAGCAGGGGTCGCATCGGTGATACGAGTGGTCACCACCAGCCCCGTCTTGTAACCAGCCAAGGAGGCGGCCTCGAGGACGGTACCACAAGGCGAATGGTCGGGAAGCACGGAGATCGCGCCGTTGTAGCTCTTGTGGCCGCACGAGAATGCAGTCGCTCCGGCGGCGGAATCGGTCACAAGGCTGGAACTCGATCTGGTTCGGGAGGTACCGACGATGTGCTTGTCCAGCACGAGGATATCATTAATAGGGAGACCTTGTGTTAGCTGCTTGTAGCTCCTGGTCATGGACAGACTAGCAGGACCCATTCCATCGGACACCATGAAGATCAGGTTCCGTTTGCCGGTCGGCTTGCCCCAGGGGTCTTTGGAGTGACCATGAGTCCGACTAGATTCGTGCTGGTACACGACAGAGAGAACGATGACAGCCACTGTAGCAACAAGAGCCCATGTGAAGAGACCGATTTCCTTCCAGAAGGCCCATCCCCGGCGATGGTTACGGTGAGTGCGGACCCCGGTCAACAGGGCGTCTTCCTCCTCGGCATTGCGGATGGAGGAGTGGTCGGAGGAGGGGCGCGGGGCCAGAAGCGGCTCTTCTCGAGCCATGTTCCTTGCAAGAGGCCCTATGAATGCGTATAGGGGGGGTAAATCAGAGCAACAGGGCGGGATGGAACATGAGGGAGGTTGGACAGGAGGTGAGAGGGTGAGAGGACCGATGATCGTCCGGGGTCGCAGCCCAGCCGATAGTCCAGGTCACGGTCCTGCCATTTCGGGTATCGCTCCGCCCGGGATCGACGTCGACGTCGACGTCATGAGCAAGATTCACATCGCAGAAATCATGAACTGGCTAGCGCACGATACAAACACAGTACAATCCTGTAACCTATTCCATCTATTATATAGTACATCATATACATGAAGGATTGCCCATCCAAAGAGGAGATTATTCGTAGGTCGTCCGACGTGGCCACAGCTCCCTCAAGCGCCACAACAGTCGAACTAGTCCCAGCCACCGCATACCCCTTATGCTTCAGGTACCACATCGCCTCATCGATCGATTTACCTTCCCTTCCACCCGATCGGGATCATGGCCGCAGCAATCTCCGACACGCCTCTCTCGGTAGCAAGCAGATTGAACTGCGCAGCGGCATTTCTGGTATCCAGCATTTCCACCCGCACGCCCAAGGAATTGATATACCTCTTCGTCTCCGGAGACAGAGGAAACACCGTTTCTCCCATCCCGATGATGAGCATGTCTATAACCAAATGCCAACGGTCAGCGAGAGCTCCAACGTAGAACACAAGAAAACAAGCAATGAACCTACCCGGACGAGGCCAGACCAAATCCAAAACACCCCACGCCTGCTCGCCCACCTCAAACTGGCCCTTCTTATTCACCATACTGTCTTTACCCCCTTCGACACCGTGCCACGGCCGCCAGGCAAAAGCCTCGCCACCAACAAGCAACACCCCATCACCGCCGGTGATCTTGACGCCGTTGTTCAGATGGAACCCCGTGTCAAGAGTGGCGTCGATCGCGGTCGTCGGGGTAGGGATGTTCCCGAGCACGTTGAGCGCAGCAAAGTCCGTCTGAGTGTCTTCCTTGGACGGCGGGCCGCGGTCGCGGTTCGAGGGCTTTGCGGTGTGAGCGCGAGGGATCATCCGGGTCGGGCGTGCATGGTTGCTGTTGTTGCGCTGGAGCGCGAGAAGAGGGGCGACTCGAGGGAAGGGGGAGATAGAGCGAGATGCCAGTCGCGTACAGGTAATGGTGGCGCTGGGGTTGGCTGAGATGGAGGTGCGCAAGGCGCGGAGAAGTTGGGGAGACGGGGGGTGCATCGTTAGGTTGATGTTCTGCGTAGATTGGAAGAAGAGCTCCTTTCTGTAGATGTAATTATTGAGATTGCTGATTACTCAGACAGACAATAGCGAGGTTCTGAGAATTGCTGGTAGAGGTTGGCAGCAATGGCATCTCTAACGAAGAAATGGAGAGCGGAGCCCAAACGCAATGCGCCGGAGGTCTTGTTGCCTGAGGTATCATTACCCCAGCTTGGCGGTGATTAGCCAATCGAACGGCAGCGAATAGTAACAGTTGCATCACTCGGCCCAGTACTCCAACGACCTACAGCTCCATTGCCAGTGACATAGTACTATCATGGGAGCAAATATTGGACACGACGTAGAATACGTTTCTGTCATGAATACTACAGAATTGGCAGGAGCGGATGCACAAAAGACTCTGGTATTAAATACTAAAGGATGCTATCGATCAGTATCATAAATGTCGTGTGCCAAATGCAACTGGTCTAATGAAATTTTATTCACGGTTCCAACCATTTTGTACGCCCCTTCTCCGAAAAGGCAAAGGGTCAAGGTTCCATATAAATTGACAAGTGAACATGTGTCATGCAGTCGTGAAGGGCTTACAATGCAAGTGCACCTAAGCAGCAAATTCAAAATCGAAATGGTCCCTGGATGTTGTGTCAAACCCCGAGAATGCGCTACCTCATCCGTCATCCAACAAATTTGGTGCGGATGCAGGGACGTCTCCGTCCGTAGATGTCTCTCTATACATACTAATTGCTCACCGAGCCATGTCCTGTCATTTTCGACCATCGTTGCCAGGCTTGTTGGTAGGATAGCCTGGACGGGCCCCGGCGGGGTGGACATTGCCATTCCGGTCCTCATCAGACTGACTGGAACTATCATCGGCGGCACCCGATGTGGATGCACTACGCAAGCGTTGAGCGCGATCTTGAAGCACTTGGGCTTCCGCGGCTGCTCTTTGGGCGCGAATCTGTTTACGCCACATGCTCGCGTATCGGCCTTTCATAGCCAGCAATTGATCATGAGTACCACTTTCGGCTACTCGTCCCTCATGCAAGACAACGATGCGGTCCGCCGTCGTGATCGTACTAAGTCGATGGGCAATGACAAGCATGGTACGGCCAAGAGCGAGGCTAGACAGCGCGCCTTGGATGTGTTCCTCGGTTTCTGTGTCTAGGGCAGCAGTTGCTTCATCCAAGAGAATGATCCGCGGGTTCTTGAGAATCGTCCGAGCAATGGCAACCCGCTGTTTTTCTCCTCCGCTAAGCCGTAGACCACGCTCACCAACCTTGGTATTGTATCCATCGGGGAAGGACATGATCTTGTCGTGGATGCTAGCAGCACGGCAAGCTTCGTAGACTTCCTCATCCGTCGCGTTCTGATTGGCATATTTCAGGTTGTACATCAGTGTCTCATTGAAGAGCACAGTGTCCTGTGGCACAACTCCGATGTGTCTCCGAAGCGAATCGATAGTAATCCCTTCGACGTCGTGCCCATCTACACGAATCCGGCCCCGCGAGGCGTTATAGAACCGGAAGAGTAACCGGAAGACAGTAGACTTGCCACCGCCCGATTCACCCACCAGAGCGGTTGTCGTCCCTGGCTCGCAGCGGAACGTCAACCCATTCAAGGCGGGTTTCCGGGTGTCGTACGAGAACTCCACATTTTCGAACATGATGTCACCCTTGCAGACCGGCAGAGGCCTGGCACTGGGTCGATCGATCACTGTGGGCTGTTCTCTGAACAGTTCCAACAATCGCTCGGAATTGATCATGGCCGACTGGATGGAACGATAGAAGGTACCGAAGAAGTTCAAAGGCCCCTGTAATTGGGCCATGTACGTGAGAAGCGACACAAATTGGCCAACATCCCGCTGTCCTAAGGACACCTGATAAGCCGCAATGAAGCATGCAATCAGCAAACCTAGCATAAACACGGTGTTCTGTGACGTGTTCAGAAGGTTGAGGGAGAAGAGCACGTGGTATTCGGCCTTCTGGAAATCGGACACAGCATTTCGGTATCTGCCAAACTCATAGTCTTCCGCGTTAAAGTATTTCACGGTCTCATAGGAGACCATTGAATCGTTCCTAGAACCATGGTGTAAGTCGCTTTGCGCAAAAGAAGTAGAAGGCCTTCCCAGGTACTCACTTGACGGCATCTTCTTGCCGGGATTTGTTGACCATCTCTCGACGGATTTCGGCTCTCCATTGTGCCATGCGCACTGTGACATAGAGATAGCAGAACGTTACGATGGTGACAACAAGGGCATAGTAAGCATCCAGGAAGACGAGGAAAAAGACAATCGCAACGCACAGGTCAACCAACATAGGGACGACCTGAAAGGTGACTTGTTCGAGGAACGTGTTGATCGAACTACCCTTACTCAGGGCAGAGAGTACCTCACCCGTCTTCTTCCCTAGGTGGAAATCGAGGCTGAGACTATGCACGTGTTCGAAAGCCGCTGTCGACAGCTCCATGTAGGAATACTGGCTCACAGGAATCCACAAATTAGAGCGCAAAGACCCAATGAGTCCCTGGTTACCCTGCAACCACCGATAGAGGATGTAGAGGCAAATGTCGAACCACGGGACCCGAAACTCGCCATCCCCTTTAGAGAGAATGTTGGTGATGACACCGGCCTGGTACGGGACCAAGACATTGACAATCCGTTGCAGGACGATCAGTACGAAACAAATGACGACGACCACTTGTAGCTGGCGGGACTTGGACGGCCATAGATAGGGGAAGAACAGCGAATAGCCACTGAGATACTCCCACCAACTGGTTGACGGAACGGTAGTCGGGCGAACCCATGGGTCGGCGGGTTTGGAAGGTTGCGCGTGACCGTTAGTTGAACCATAGGCATTCCCATTCTCTGCATGGTGGGCGCTGAGCAGTCCCGTGGACTCAGTGACGCCATTGACGTGACCTTGGGCTCTCTTGGAATTAACGTTGATTGAACTGAACATATATACCGTGACCATAGCCATGAGAAACAGTACCCTGACGCAGTTCAAAATCACCTCCGTTAACTCCCATGGCGTTATACCTTGTCTCAGGCGGCCGCCAGTAGGATCCCCAACCACGGGTTCACGGTGTGCGCCAGCATAGATGGAAAGAGAGGAACCTAGAATACTCAGCTCGACCGGGACTGCTGCTAGCCATGGAATGAACTGGGCAAAAGTCGGAGACGGATTGGTATCCAGTAACGAGACGAGAATAATCGCGTAGTCGAAAAATGACCCCACAACGTAGATCTGTTCTCGTCAGCAGCTGCGCCTATTCTGTTTCTGATGCTCCGGTTCGAGGCCTAGCCTGAAGCCGAAGACGAGACAGGGAACCTACCACGACAGATTGACCACACCACCAATGCTCCGATCTCGCAATCATGACATGGGCGATATTAATGGCGCCGTCCGCAGCAATCGTCAAAAGAACCCCGACGGAAAGCCACTTGAATAACAGCTTCGTATTTCGGGAAAACTTCTGGGGTGTCTTGATGACGGTCATCGTGCTCCTTGACCGCTTAGGGAGTGGTCTCCCCCCAGGCCCCGTGTGGACGGCATTGGTGTTCTTGTTCGCATTTCGGGCCGTAACAACGGAGCTGGCAATGAAAGAGGCCACAAAGACGAGGAGAAGGACGATTGGAGACGCAATGCGAAGATACCCCAACAATTCGCGAGTGGCGTGTTGGTTTCCCATGATGTATAACCCTCCCATTGACCGATAGTATCAGAAGACCATCAAGATATTTCCATGACACGGCAACTGTGCTCTTCGATTCCAGTCGGAGACCGCAGGTGTTGAGAGACGACAATCGTGAGATATGAGGGAAATCTCGAATTAGGATGCGTAGGACGAGGCGACTGCGGACTAGGAGCTCGGCGATCGAAGGACTGGGTGGATCGACAGACACGTGGGAAATAGTAACCTCTTCTTCTTCGAGTCTCTATTAAACTTAGGAATGGGGAGAACGGTTTCTTAACCAAAAATGACAGGCGGGGAAAGAAAAAGAAAATGGCGCGCAAGAAAATGGAAATGGGAGAGGGGAAGAGGAAAAAAAAAAGAAGGTTTCCAATAAGTACAGGAGAAGAATACAGATAGACTATCCCGAAACTATAAGACGAGGAAAAGTCGGGGCTAGGATGATTGCACCAGGAAATTGGTCAAGCAAGAAACAAAGAAGAGAATTAAAAGGGAGGAGAGACAGCGGAAGAGAGGAAGAGATGGAGAGAAAGACGGAAGAAAGAGAAGGGACAGACGAGATAGCAGAGCGACACGCGAGAGGAAAGGATCGTTGGGAGGATACAAATAGTAACTGGACGGACGAGGAAGAATGACGGTGTGGATGCGAAAGCAGTCGAGAACCCAGGCTGGCCGGACCCAAAGCTACTCTAAGCTTGGTTGGCTCCGGAAGGCGAAAAAAAGGAATCGGGCCCAGCAAGCAGCGGGACCAGCGCCGGAGGATGCGATTAATTATAATAAATTATAATCATCAAAGATTCGTTCCTCGAGTCGCCGCCTTTTCTTTCAACGGTTGGTTTGGTTTTTTTTTTCTTTTTTCCTTTTTCCTGGGGGATGATCAGATGCAAAATCGGAGGTTTATATTTTATGCCTCTCTTCTCTTCTCTCTTTTTTTTTTTTTCCTTTTTTCCCTTTTCTTTCCCTCCCTTCCCCATGGTGGTTAAATGTTACGTGTCGAGGAGCAAGGTGTGGCTCACAAGAAGCAAAAAAGAAAGAACAGACAAGAAAAGAAAATGAATTAAAAAAATAAAGAATAAAAATAAAAAAAATCCCAAAGGGCGGAGAGGAACAATAGGAATGATCAAACTACAGTGTCGTACGTAGCCGTTTGTCGTCCTAGGATGTAGGGCCAGTGCCTGCTGAACCCGTTCATGGACAGTTTCATCGGACCTGAGTGGATTTGACCAGCAGGTTCGTGCCCAATGAGAACAGGGGTTGGAATGAAGGTTCGAGTCCCGAAGGAGAGGAATCCGCCCGACGAAGGTCATGATCCCTCTAGGGAAGAATGGAAGAGTGAGTGTGTGGGGTAGAATCAAGCGAAAGCTTCATACCGACTACACCATGACTTCCTGGAGCTTGATTACCTACCTGGACCTACATACATACAGACCTGCATACAGAGTACAGCTCCCGCGATAGAGTTACCTACCTCCGGTGGGGAGGGAAGCAAGCAAGCAAGCAGGTCGTCGCAGAAGGGTTGTGAATTGTGATAGCTGTGTAACCCTCCAGAAGAAAACGAAGATCGTTCAGGGCTCAGAAGTAAACAAGGGCAAAACCAACTGGAGGGAAGTCCGTCGTAGGGATGCGGTCGTGACAGATCTCGATGGAGGAGGGCAAGGCGCAGATCGATGCGAGAGGTAACTGGCCGAGGGCGAATGATGGCGGGCCTGGCCTGCACCAGCAAATAGCCGTCCGGGGATTCCCTGGAAAGCTGTTTGCTGGGATGCCCGAGCAGCTCCTTGACTGGCCGCGGGAGACGAAAGACACATCACTTCTTCTTCCTCCTCCCCCCTTCGCACACTCGATACGACTGATAGGAGGCGGGAGGTATATATTAACCCGGGGGGTCATTATTGATTGATCGAGCCCTTAATGCAGGAGGTGTTATGTCTAGTGCGTAGGTGGCTGACAGCTTCAGAGACGGTCGTTAGAAAGGAGTGGTCCGGTCGCTTTTCTCGCCCGTGATGACCAGCCCTTTTTTTTTGGATTCCCGTATAGTACTAAGTTATTACTTACCATACACTGGAGCATTGGAGCATTGGAGAATTAGGCGGAGGATTTCCTGCTTCCATGAGAACCCAGTATCACCCGACCCCAAGTCCCTCCGCAGAATGACCCAGCTGTCGGTACAATGCGGGGAGGGCTGGAACCGATCATGTTCTTCAAGTTGAGGATGCATCGTTATTGCCATCCCGACGAGTCATTCCTGGTACTAGTCTTTTTTAGCTTGTCCCACCTGGCAGTCCCGAATGTCCGGATGATCTAAAACCGCGCCTGGAATGTACGGCCCTGGAACCCCCTCCCCCTCGAGTAAGACATGACATGACTCCCACTGCCTTAATTGTCTCATGGCTTGGGAGGATCGTTCTGCTGTAACCTGGTAGAGCTCCCGATAGGTAGACAGTGCAAATAAGCACGTTGCTGGGGATGGTCAGACAACCACCCCCATCCTCCCCCCAGCTCTAAAAGCTGTATTGCCGACGCGATGACTCTAAGCGCAAGAGCTAGTCGTCATGGAGCCGATCGAACCCATCCACCGTCGAATCCACACCGCCTTAACTGCATGCAGGTCGGATTTCCTCCAGCCTTCGAGTCTGCACCCGTCCATCCTTCCGGCCATCCAGAAGGGTTCTCCCGAAACCAACGAAACGGTTTCCAACCGGTGGGAACCTCAAACTGTCGACCTGTCGGTCTCCCTGGATGACCGGATGTTTGACCGAACGGGTCAACTCTGGACTCTGTACAATCCCCTGCTTGAAGGAGCTAGTCGGTAGAATTTTTTTACTTTGTGAGCCATCAGCTGGACAGATCGAATCTGTGGGTTTGCTTTTCTTTTGCCGTGAAGTTGGTGCCTGCCTTCTCTTCCTCATTGCGCTGGTTTCGCTCTCTTCTTAGTTCTTAGTTCTTACACATTCGACCTCTTTTCGTACTAGCAGCTGGCGATGGGGACACTAAACCCACTGGGAAGCTGCACATCACGGGGTGTTGCCACGCCGGGGTGGGTTACCTAAGGCTAATACTCCCGAGGCGGGACTAGACCCCGTCGGGACAGGTTCAGGTATGGATCAGGTGTCAAAAGACTCAACGGTATCATCATCATGGTCGCCACAATGATGGAACGATGGCTATAGTTAATAATAGAACAGATTGGGGATGTAGGAAGTACACAGTGAGAACGATACTGATCAAGAGGTCATCCAGTGGGCAAATGATCGGATAATCTACCGAGTAGTTTCAGGTCCCTGTGATTCTTGAATTAATTTTCTTTTTTTCGCTCCTCTTTACCTGCATGGTGCAGGCTGCCTAAAATCATATCCCACCCCGTCGGTATGAATTGCGCAAGTCATCAGTTCAACCTCACTAACTATCAACTGGTCCATCCTCAACCTGACTTCGCCTCCCCCTTTCCACTTCATTCTCCACCTGCTTCTTCTCCTTCTCCTGTTGGCCCTTTTTCGAGAGCCTTCGTCAGTAATGACGGAGCCTCCATCTCCATCGGGTTCACGCCGTTGTGTGGCTGAGTGAGGCTGGCCCTCATGTCTGCTTCTCACGGAGTCATGCCCAGCACCGCCGCCTCGCCTCGCCTCCCCCACCTGCTCCCGTACCACAGAGTCACAAGTACTCTTTCCAAGTTCCAACCGCGCGGCCAGTGCTCCAGCAAGATTCGCCCAGCCCTTTCATCTTAGGGTCTCGGCCTCGTCGTCCGCACCCCACGGGAAGTCGTGCAGATTCCCTCTGCTGGTCCCCGTTCAACAAGGCCCGAGTCATTGTATAGCCTACCACCCCCTCTCCCTCTCCTCATAGTCACCCACCCCCCAATTATCCTCCTACCGATTACCGACTTTGTCTCCCTCTGTCGCCTCTCCCGCGTAGTCCCTTGCTTTCCAAATTTGGGTTTTTTATCTTTCCCTCCCTTGTCGCACGCGTTTACGTACTTTTCTGCTGGACAATGCATCGTCCACTTCCTCCGTACAGTATCTAGTACTTTCCTCACAGACAATGGAAACCCTGAATACGGGAATTGATCTGACTCTTACGCCCTTTCCCTGGACTTGGAGGCTGGAACATCATCCCAGACAGTTTTCTCATCATAAGACTAGGATCCCCGCAGCGGGCACATGCAGTCATCAGCTACTACTTACTCCGCTCTATGTACGTAACCAGTGAGATAGCAGGAACAGTGATCCTGAAGATGACCTAATAAATCGTCCGAGTCCAGCCCTTTCAATACCTATTATTAGATCTCAATCAGCTACTCGTGGTACTCATTGTCTTACATACTATGGTACTATGTGGGAGGAACGGGATCCCCTGTCCAATCATGACGCAGAGGGTATGGTGAGGGGTGGGAGATCATAAGATCTTCTTATAATAGATATGACTATTATACGAAGGGTATCGTGATGGGGGTTGAACTTCGTGTTGTGTATTGTAGCCGGCTTGTGATTTGATTTAGGTGTAGTAGTTATAGCTTAGAAAGCTATTGCCTTCATGGACATACAAGGACTGACCACCACCCAGCGTATGGTTTTTAGTCTAGTTGGTAAAACATGAGGTTGCTCATTTAGCTTAGAGCCTTTAGTTACATCCAATAGCTAATGAAGTGATTTGATAGCCTTCAACCCCCGCTATATATGTTCTATGTAGCTGATTAAATACCAATCAAAAGATCTAGCAAAGACTCTCCAATCGACTATACAATAATCGTAGAATTTATACTCCGCAAACATCTCCTAACCAAGTCAACAGTCCATCGATTGTTACGCATTGACATATTAGCAGGACTAAGCACGAGTAATACCAGTACAACTAGTAATGCTATCTACTGATATAGTGCCAAACGATCAAGCAATCCGATCATGCTAGATCCAACGTGGGTACTAAGACAACTGTAAAAGTGAACACGCAAGCCAAACCTTCTTTATATGAATGTTGGCATTGCCTATTCTACGTAACATGCCTCCTAACTACGGCTTAGACATCCTCAGAGACATCGGAATTTCTTACGGTGATGTTCTCTAATCAGGCAAGTTGGTGACGGTCAGTGAGAGGGATGACTGGGTTCAAGTGGACCCCGAGTTAGTGTTGGGTAGTATTAGGGATAAAGATGGTGTAGCTTCTAAGGGAGATCATTCAGTGTGTATTGGTTTGCAAGAGATGTTCTGACATGTTCGCATTGAGAATAAATTGTGGCGCCTTGATGGGTCGGAAAATGTGCAAGTGGTTCGTGTTGGCTATGGTATATAGCTCATATACTACATGTGACCCTAAGATGCAAAAGAGATGACCAGACATGTTTGCTCTCGAGTCCATCTGACTGCGGCTTTCCTGTGTCCCTCTAATTATTGACGGAAGATGATATATCCATGGATCACTTGCCCCCGTGTTGATATGTGGTCATAACCAAAATCTTCCCCAGATATCAGTGTACACAAATAGCGGCCCCAAAAAAGACAAGGATAATCCTGGAAACTTTCGTGAAGGTGTTGTAGTTATCCTGAGACAGAACTCATCCACTGTCTTGGAATCTTGTTTCAAATTCCAAAAGAACATTCCGTGATATCCAAAATCACGCAGGAAGATTGACTCTGCTGGCCAATGTCAATACTCAGAACTTCCGCTTTTTCTTCGCCGGAGCCTTGCTTTTGGCATCAAGTTGCCTTTTCAATTCGTCACGCTTCCTATCCGCTTTCTCCTGCTCCGTTTCTTCTTTCTCTTGCTCTATGGGTGGTGGCGGTGGCGCCTTTGGCTGTTGTTCGGGAGCCGGTGAGTGTGACTTAGAGATGGTATTTTGTGGCTCGGGAGACTGCCTCGATGGTAGTGGTGAGGCTTGTCTATCTTTCTTCTTGCCGCCTATCACTCCTAGTCCCCGCGGTCTGGTCTGTGGCTTGCTTGAAGGTTCGGGTTGCAGCGACGGCGGTGGTGATGAGGCTTCCTTTTCCTTATTTCTACCACCTATGACTCCTAGTACACGCGGCTTGGTTGGTGGAATAGTTGACGACTGGGGTTTGGACGGCGGCGGCGATGATGGGAAGGGTTGGTCATCTTCGTCTGGTTCTGACTCCGTTTCGTCGTTATTTGGTTGAGGTGGAGATGATTTGGGAGCCAGTGCCGGTGTGTCAATATCTGGTGACAACGGCGATGATGGCTGTGGAGAATACTGCTTTGGTGGCTGTTGTTTCTTGCCCCCGATGACTCCAAGGCCCTTGGAGGGTTTGACAAGGGGCTTCTCTCGTGGCGCAGGAGGTTTGACACGACCTTGTTTTCTTTGGACATCTTCGTCTTCGTCGTCGCTTTCCGTTTCCTCCTCTAGCCTTGGTGAGGGTGATTTAACTTTGGAGGCCGGCGGACGTTTGAGCCTTGGGGGTGTTTCTTGTCGCTAAAACACGAATTATGAATACAGAAATGACGCGCTCGTGGGGAAGGGACGTACTTCAAATTCATCATCTTCAGTCTCCGTACCACCATCTGTTCTTTCTGGTTCTTCTGAGCTCTGTGGTGGCTTGGAATCTACGCCTTTGCTGTTTTCCCTCTGCTCAGGCGGCTTGTTGGTAGCGGGAATGTTACTTGGTGTAAGCGTTTTCCACCACCCATCGGAAGCCGGGCACAGGGATTCAAGTTGTTGGGCCATATCATCCGTGCTAGAACCCGCTGCTTTTGTCATGATAGCGGATGCAAGTCCGAGACCAAGAGACGATACGTTGGCCTCATCCAGCCAAGCTTGCTCGTCAAAAGGCGCTACTCCTTTGATATACTTAGCAGCTTGTGTCAGCATCGAGCCTTTGTGGCTGGTTCGAAATCCAGTGATACCAGGAAAAACGGTGCTGATATCAACCCCCATCGCTTCGAGCTTGTCAAACAGCTTTACCAGCACCCAATCTTTCGTGTTTAGCAGTTCGATTAGACCTCGTTGGCGCGCCTCCCAGCCAGTCTCCGCCTTGATTAGCGGAAGGAGTAATTGAGCCGTCAATGAGGACTGTGGCTCTTTAAAGAGGTAGATAATCCATTTCAGAGGCTGGAGCGGAGCTGGTAGTTTTGTTGAGGTGATCAGTTGTAGAGAGTCACTCTCTGGGCCATGACTCAGCGCTGTGCTGCTTCCAGGTTCATTGCGAAGCCCATCCCCTATCTTTTGTAATAGTACAGAAAACTGTTCTGTGTCCTCACTCGGGTCGATCGTCGCGTCATCATCAGCGGCTCTTCTCAGAATATGCCGGCGATTTAGATTCTCAGACCAGATGTGGGTCAGGTCAGTTATATACAACTGATATCCGTTTTCGGAGACAGAATAGTGAAACAAAAGAGGTGGAGCCAATCTGTCGTTGGATAGATGCAATCTCTGCCACTTCGACGACATTGCTCAGTGGCCTTTTGAGGTAATTTTGCTCAGCTGTACAATAGTAAATAGAAGCAGGTAAGTGAAGCTCCTCCAGGCTCCCGCAGTGGATCACATGAAGGCGACAAGTGCACGTGGTCGCAGGGAAACTTTGCCGGTCGCTATACCTCCCATTTTAGGCGCGCGATACCCGTTGCCCAGAAAGATTGGAGGAAACTATGTCAGACCTCACTGTTCTCGGTCGGTTCACGTCAAGAACTCGGCTGGTTACCGCTCGATTTAGCGTCACTTACCTAACTTGCTTCTCTAGAATTACTACCCCCAGTGAGGCGCCAAGATGTCATCACGAATCCCCGACCGGACGGGTTCGAAGCGAAGTCGGTCTCGGTCTCCATCCTCGCGTCATCCCCAGAAGGCCCCGCGCAGATATGACGACACGGATAGATACCGTGACAGAAGAGATGGAGATGAGCAGTCGCATTCCCGTCCCCGGAACATGAGAGATCAAGTCCGGCTCAACCAACTTCAAGAGGACGAACAAGTACGCGAATGGGTGGCGCAGGAAGACATCTTCGTTCTCAAGCAAGCGAAAAAGAAGGCCGAAATTCGAGTGAAGGAAGGTCGGGCCAAACCCATCGACTGGCTTACTGTCACACTGCGGGTCATTGATCCGACAAGAAACCCTCTGGACGATGAAATCGCCGACTCAGAGCTCGATCTGGTGGATCCGGATGGCGTATTCGAGGGACTATCTCAGACTCAGCTACTCGACTTGGAGAAGGATATTGATACGTTCTTGAGTCTTGAGACCAATTCACAGAACAGGGATTTCTGGAAGGTACGGATCTTCTACTTTGGCACGATATTGGAGCTCGACGCTGATTGATTGTCCCTTACTACAGACCATGAAAGTTATTTGTCGAGATCGCCAGAAAGTCACCGCCCCCGAAGGACGCGCACTCAGTTCTGTCGCTACTGATATAAACCGGCTGTTGAGTCCTAAAACCTACGAGCAGCTCCAGACACTCGAGATTCAGGTCAGGAAGAAGTTGGATTCCAATGAGCCTATCGATACCGATTATTGGGAGGAGCTTTTGCGTAGCCTTACCGTCTGGAAGGCTCGTGCAAAGCTAAAGAAGGTCTGCCAAGTTGTCATAGATGAGAGGGTTCGTGGACTGCGCCAACAGCAATGCGAAGAAGCTGCATCTGTCCGGGCGAAGCTGGCCCCTTTGGCGCCAGTCATTCAAGCAACCTCCGATGGTGAAGAGCAGCCAGAGTCGGCTGATAGTGGCGAATATCGTGGACTCGACCCTGACCCATTGCTTCAAATCCGGCCAGAAGACAAGGTTTTGGAGATAGTGGACGAAACCGCATTCCTTAATCAAGTGGTAGGCAGCACTCATCCCTGTACAAATCTACGGGTACTAATCTCATACAGGCTCGCGAACGTCAAAAGATCCTGAAAATGGGATTTGTTCCCCTCCGCCAGCGGCATGCCGAAAAGCCCTCGGTGGTAACAACAAATCAAGCAACAAGTGCCCCGGTAGCCACCGCATCAACTCGCTTCTCCTCGATTCCTAACGAAGACTTCTCGCAAGCAACCAAGGCCCTTTATGAGCGAGAGTTGGCCAAGGGAGTGAGTGAAAACGAGGAGATCTTCACCGGTGAGGAGACTGTGAGCACGGGCTCCCAGCCACAATGGGCGAGCAAATACCGACCACGCAAACCACGGTACTTTAACCGTGTCCAAATGGGCTATGAGTGGAACAAATACAACCAGACTCACTATGATCACGATAACCCGCCTCCCAAAGTTGTACAGGGCTACAAGTTCAACATCTTCTATCCAGACTTGATTGACAAAGCGAAAGCGCCAACCTACCGCATAGAACGAGAGCATGGACGGAAGCGTGGTCAATCTTTTGCTGCGGCTGGTGAGGAGGATACTTGTCTGATTCGCTTCATGGCCGGCCCTCCGTACGAAGACATCGCCTTTCGGATTGTCGACAAGGAATGGGACTATAGCGCAAAGAGAGAAAGAGGCTTCAAGAGTACCTTTGATAAAGTATGTCGCCGAGTGATTACGTCGGGCCACAAAAAGACACTCACTGACTTGATTCCAGGGAATTCTGCAACTACACTTCCAGTTTAAGCGCGTGAGTGACCCCTGTTATTTCGATCATCGTTATCTCACATATACTGATGTTATTCGCAGATCTACTACCGAAAGTAAACATTTTCACCTGAAGGATGCGGGAGTCTTATGTATGTACTGCAGTCGGGATGGGACTGATCATCTGGTGTTCCACTACTACTACCCTCGGGATCCGTCGTGCACCATAATTGGACTGGAAACATTAACCACTTCCTCCGGCATTGGATCCCATCTCGGCCAAGCTAGGATGTATCATATCGATATGAAACCACATTATCGGTCCTCGCAGATCCAAGTTTCCACACGTGCGTAGCGGCCTATGCTTATTTGCACCGCAGTCTTCACACTTCACGGTTTCCCCATTCATTGCCCCTCCGTTCGGCACTTCAACCCCTCTCTGATTAAGACTCAACATCTGGGGGGCTGTCTTGCTGCCCATCAGGTGAAGAATGACAATAGGAGAAAGATTTACTTTTTCTTTTTCTTCTCTGTGAATTGCTTTCTTCTTTATTTTCTCTAAATAGCCCGGACTGGCTTACGTCGTGTCGCCTTCACGGAAGAAGGAAGGGCCGCGACAACAGTGGGTGCGGCTTTTCCAAGGTGTTACTATGCCGCCTGCATGGTTCTCTAAGGCTTCGGGCTGGTCGGGGAATCGGGAATGAACTGGAGAACCTGCAGGATACTAGATTCCAAAAGCGCTGATGGCTTTTAGGAAGGTGATCCAATGGCAATCCCCGAGCTTGGCGGCGTCCCATCTGTGTTCTTGAGCGGTCATGGTTAGCGCAATAATCGCAGGACTTCTGCAGCTGGCCGCCATCCACCAGCGACTCCCACCATCCCCGGTCGGTCCAGCGTTGTAGGGAACCAAAGTACGGCCGCCATGACAGGCCCCTGTCCGGAGTACCCAGTATGAGTCCACGGTAGGTACTACTATACGTGTCCCAGATCCGGCCTCTGTTTGGGCCCGCTGCGGCGCTGAGATCATTGGTCACTGCTGCACGCTGAATCGCTGTTCTACCAGTGGATGGCGACTCCCGCGGTAGAACGAAGCAGCTCCGGCCACAACATCCCCAGAGCACATGATGGAGACTTTTTTTTGCTTCTTGGTGCCTGTCAGGCTACCTGTTAGTTTTTATTTTATTCTATTTTTTTTATTTATTCTTTTTTTTTTTCTCTCTAAGGAAAATTATTTTAACCCTTTCTGTTTCTTGGTGCGGTTTTTACTATTCTTAAGATTTTCGTTGCTGTTGCTGCTTCTGGGATTCGTTAGGTAAATCTATCTCCAGCTTATAGAGCATCTCTCTTGTTTGCCAGGGAAATGCATTGTGCTTGCTGGCTTGGTGCAGTACAGAAGGAGGAGGAAAAAAAAGAAAAGAGACGACAGGATATCTTATGAGCTGGCATTTCTTTCGCCTCACAGCTCTCAGGGAACTACTCTCCTCATCCTGAGTGGTCACACGTCTTCTATATTAATTTTCTAGCCAACCCCTCTTGACATCCCCATTTCACAGGGCCCTTCGCACCTACCTGGCATATCTCGTACTCTTAAGTCCTTTATATTCCTTTTTTCCTTCGCCGAAACCTCCCCAGGTGTCACTTCACCTGGTCAGAGCTCTCGAACCGGATCGCGATAAGTTTGGTTCACCCTGGAGGACGACATGGATCGTTTCTTTCCCCCTCACGGCTTACCGTCGGATTCACTTCCATTTGGCCGGGGGCTTGTTGATGTTGCAAGACAAACAGTGGCCCCTCCCGCTTCCGTCTCGGATGGCGTTCGTTTGGACCCTTCTCACCATCGCGATCCCTGTTCAGCAATCGGGAATTGGACGAGCTCTAGCTCTTCCAGTCCAGCGGAGCCGATGTCTCTGTCTCACCATCAACAAAATCCATGGAAGATGGCGCTACCCCCGTCACTCCCAGCGCCCATTTCATTTCCAGACCGCGGGTTGCCTCGTTTGCTTCCTTCGCACCGTCTTGAGGTCCCTGAAGGACCATCTTCCTTGCTGGCAGCTGGTGGCTCTAGATCGAGACAACTAAAGCCCGAGCTGCGGCGTCTTCATGACAGCAGACCTTCCTCAGACTGGCTACGGGAGCCGGGAGCTATCTCCTCATGCTCGCACGAATCTAGTTCTTATCACCTATCGACGGGGATGGCGCGATCTGACACTTCTGAAACGGCTTGTCCTACAGCGAACTTGCCACCACTGTCCCCAGCTGTCTCGGCCTTGACTTACCCTTCACTGAAGCTGGACCAGTCAGACGCCTCTGATACCATTGATGAGAAGCCTTACTCTAAACTCATCGAAATGGCTCTCAAGACGAATCCCGAAAAGAAGTTGTCTCTCCAGGGGATTTACAACTGGTTTGAGCAAAACACAGCGAAAGGGAGAGATCAAAGCTCGAAAGGTTGGCAGAACAGTGTGCGGCACAACCTGTCCATGAACGCGGTATGTCCCCTCGCTTCCTGATTCTCTTCTCCGCGAGTCTGTCTCTAAGCACTGTACTAAGACAATACACCATGCGGCAGGGCTTCGAGGCTGTCCGGGAAGAACCGATACCTGGGAAGAAAGCCGTGAATTACTGGCGCCTGACGAATGAAGCCATCGAGAATGGCGTCCAATCCACAACCCGGTACAGGAAGCAGGCGAGTTACAGGAAGGCCTTGGGCTCGGATCCGCTGGCTCCCCAACGCCAGCGGTCCGGGGCCAAGGGGGGTAAGGCTACGAAAATCAAAGCTAGGTTCCGTGGACGTATGAGCGAGGACGACTTGCGAAGAGAAAGATGTCGCCAACGGGTGACATCACAACGGCGACCGCAAAAGAATGTCTATGCCCAATACTGTACCACAGCCGCGGCACTGACGGGGATTACAGTAGTGTCACCCTACCAAGTATCAGGACCGACCACGCCGGGAACTCGCTTATCAACCGAACCATTTGATTTGGGGAGCGTTGTTGGCTGCGCTGATCCCTCTCCATGCACTCCCCTTTTTTGCGACATGGCCGGATCGGGGCCCGACTGTGTTGCGTTGGACTCTGGGTTTCTTGGATGGGGAGCGATCCATTCATTTCCCACTGGATTGCTGGCTGGGTCCGGAATCTCCGCAGATATTCAAATGGGGGGTATAGCATAGGTTCGGTGCAATTCGGAGTAGATAGTATCTAGAGGGTTTTCTGGCTGACTTGCATGCGGGTTGTATTGTAGCGGATTGAGAGCCTTGTTGGGTTTAAACGAGAGGCATTGGCCCCTGTCATAATTTTCGATACTTCATAATTACTATTATTTGGATGTTTGACCTTTTTCCTCCATTTGGATTTCCCCATCTTTCATGAATATTTTATTTCACATTCGTTTGGCCGCATCCTTCATTGGCCATTGACGACATCTCGCTGTGGGACTCAGGGCACAAGAGGTACGGGGTGCGGCGCTTGGTGTTTACTTTTTTCTTTCGTTTCTCGTTGCTTTCCTTCTTTTTCTTTTCTTTTCTTTTCTTTTCTTTTTTTTTTTTTTTTTTTTCCGCTAAATAAACCCCAGCCTGATTTGAAGGAGGAGGGGGAGGCACTCCGTAGATAATGGGGATATGCAAGCCATGACGATGAGACAACCCATGATGGTTTGGCACTTGAAAAGCACTGGCCGAGAAGCACGAGGCAGAAACCACTACTTACTATCTACCTGGATCAACAAGACCCCAGCAAAAATCGCCATTGATGTATGTATAGCCACTGCCATGTCAATCCCGGGCCGTTGTCGGGCTCGAGGATGCATCTGGGCCCTTCAGGCTGTCAGCAAAGTCTGGTAGCTCATCTGCATGCCCTGCAGGCAAGCAGCATCTCCGGCGTATCTTCGTTCTTCCACCATTCCACCTGGCCTTCTTTTTTTTCACTCCGGTACTTTCTCGCGTCTTTCCTCTCGTTTGATCGCAGCGGTTTCTGATCTAAACGCCAGCCCTTGGTTCCCCCATTTTCCCCATTCATCCGCGATGGGTGCCCAAGGGATCGACCTGACTAGTTCCTCATGTCTCAACCCAGCTTCGAATCCCGTTCGCACGCTCTGTTCCCCTCCGCAGTTCCACCCAGACTAAATGCTGCTAAGTCTCCGTCCCTGGTCAGTTGCTTAGCAACCACCCTCCCCACGACGACTCATTATTGCGTACAGGACCATCATGGGGACATTCTGATTCGATGGAAAACTCAGCCGTTCTCGGTCTGCTTCCAATCACGATCCGTGCGCGGCATGTCTGCAATGGTCTTGCCATGGGAACCCCTCGTGATTACTCTTCATTCTTACCCACGCGGTCAATTTCCGATCCGGTTGGATGGATGGATGATATTACAGATGCCAGTGGCACGATACAGATTACAGCAGTGGTATTTGATTAGTCTATCGAGCCTAGCCTCACTCTCGACTATTCTCATTTCCCCCACCTTCCTTGTGAGTGAGACTATCATGTCAATTCCGGAGAGTGTGCGCATTGCACTCACCCTAGTAGCACAGCTACTGACTTAGTTCAAGTGGTGTCCGAGTTTTCATAAACCCCCCCGCCGCCCATCTCCATATTTTCGGAACGGGTCAGCCAACGAGCAGGATGGAAACGGATGAAACAATAAGCAGTACACAGCACGGAGTACCCATAATCAAAACCCGCCGGGGTCCGTCAATGAGATTCGACAGCCCACGGGAAACAGTGCTGCCAAGCATGTTGGCGTGTAATGGTAGGTTGCAGAACGAGAAATGACGGGGCATGCGAGGTTATGAAAGCACTAGAGCAGCATGCCTGCTTAGCTACTACTAGTCGCTGCATGACAGTCGCAGGATTGTGGAGTTGTTGCGAGGCTATAGATCAGGGTGAAAAATCACCCTACACCCTAAGGAGCAGGTAGCCAGCATGACAACTCTCGCCAGTGATGCAGGCTGGGTGTCATGTCCAACCCCAAGCAGATGCATGATGTTCATCCTGCAGACGGCGTAAGTACTATTACTGTCACTCGATCTGAGTGGCGGGGCGCTGAATAGCAAATCAACGCCAGTGAAGGGAATCAAATCATGGTCGGTTATCTCTTCGGCTCCCCCACCCTCTCTCCCCTCTCTCTGGGTCCCTCAGCTTATGCCTACTAGTGAACTAGTTAGTCACCAGTTATCTATCATTGCTGACATACACCGGCCCTCCTCAGTCCTCACGCATACTCCGTACATCGGGCTTCTCGACCGTTTACTGGCCTAGGCGTAGTGTTCTCTGTGATCCATCCCGAGAAACGCCGGGACTAGATCAGTGCGGGCCTCGCTGGTTTTTAGGTTTCTCATTGGAAATGCTAGTTTTGCTTTTTCCATGTCTTGTACCTTCTCCTTCAGCCATCCGTCACATCAGTGGATATCCTCGGCGTCTCTTAAACTTTGGGAATGCGCATCCGACACTTAATATTGCGGTGCAGCAGCACGCAAAAAGTACCTTCTGCCCCCCTCAACGCTCCTTTCCCCTTCAATTTACTTTAGTGTAATGTTTTTGGCTTTAGGAAAACGGGCCGCGCCGAATGTTTAAGGCTAATCTGCAACTGTTCGGTCCCCTCCGCATGGACGGTCGGGTACAACGCATCCGAAGGTGAGCACTATGCTTAAACACGCTTGGGTCATGTAAGGGGAATATCGATGGGCACGTTGGAATCGATTTCGGCCGATGCACTGGGCTGGAGTCTAGAACTGGCCGCGTCGAACAGGGGACGAGATCCGGAATGATTACCTGGATCTCTACGGAGTACTTGCTCACCTCCGGACGCAAGAACATATTTAGAGGCGGCTAGCGAGTCGTCACCCGAAATATCAATGAGATTGTCCCCAGCGGTGGAAGAACTAGTGGCAGGCATGGTCTCTGACATAGCCATGAATGTCTCTGCAATCCGTGATGGCATCAGCAAGTTGAATCAGCAGTTGGACGCCACAAACCCGCCGTCCCGACTGTTCGCGATCCGTCGAATCCTTCGCCACCACCCCTCTTCGCCAATCGGCCATCCAGCCAATGGCAGCAAGGGCAACCATTCCAGTCACGACGTGCAAAGATGACATGCCATTTAGAAATACTTCTGTAGCTATCTTGAGCCAGCAATTGTCGAACGGACCGAGTGACCCCAGTTCACAAATTAACCTACGAGTCAGGCGTAGTTGTCTTGTTCTGCCTTCTCGGTCGACTTCACACGTGCTAGGATATATCCTGTATCTTGCATGAAAGGGGCCCCTATCCCTGCGGTGCGATCGGGGCATAACGGGGCGATACCTGCCAGTACCTAAGGGCTTGAGAATCTACGCTCCATCATTTGGCATTTGATAGTGTTTGAGACAATGCAATTCCCCCTCTCCCATCTCACGCTGTGAGGTGCTACAGATCAAATTCAAGACCGTCACAGCAGCGGCTAAGGCTGGTGTCACCTCAGCACATGCCAGGTGGCCAAGTAACTGGGCGAGAAGCTTGCTGAGCGTGTGCTGTATGTACGTACTGTGGATGCCGGGTCGGGTTGGATAGAATGCCAATAACCACATCGTCGTCCTTCTTCTGCTTCTTCGATGATTGCGATCGGACCTCCCGCGGATCTGATTCTTTTCATTCCAACCACTCCCACCCCCAGCAAGAGCAGGCACCTACATGAAACGCATGTCAGATGACACTTTGTCGGAAAGCGAGGAAAGCGCGCGAAGATGAAATAAAACCCTCCTCACCGCTGGCGACAAGTGAGACGCAATGAGGGGAAAGGAGAGACTGAGGAAAAGATCCTTGGCGCGCCAGACGATAAGAAGAGCATAATGCAAGAAATGAGCACTAAGGCAAGAAGAAGCAGGCCGAAGGGCCTGTCTGTCTAGTATTGAGTGGTGCCCTCCGTCTGGGATCGAGATTTCAACCAGCTGGCCGGCCTTCTGTCATTGAGATCCCTCAAGTCCTTTCCAACCTGACGGTGCCCTTCCGGCCTGCCACGGTCCAGTCGACGCCCACTCGCCTTCCTGACAGATGGCTGGATAGCACAGCAGCCGCAGGTGGATTCATGTCGGATGATCAACCGACCCCCACGGCCGATAGCCAACGCGCCTGTCAGACTGTCTGTCAGCTGCATGCCATCTGCACGCGAACAGGGGTCAAGGATAATTCAATAGTGGCCAGAATCTGTCATGTTAATTCATGGATTGAATTCAGGTTCCCGCGAGCCCGTCTTGGAAATGAGAAAACGGGAAAAGGAGGGAAAAAAAAGAAAAATAAAGATTCAGCGCTTATTGAGTACAATGGGACAAAGACGATGAATCCGGAGGATTGACAATGGCCAGGTAGGGAATTACCCTGATGCTTAAGCTCTCAATCACAATCACATTTTCTCCGGTCCTTCGGTCCGAGTTACTCGTCTCGTCTTGGGGATGCAAAAGTGCCAGTCACTCCACCGCGGACAGGCCAGTCAGTATGCCTGCGGTGTCAGTTCAGCCCGTCCAGGAAACTCAGGTATCACAAGGCAAGCCATTTGGTCATACCATTCCCAACCAGGTACACGGGGTGAGATGATGCCACCCCATCGATGCTTTTTACCTTTTCCCAAGGCTCCAAAGCCGGACATGATGTGCAGTCAGCTAGGTGAGTACTTCTGGCGGTACGTACATAATGTGGCTCTAGATGCATCCACGTACATACTTCATTTGGAGCTCATCTATCTGAAGCAAGTCATAATCTTGACCGCCTACCGACCATCGCCGTTCCGTACTTTTACATGTGCTGCTTCCCTTCCCCCCCATGAAAGAGATGGTATGTCACCGGTTCCCCTTTCGGTTGAGTATGCAGAGCCTGGTCCAATGTTCGAAGCACTGAGATCGCACTGCAGTACACACCACGCGCTGTGGCATAGTGTTTGTGGTTGCGCCATCTTTCAAATTGGACAGCTACGCAAGACCGCCATTTTTAAGGCACTGCAAGAAGGATGTGGAGGAAAGGTTCCGTTTGGCTGATTGAGCATGTCCGGTACCTCAGCCGCGGAGCGTCGAGGTAGGCCTGGCAACTGAGAGTATTTTCCTGCTCCCCTGACGTGAAGATCACACCTGGTTGGACAAACAGCCCTGATTAACCGCGTTTACTCGCGCCGCTTCAAGTTAATTTGAGTAGGGCAATCTGGCGGTGTATCAGCTCACCGGCCGCGGAGGCATGCATCCAAACGGCTTAACTCTACGGTGCAAGAGACGCCGCTCGCGTCAATCAATCACGGTCAAAAAAATGGAAATTTCATTCATGAATAGAATTCATTGATCACGACATTATCCGTCGCGCTAGCCGTCTGTTCACTGAAGAGGACCATGCCCAGCCAATTTTAAATTTTCCATATTCGCTCCTCTAAACACACAAAAACACCATTAAAGATGCATTTAGCGCTTGCCGGCAGCCTTCTCCTGAGACTCCTTGAGGACCTTCTTGACGATCTTCTGCTCCTCAATCAGGAAAGCACGGACGATACGGTCCTTGACGCAACCAGCGCAGCGGGAACCACCGTAGGCGCGGCTGACGTTCTTCTTGGGGCGGGAGATCTGGGCGTACTCGCGGGGGCGGAGGGCGGGAACCTAAAAGGTCACGATGACCATCAGCCATTTTTGCTCTGATTTGCCGTCGTCGAACATTGGTGTAGAATCCTTCTTGACTTCCTTGTGCGCCCGGTCGTGCCAGTCCACACACAAACACATCCCCCCATCATTCGAATCCAAGCAAGCCATTCACACCAGTTCAACAGAAATCACTCGGGAGCACTCACACCAGGGAGCTTGATGCCACAGTCACCGCACTTGGGGGCAGTGCCCTTCTTCTTGATGTGAAGGTAACGGAGCTCACCGCCGGGGGTCTTGATGATGCGGACCTGGTTGGACCGCGTGTTGTACCTGGAGACAAAAATCCATCAATATCCTATTCATGCACATCTCGGCGTGTAGATTTCAACAGGAAAAAAAAGCGTCTCATCGCGTCGAAATCGGACAAAGCGTGGTTGCACCGTAGCGACCGACAAAGCTGGTGGGTAGAGCAGGGCACGAGGGGAAGAGGAAAATTCAAACGTACGGGTTCCGGCGGCGCTGCAAATCGAAAGAATTAGTATCCTGTTCGCAAATTATCCAGGGAACCGATTCTACTCACGTATTGGAGTCTGTTGTTCGCCATTTTGTCTGTCCTTGAACCTCTAGGTCGGTGGTCAAGAGATTGGCGGCGGCGTCGTCGGTTGTCGTCGTTGACCTCGTAGAATTCTTGCAGTAATCTGGATTTGTGTGGGTTTCGCTCGGAGCCCTGGGGCGGCCGCGCTAGCGCCAATTTGGCGAGAACGCGCTAACCCCGACGCGGCCTAGTGCCGGTCCGAGCAGAGCCGCCACCTCTTTTCAGACTTGCTTCATCAAGGCAGGAGCAAGAAGAGACTGGAGCGCCGTCCTATCACCCGTCGTGAGAAGGGGATCGTCCAGGAGTGGTTTCATCTTCTTCCGGGCAAAGCTTCATCTCTCCGACGCGATACTTTCACCCTACTTTCTTTCCCCCCCGGTCGCTGAGCTTGGGCCGATGAGCTCGCGATAAGTCACGACCTTTCTCGACGTGATCTTTGACGCGACTGGTTCACGAGTATCACCCGTCGATCAGACAGAGAGGGTCCTGCCCCATCAACACCCTTCACAATGGCATCATTGCCTCCTCCTCCGCCTCCGGGCTGGGGTGCATCGGCACCGCCTTCGATGCCGTTGGCTCCTCCACCACCTGGATATCAACCGCCTGCGGATCCGACTGTCGCGAAGTTTGCCCAGAAGAAGAATGAGTGGCTGCGGACGCAACGGAACCGATTCGGCGAGAAGCGAAAGGGAGGATTTGTCGAAACACAGAAGGCGGATATGCCGCCGGAGCATTTACGGAAGATTGTCAGAGACATTGGTGATGTGTCGCAAAAGAAGTTCAGCAATGAGAAGCGTAGCTACCTCGGTGCGCTGAAGTTTATGCCTCATGCGGTTCTGAAGCTGCTGGAGAATATGCCCATGCCCTGGGAGTCAGCGAGGGAGGTCAAGGTATTGTATCATGTTAACGGCTGCCTGACCCTGGTCAACGAGACTCCCCGCGTCATTGAGCCTGTCTTCCATGCCCAGTGGGCGACCATGTGGGTGTGCATGCGTCGCGAAAAGAGTGATCGCCGACACTTCAAGCGTATGCGCTTTCCTCCCTTTGACGACGAAGAACCTCCGCTATCGTGGTCGGAAAACATTGAAGATGTGGAGCCGTTGGAACCTATTCAGATGGAGCTTGATGAGTCGGAGGATGCTCCGGTTTACGAGTGGTTCTACGACCATCGGCCTCTTCTAGACACTCCCCATGTCAATGGTCCGAGTTACAAGGACTGGAACCTGACACTTCCGCAGATGGCTACTCTGTATCGATTGAGTCATCAGCTGCTGAGTGACGTCGTCGACCAGAACTACCACCATATGTTTGACTTGAACAGTTTCTTCACGGCGAAGGCGCTGAATGTGGCTATCCCCGGTGGCCCTCGCTTCGAGCCCCTGTACAAAGATATCGACCCCAATGACGAGGATTTCAGTGAATTCAACGCCATCGACCGTATCATCTTCCGCGCCCCTATCCGGACGGAATACCGTGTTGCCTACCCTTTCCTGTACAATACCCTCCCAAGAAGCGTAAAGGTTTCTTGGTACTCGCACCCTCAAGTTGTATATGTCCGGACCGACGACCCTAATCTCCCAGCCTTCTACTTCGACCCTGTCATCAACCCTATCTCCTCCCGGTCCGTCGCGCCTAAGAATATCACCGTCAGCCACGAAGATGAGATTTTCGGAGAAGGAAACAACGAGGACGACTTTGAGCTTCCTGGTGACTTCGAGCCGTTCTTCGCTGACGAGGAACTCTACACCCCCGAAACGGCGTCAGCCATTGCTCTCTGGTGGGCCCCTCATCCCTTCAACAAGCGTTCTGGGAAGATGGTGCGCGCACAGGATGTGCCCCTGGTGAAGCAGTGGTACCTGGAGCACTGCCCGCAGGGTCAGCCGGTTAAAGTCCGTGTTTCATACCAGAAGTTGCTCAAGACCTATGTTCTTAATGAGCTGCACAAGAAGAAGCCCAAGGCCCAAAGCAAGCAGAATTTGCTGAGGACTTTGAAGTCGACAAAGTTCTTCCAGCAGACGACGATCGACTGGGTTGAAGCTGGTCTGCAAGTTTGCCGCCAGGGTTTCAACATGCTGAACCTGTTGATCCACCGCAAGAACTTGACCTACCTGCATCTCGACTACAACTTCAACTTGAAGCCCGTCAAGACCTTGACGACCAAGGAGCGAAAGAAGTCCCGTTTCGGAAATGCTTTCCACTTGATGAGAGAAATCCTCCGTCTCACAAAGTTGATCGTCGATGCTCAAGTGCAATACCGTCTGGGTAACATTGATGCCTTCCAGCTGGCTGACGGCATCCTGTATGCTTTCAACCACGTCGGACAGCTGACCGGTATGTACCGTTACAAGTACAAGCTGATGCACCAGATTCGTTCTTGCAAGGATCTTAAGCATTTGATTTACTACCGCTTCAACTCAGGGCCCGTGGGCAAGGGCCCTGGATGTGGTTTCTGGGCTCCGGCCTGGCGTGTCTGGCTGTTCTTCATGCGTGGTATCATTCCTCTGCTTGAGAGATGGCTCGGAAACCTGCTGTCTCGTCAGTTCGAGGGTCGCCACAGCAAGGGTGTTGCCAAGACCGTCACCAAGCAGCGTGTGGAGTCTCACTTCGATCTTGAACTTCGTGCATCTGTCATGGCTGATCTCATGGACATGATGCCTGAAGGTATCAAGCAGAACAAGGTTAACACAGTCCTTCAGCATCTGTCGGAAGCATGGAGGTGTTGGAAGAGTAACATTCCCTGGAAGGTTCCTGGCCTTCCAGCACCCATTGAGAACATCATTCTCCGTTACGTCAAGAGCAAGGCTGACTGGTGGATTTCTGTCGCTCATTACAACCGTGAACGTATCCGTCGTGGTGCTACGGTAGATAAGACAGTTGCGAAGAAGAACCTTGGTCGACTCACTCGATTGTGGCTGAAGTCTGAGCAAGAACGTCAGCACAACTACCTCAAGGATGGTCCCTACGTGTCATCCGAGGAAGCTGTCGCTATCTATACCACCATGGTGCACTGGCTCGAGTCTCGCAAGTTCTCTCCGATCCCCTTCCCTAGTGTTTCTTACAAGCATGACACCAAGATCCTGATCCTTGCTCTGGAGCGTCTGCGTGAATCCTACTCCGTCAAGGGCAGACTTAACCAGAGTCAGCGTGAGGAACTTGCTCTTATTGAGCAGGCGTACGATTCTCCCGGAACGACCTTGGCTAGAATCAAGCGATTCCTCCTGACCCAGCGAGCCTTCAAGGAAGTCGGCATCGATATGAACGACAATTACAGTCACATCAACCCCGTCTACGACGTGGAGCCTATTGAAAAGATCACCGACGCCTATCTCGACCAGTACCTGTGGTATCAGGCCGAACAGCGCCACTTGTTCCCCGCCTGGATCAAGCCATCTGATTCCGAAGTGCCTCCGTTGTTGACATACAAGTGGGCTCAAGGTATCAACAACTTGTCCAACGTATGGGAGACTGCGGAAGGCGAGACGAATGTTATGATCGAGACGGAACTGTCGAAGGTCTATGAAAAGATGGATCTCACCTTGTTGAACCGCATGCTGCGCTTGATCATGGACCACAACTTGGCTGACTACATCACCTCCAAGAACAACGTGCAGCTCAGCTACAAGGACATGAACCATACCAACAGCTACGGTTTGATTCGCGGTCTACAGTTCTCTGGTTTCGTCTTCCAGTACTATGGCCTGATGATCGACTTGCTGCTTCTTGGCTTGCAGAGAGCTAGTGAAATGGCTGGACCTCCGCAGAGTCCTAACGATTTCTTGCAATTCAGAGACCGCGCTACGGAGACGAAGCATCCTATCCGTCTGTACACACGTTACGTGGACAAGATTTGGGTCTTCCTGAGATTCAACGCAGATGAATCTCGTGACTTGATCCAGCGCTTCTTAACGGAAAATCCAGATCCCAACTTCGAGAATGTTATCGGATACAAGAATAAGAAGTGCTGGCCACGCGATTGTCGTATGCGTCTGATGCGCCACGATGTTAATCTGGGCCGTGCTGTTTTCTGGGATCTGAAGAACCGCCTGCCGAGGTCAATCA